ATCTATGGGCCAGTTATTCCCTCCAAACTCGATTAGACTTGCTTCTATGTAAAATGTGAATATCTGTAAGTTATACAGATAACTTCTAAGATAGTTAGTCGGGATTCTCTGACAGAAAAGGAAAGGAGAAGATTCACTGTGTACCCTTAAGAAATAAGGGGTAATCACATTTAATGAGGGTGTGAGAATGGAGGCAGTGGCACAGGTGCCCCTTTCAGTGGGCCATCTCACCTACCCCTGAAACCCAATGAGTTCCAGACAACGAGCTCCCCTTTAGACCTGTGGGAGACTTTCTCTATATCAGAGCATTACACAATTTAAAATTATATATGAAATATAGGTAAAATTTAAAATAAATTAAAATGTTGAGATAATCAGTCTTTTTTTTTTTACTAGAAGCAGACTGCTTCAATAGTGTTATCTCAGCCATTTGCTAAGTCTTCTTTTCTACTCATATAGATTGTGTGCACATAAGTGCTGCATTGATTGAATTTCTCCACGGTCACAATAGAGATTTTGCTAACCTATGACTCCCTAGGAGAACCCAACCCTGAGAAAGACTCTAGTGACCAGGAAGAGGGAGCTTGTGCAGGAATCCAGGAAGGGGCAGGTCAAAGGAGAAGCTCCGGAACAGAAGAAAGCCCAGGAATGGAGGAGCAACCCCTAAAGGGGGGAAAGAAAACTTGGAAATAGGGGCTATGAAAGCGGGATTGGAGGCAGAGGTGGAGGAGGAAGGGAAAGGTGGAGGTGAGAAAAGGGTCTGTTGTTTTGTACAGACTGGGGACTTGCTCCCTGGTGTGGTGGTGGTGGAAGAAGATGAGGGAAAGGGAGAAGGCTCTTGGGGTGATGCCATTGAGAGTCCTGTCACTTGGACACACAGTAGGGATCTCGGAGGACCCTGAATCGCCTAGGGACTGGGAGTATATAAGAAGATACGTGGACCAGGTTCTTGGTCCAATTTCAGGTGTCTAAAGTAGAAGCTGAAAGGCACCTTAATCCATGCCTGCCACCCATCTTTCATATTGGGATGATTGGAAAAGAAAGAGATGTTGCTGAATGTGAGGCCCCCAAACAGGAGGCCTATGTAGGAGTGCCGTCGCTCCTGTCGTGGACCCAAAATACCCAGACATCCCCCCCCCTTCCTTCCCGGACGTTTGGGAGTGGATATGGGTTGAAGATCCCTGGACCGGCAAGTGGGAGCAGGTGAAGGTGCCCCATGAGGAGGCGGAAGGACGAAGACACCAAGGTTTGAAACCCCGACCCACATATTGGGGAGAAACTGAATCAAAAGAATGGAGGCGTAGGCTAAGGGAGGAAAGGGAAGCTGTGGCGAGGGAAATTGAGAGAAAGAAAGCATGGCATCTTGCTGAGTTGCAGAAGAAGGGAGTTTACCTGGACCGTGGTTGGCCAATGCCGGAGAGGGGTCGTCCTTATGGGGATGGAGCGACGATGAAGAGACACTTCCATTGATCCCCCCTGAAGAGGTGGTTGAGGAAAACCAGGTGCCTGAGAAAGGCGTAACGGGACCATGGACTATGGAGGACAGTAACCCGTTTATTGAAAGTTTATGGACCCCCTTGCGCTCGGGTTTGGGAGCGCAAGAGACATTAAAACCTGTTATCCCAGAAGTTCCAGTTATGGTTGATGTACAAATAAACACTGATCCAGTTGACAGTTTAAATCCGTCTCGTCCTTTATTGGGAGTGACTGGCCCACACCGAAACGAACCTTCACACTGAACCCAGTAGGGATCTTTCAGTGAACCCACAGCAACCCAAGTCCAACATGGATGGAGGAAAAGGCAGAGGACCTGCCAGCAGCAACGAGAGCAAGAGTTAAGAGACCACAAGGCTTGTCATCAGTGTGGACTGATGTGCAGCTATTCTTGCTGCACAACCTCTTGCACAGTCCAGCAATGGCAACTCTGCTAAAGAGCCCAGGACAGAAAACCCTCCGGTGATGAAGGGGCTAGAGTCTCTGCGCAAAAAGACTCTGGACCTGACTTCTGGGCAGTGCACAAAACTAGTCCTGGACAGTTTTATGTTGTTAATGTTGTTGGACCCGCTCCTGTTGTAATAAACCCTGTTTTGTTGTCAATACTGGTGTTCTCATTTATGGAACAAAGAATGGAAGAAAAAGTCCCAGCCAACCTGACAAGCATTGATGGGGCTCACAGAGAGAATTTGAAATCTGTACAGCATTTGACAAATGTCTAAGTTGTCAGTAATCTAACTAGAAGGTTTTTTAAAAGATGACTGTGTTAACCTGTTTCAGCACAAATAATAGAAATAAAGCAAAAGTAGCAGCACCTTAAAAAACTAAAGAAGTTGAAGACTAACCTCTTTAGTTCTTAAAGTGCCCTAATATTAGGTTTTATTTGCTGTTTTATTTACTATTTTACTTACTGTTATACGTCAGATCCTAATATCCATGTTGTAGCTGTCATTTACATTTATTTTGCCTGAAGAAAGGGTTTGGATACATGAGTGTTCAGTGAGAAATCCTGGACAAACCCAAGCAAAACAGAGCATTTAAAATATCATAAATTAATTCAAATCAGAGGCAAGATGACGTACAGAAACCACTAGAGCTTACTGAAGAAATTATTTTTAAAATCACACAGAGTATCCCAGAAAGCTGTGCTGCTCCATGAGGAATTACAAACTTCCCCAGAGGGAATAGGTTTATTAAAACCAGGCAAAATGCCAGGGGAAAGTGCGAACTTGTAAGTTCTCTGAAAATTTTGTTATTGTAAAACAAAACAAAAAATACAGAATATGAATGGGGTTCAGGAGAAACAGGAAAGTCCAAGAATTGTGTAGATTTTGTTGCCAGGAGAACTTGTATCTAGATTGCATCCCTGCTAGGTGTGTAAGTGTCAGATTACACCCAGCAGCACAAATTGAGAGCATGGTTACGCTACTAAAATAAATCAGGAGCTGAGTTGAGATTTTTAAAATCAGTTTAAAGCCACATGGTTTTTGGGCAGGAATGTGCATCCTCTTGGGACAACTTTTAATTTGGGTGTGAGATGTGTGATATATCAGTTGAGAGGGCTACATGGGCTTTTAAAAATCCCTTTAATATCAGCATCACCTTCCTGTGTTTCACCCTCTCAAGGCTTTGCATTCATGGAGTGATATGCCTTCACTAAAAAAAAACTAAAATAAAACTTCACACTGCTGTAGCTGCAAGGAGATGCTCTGGTTGTTGATACATCATCCTGGAATTGCTTTTGAGGTTGTTGTCCTGCGCACCCACTCATCTTCATGCTGGCTGCATCTGACAGCCCACTCGCTATCACTGCCACCGCCAATTCATTCCCCATGTTGAGGTGACAATGAGTGTCGGAGACAAAAGCCATTTCTGCTGTGAAGCTTACCCTGCAGCCCGGAAACCTGTGATCCTGATATCCACTCAATACTTGACAAACCCCACAGACACAATTTACTCCCACACAAGTGAACACACATGCAAGAACAATTCAAAATAAATCATGATAATAATCCAATTGAAATAAACAAGCTGCTACAGGGTATTTAAACACACTTTTCGAACAAAAACCATACTTCCTGGCCAAAACAATGCATAGTCAACTGTACATGTAAATGGGTATTTTAAAATCATTTCAAGCATGCTAAACCCAATGCAAACCCAGGAGTATTTCAATGTGTAACTTCACCCTGAGATGGACAAATTAGGACAATTTGTCTCTATTTGTGAAAACAGAGAGGCTGGTTGTTAGGCAGGGTTTTCCCTTCCTTTGGGCAAAACATAAGTTCCTGAGTTAGCACTTAGCAGAAGAGCAAAGAAACTTGACCATCTTTATATAAGCCAATCTGGAGACTAAAATTTAATCAGTAAACTAGATGAAAATCAGTTCAGGCCAAATTGTGATGATTACTTAGTAACTGGAAGTTGTGGAACCCTTGGTGCATTTTCTCTTTGAGTTAGGGAATTATAATGTCTGGTGTTAGATTCCACTCTAAACAGCTAAATTCAGGATTTTCCAAAGAAAGCAAAAATCCAACGTGCCTGTCAATTAAAAAAATCTTAAACTATAAAATTGTCTATGTAAAGAATTAAATTTCTATGCATATAGTTTTGTCAGTCAGCATTGAAGGTTTGAAGGCAGTCTACAAACTTCTAAAGTAACGTTTTCCCTTTTAAAGCAAGAATCTAAAGGACTGGAAGGTTGTGGCTGAAATCCTGCAGTTGGTGCTGCCCCTTGTGCATGCTGCTGATGCCATCAGCAAGCAACATTAATATTTAATTTAAAACTTTCTATTCTATCCTCAGGTTCTGAGGCTCCCTAGGGATCCCTTTTGATTTGAGGAAGCTTTTATGAGCTACAGCAGTGGTTCTTAACCTTTGTTACTCGAATGTTTTTGAACTGCAACTCCCAGAAACCCCAACCAGCACAGTTGGTGGTAAAGGCTTCTGGGAGTTGCAGTCCAAAACTCCTGAGTAACCCAAGGTTAAGAACCAGTGAGCTACAGAATGGAGGGAGGGAGCCTTTACTATCTTAAAATCACCACCACTAGTCTTGCCTCTGAGATTGGGACCAGCAGCAGCTACCTTAGCTCAAAAGGGATCTCTAGGGATCCTTGGAACTTTGGGAATGGGGAGGATAGAGAGTTTTAAAGTAAACTAGAGATTAATGTCACCTGCTGATAAGATAATCAACATTTACAATACACAGCTCTGTTAACAGGATTTTAGCCACCAATTTCTGTTAATTATTCAGACTGCACATAGAAGTAGTTCGCATAACAGGCCAAAACAGTCACTGACATCAACAGTAGAACAAAGTGCCCCTTTCCTCCAGTGTTTGTTATCTACCCCCTGGAAAAAGCTACACATTTAGCAATGCATCCTCAGTGAAAATGACTGGCTGACTTGACCGTATGTATGACATTACTGCATAATAATATGCCTTTCATGGTTTGGACATCTCTATACAATAGGTGCATTGAACAACGGCTTTGTTTCTGTTCTAGATCACTGCTGTCTGTGGGAGCTTCTGTAGGGTCAGTAGCAAGACAGACCTTGTTGGCTCCCTTTCCACCTGCAGCTCGGCCTTTCCGTGTTTGCAACCATGACAGGAGCAGTCGAAGAGGAGTTGTTGCAAGCAGTCTAGAGGAGCTGATTAGCAAGGTAGGCCACTTACCAAGTGTTCAACTGCTAACATATGCCTCCACCTCCTTGTCCAAAGACTGTATTAGTAGAGAAATTTGATCTCAGGGTCCAGAGACATAGCTAGAAAGCTTTGTTTAGACCCCTCAAAATAGTCTTTCCTAACCTCGTTCCTTCTGGATCTCATTGTCTACAATTTTCATCACAAGCATAGTCAATGGTTGGGGACTCTGCAGGCTCAAGAGTAACAGTCAAAACTCGCGAGATCCCAGCATCAGATCTTGCGAGTTTTGCTTACTGTTGTGCTGGGTGACCGGAGCTGGAGCTCCGGCTCACTCAGCGGCGACTGGTGGGCCGGACAGGAGTGGCTCTCGGGCCATATGTGGCCCACGGGCTGCACTTTGCCCAGGTCTGCTTTAGGGACACAAGAAGAAGGAAAGAGTGATCTCCATTTCTTCACATGCATGTGTGGTGGATCTTATTTCAAAGGGTGGGGAAAATAAGATGGGATTGATTTTATAATTGAGTGTTTGGTTTTGTTCTGTCCCTCCTTTAGACCTTGGATGCCTTAATGATTACTGCTGGAATGATAACACTGGTTTTAGAGGAAGATGGCACAGTGGTGGATACGGAAGACTTCTTCCAGTCCCTGGCAGACAACACATACTTCATGGTGTTAGAAAAGGGACAGAAGTGGAAGCCAGTAAGTGGTGAAAGTACAGTATGACAAATGATGGCAAGCTTATAAGATCTGTTCACATTTGAAGTGAGACAAAGCTTTTAAACTGGGCATTTGGAACCTTTTTTCTATAGCAGCTTCCTTAATGCTTCCAGTATTGCAAGACATGGTCTCTCCCTTTGCTTACAGGCTTGATTTGTACCCTCTTCATTTAATTAGTTTCTGGCACTTCCTCTTTGCCTTAAGGCACAGTTTTTTCTCGCACCTTACAGTTGTTAGGGTCCCTGCTTACCTATGAGCCTTCTTATATCACTGTAGGGATGCAAGGACAATAAGGACCACTAACCTGAGCAAAATTGAAATTGCTGCATTATTCCATGTATGTTTACTGAGAAGTAAATATTAGAAACATTGTTTCTCCATGATATTTAGCTGATAAAATAAAAATATAAGAGCCAAAGAAATTAAACAGATGTCAAAAGATACAGAGTAGAACTACAAGAAAACATGGACATGATTGCTCTTAAGCATCCCCACTTGTAGAGTGTAGCCCAAATAGCCAGCAGTGATATGAAGTTGGAGGTGAGAGGGGGTGGGGGTTAGTGGCAACAAGATCAGTCAAGTTTCAGGAAGCTCCTGAAACTGACCAAGATCACTCAGTTTCGACCCCTACAAACATGGGAGGGGGAGAACTTTTTATTAGGAGAAGTGAAATTCAAAGTAACAGAATCTGACTGAGAAGGGAAGCGGCTTGGGAGATTCCTGGATTGACCTCTCTTTGAAGTCACAATTTCAAAGCAGAACTGAGTGGGTGCCATCTTTGGCACAGAGCTGTGAATGCCCCAAGACAGAGAGTGGAAAAGTACAGAAGAATTTTGAAAAAATAATCTTGACGCAACTTAAAGTGGCTTGTTTTACATATGGAACTGTTAGACCTAAGCAATGAAGAGACTGTGTGTAATCTGTCAGAGAACATGACTACAGTCGTGCCCCGCTTAACTATTACCCTGCATTACAATGAATCCGCTTCACGACGATGTTTTTGCGATCGCAATTGTGATCACAAAACAATGTTTTAAATGTTTTGTGTTTTTTTGCTTTGTGAAGATCGGTTCCCTGCTTCGGGAACCGATTCTTCGCATTACGACGATCAAAACAGCTGATCGTCGGGTTTTTAAAATGGCCACCGGGTGCTCAGAATGGCTCCCCACTGTGTTTAGGAGCCATTTTTCGCTGCATAGGCACCTGAAAATGGCCGCGCCTATGAACAATCTTCGCTGGACTGTGAGTTCTTAGCCGATTGGAACGCATTAACCAGGTTTTAATGTATATCTAACCAGATAGGCAAACACACTCTCCCCCCTCCCTTTCATCTGAGGCTTGGCTGAGAGAAATGGAAAGGAAGGAGGAGGGAGAAAAAATAACTTTGCTTCTGTTGTGGCAATAAAACTTGCTCCCTCAGAACAATATAACTATAAACTACTGATGGATTTAAATCTGTGAAGCAGCCAGAAACAGTCTTGGGAAAGGCCCTTCCCCCTGTTAACCTTCTGCCCTAAGCTAGTATTGTGAATAACTATTGTGGTCACTGTCTCCAATTATGGGACAACAGGACATCCTCAAGAATATCTAAAAAATTATATTTAATGTACTGCACCAGATAAAAACAGATGGATTAGCTATTTGAACAAATTAAAGCCATGGGGACACAAATGGAACTTACAGTGAAGATGGAGAAAGAATTGAAACTACGACATGAAACCAACTTTTAAAAACCACAGGGACAATTTTATTCTTAAACCCCAGAAGGTTCTAGAAGAAAAAGGTGAAGATACAATGCAGTGGAGACGCAATTTGTTAATCCCCCTTATGGAGATGCCAGCAGCAGAAGTGTTGCAAATGGTAAAGTTTACTATTAACTTCGATATAAAAGGGAGAAGAGTGGAGATGATGGGAGACATCCTGTGGCAGATGAGACAAAGGAGACAATATATGGAGTGGATGAAGCTCTTGGGAATGGATGTGTGGTCCATAAGATGGATAATGAAAGACTACATGATAAGAGGGGCACAAAATATTGGTTAGAATACGGAGACAAAGCAGTGGAGACAAACATTACATTTAAGAAGGTATTTTGTGGTGAACGAATATATGATAAAATAAACACAAACTAATCGGAGATAAAGCAGTGGAGATAAACATTAAATTTAAGAAGGTATTTTGTGGTGAACAAATATATGATAAAATAAACACAAACTAATGGTTATAACAGTGATTAGAGCAATTTAGAACAATGGATATAAGATGGCGGAATAATATTAAACTTATAAAACTAGTAAACTCAGAGATAAAAAGAAAGAAAACACCCAAGAAAATGGAAGATTAGTGATGATGGATATTATGGAAAATTGTTATAATGTTTTTTCTCTTTGTTTGATTTCCATCTTTAATACAATTGTATAAGCGGATGTAAGAATACTTTTCACTCTCTAGAATTTTACCCTATCTTACCCTTACCCTCCTCTTACCTGGCTCCCTATTTGTACCATAAACCCTATCCCTATGAAAATGAATAAAAATATATTTTAAAAAAAGATGGAGATGAGACTAATGATTGTAGAAAACTTGAAGTGGATCTGACTGTAAGTGGGCTACAAATCTTTGAAACTCTGTGGCAGTGACAAAATCGTTCTTATCTGCCATTGTTGTATCTGCTCACAGACACCGTACTGCAGCTAAAACTGTGCTCACGACTTCTTTGAAACTCTGTGGCAGTGACAAATTGTTCTTTTCTGCCATTGTTGTTGTGTCTGCTCACAGACACCTAGCTGAACTGTTTCAAGTGGTCAAGGGTCTGTTATATGCTTGTCTGTTATATCTTGATCACTCAGCAGCCTTGCTCTGAAGAACTGGTGTGGTGCTTTGCAGACAAAGTCACTCAGATCCTGTCTGACTTGAATGCTATAGTTGACATGGGTAAAAATTTTAAACCGCCCGGAGAGTGCTTGTAGCGCTATGGGGCGGTATATAAGTCCAATAAATAAATAAATAAATAAGTGGTCAAGGGTCTGTTATATGCTTATCTGTTATATCTTGATCATTCAGCAGCCTTGCTCTAAAGAACTGGTGTGGTGCTTTGCAGACAAAGTCACTCAGATCCTGTCTGACTTGAATGCTATAGTTGACATGGGTCCTGGAAATGTGACTTTGTTCCCTCCTTGTCTCATGAGAATAGATAAATTTAAGTCCATGCAGTCCGAGCCTATGGGCAGAATTCTTGCAGAGGGTGAGAGCCACCACTTGTGTGCTGGGCCCCTGCCCTTCCTAGTTCATAAAAGCAGCTATGGGAGGACTGGCCAAGTGAGTAAAGTGAGTGGTGAATGCCTCTTTCTAGAAACACAGGGTTCCAGCATTCCTAAAGGAGGCTGTAGGAGTGCCAGTGCTGGAAAAGCTCTCCTTGAATCTCACTGTATTTGGACACTTATAATCTAGTATTGAAGCATCTGGTGACTTCTTAGCTCCAAGGATTCCTGGAAGAAATGGATTAGCAAGGTCCATTTCAATCTGGCTTGAAGCCTACTTATGGGATAGAGACTGCTTTGGTTTCCTTGGTGCATAAACGAAGCCAGGAACTGGACAGGGAGGGGGAGTATGACGCTGTTGGTTTTGCTTTCAGTACCATCTGTTGTTGTGGTGCTTCTGGCCCATCGCTCTGGAGAGGAACTATATTTCATGAAGGAGCGACTTCAGAAAATGGTGCTGGGAGATGCCTGTTCGATATCTAGGTCATTGGTGTCCCTGAGAATTCTGTTCTGTATGCTCTTTATCATATACACAAAACTGGAGAGGCTTCCTGTTTTGTTTTTTTTTTGGGCGGGGGGTTTCAGCACAATATCTTGATGACACCAACTTCTAATTCTCCTTTCTCTATAATCCCAAAGAAGCTGCCTCTGTTTTAAACCATTGTCCAGTCACAGTAATGTTATAAATGAGTATAAGCAGATTGAACCTTAATCCAGACATGACAGGTGTTCTGGGTCAATTGGTAGACTGATCAGGGAACCAGCCTACACTGAATATGGTTACACTCCCCCTGGAAAGTCAGATTTGCAGCTTGAAGGTGTTCCTGGACTCATTGCTGAACTTGGATGTTCAGGGTTCACCATCAGCTGTTTGCACAGTTAAAGCTACTGTGGCTGCTGCACCCATTCTTGGAAATGTCTGACTTGGCTATAGTGACACTTGCCTTAGTTACATCTTGCTTGGAGTGCTGCAATGCAGTCTACTTGGGACTGCCTTTGAAGAGTGTCTGGAAACAATCCCAGTTTACTTTATGTAGAAAAGCCACCACTCACATGATGTTTGGTGCGAACAGTACTTCATACATGGCAAAATACTTTGTATTAGGAATAATGGCACCTCTGAAGGACTCATAGGCTTAGTTGGACACTTGCTTTGGATTGGTTGTGGTTCAAAGATTCCTTGCTGTTCTAAACCATTGGTTTTATTATTAGTAAGCTGCTCAGTATAAGATTACATCAAGGGTACCCATCTATTGAACTGAATTAGTAAAATCCTCTGTTATGTAAGCCTAATGTTTAATGTATGATTCCCCTCCACCTTTTCTCTGATCTAGGGGCCAATCTATAGAGTTACAGCAGTACAGCAACCAAAGAAAATGGGGGTAGCAAATATTACCTTGGACTTGTACAAACTGAATCCGAAGGACTTCATTGGATGTTTAAATATCAAAGCTACTTTCTATGAAATCTATTCTGTGTCCTATGACATCAAATGTATGGGAGCAAAGACAATACTAAGGTAAGATCAAATTTATAGTAATAAACAGTTTTTTTCAGGTAAAATAATTCAAGATGCTCTAATAGAAAGTATTATTAATAATCTGTTTAAGTTTAGTCAGAAGTAGACTACAGTAAGAATTTATGGAGTGGAGTAGGTTCTCTAGATTATGTTGCAATAAATAATACAGTGGTACCTCGACTTGCGAACGTCCCTACTTGCAAATGATTCGTGTTACGAACTGCTCCGTTTGCAAAAAGTTGCTTTGACCTGCGAACGGAGCCTCAACTTACGAACCAAAAGAAAAAAGAAAAAAAACTTCCCTGCCCTTTTTTTGACCTAAGTTCACCTTGGGTCAAAAGAAGAAAAAAATTAAAAAATTGCCCCCTAGTGGTAGAGTACGGATTAACCGGCTTCTATGGAACTAATGCCTCTACCTACGAACAGTGGCTCAACATACAAACGAAAACCAGCAGATCCGGATTAAATGGTTTTCAGTGCATTTCTATGGAAAAGTTTGCTTCGACTTACGAACTTTCAAATACAGTACGAACGCCATCCCAATATGGATTAAGTTCATAAGTCGAGGTACCACTGTAATACCACATCTGCTACCTACACTTGCAAGGTAAAGTTTGTAAGGACGCTGCTTGTTTAGTTCATCGTACTGTTTGTTGCTGTAATTAGCCAAGTGCCTATGGGAGGACCATAAGCAGGACACGAGCCCTCTCTTCTGCTGTTCCTCAGCTGCTAGTATACAAAAGATAGTATCCTGATTCTGGAGCTAGTGCATCCCCCTCATGACTGCTAGATTTTGATCATCTTCTAGGAAGTAATCTGAGCTGGTGTAACTGCTACTAGATCTTATAGCAGGCGATTCCAGAGTTGTCACTGTGCACTGTGATTGTCAAGAAGGACTTCCATTCCGTTGTTGATGACTTACCTTGTTGTTTCCATGGATAGCAAGAAGCACTCTAGCCCTTTCGCCAGTTTGTTTCTGGCTTTGTCTTCTCTCCTACCATTTGGAGAACAGTGGGTTTGAAGAGGAGAGTCCTTTCACCTATCTATAGGAGCTCTCCACAAAAGTCAGGAAGTTGACTTTCCAGGGTCCCAGCTAACATGCAGAGCCCCCTAGAAAGTGGAGGCATGCATCTTGAGACTCATTCCACATGTAGGGAGAGCAACAAAACTAGAAACTGAGGACAGCGGGGCCAGGTTGTTCTCCATTACCCACAGTATTAGGAAGACATAATTTGCTAATAATTGAATAAGACTTTCTGTTGGCCATGAATCTCCCACCATTCAGCTTTACTGGATGACTCCAGAATCTAGTATGATGAGCAAAATGGGAGAAGCTTTCTGTCTACATCACATTTAAATATATAAACCTGTTTCTTGCCCTTGTCACACTAAGTTTGTCAAGTATCCTGTTTCTGAAAACATGCATAGAATAGTCAGGTTCAGTGCATAGTTCCTCTCTGCCCACTGCTTTCACAAGCAGAAAGTGTGTAGTGTGATCTCCAGCTTGCATCACTGCAAGTCAGAGGCTGGCAGGAAGAAATGAAAAGGGTTTTGCCTGCAGGAGCTAATAAGCTCTACAAAAACAACAGGATTGTAGCTCTTGATTCTAAACTAAAAATGCCTTGAACAGTAAAAACATAAGCTTTCATCATAAAGGAGATGTTCTAGCTCACCAATTATTTATGTTCTTTTCTGTACTTTAACTGGCTATACAATATAATTTTTGAGCTGTGGTGATCAGAAATGTACACAGTAATTACTGTGGTTGCATTGGACGTTTGTATGTTGTGCACAAAAAACTGAGCCTTTTTAGCTTCAGTCCCTTTCATAACAACCCTCGGCATGGAATTTACATTTTTCAGACCAGGCCACTATTCCCACTGAACTTTCCACTGCAACAGAAATCCCTTTCCTGGTCGGCAACAGCCAGCTGAGACCTCATGTGAAGTTACAATTCTATATGTTTGGTTTTTGTCCCAGTAGGCATCACACATTGCTTTACGCTTTCTTCCACCAAAGTGTATTGGCCGTTTTACTATCCATTCTCCCATTTTGGAGAGATCCTTTTGGAGCTTTTCATAATCCTACTGTTTTTACCATCCTGAATAATCTGATGATTTTGGCAAACATGGCCATTTGCCTGTTCAGCTACTCCAAGATCACTTAAGAGCAAATGTAAAACCATTAGGCCACTTCAGACCCTTGAGGGTCACCATTTGAATGCTAGACAAATAATGGTTTAAATATCTAGCTGCGGGGCCAGAGGCTGAGAGTTTGATTCCTCCCCGAGTCTCTTGGGAGAAAAGCCAGTCTGTGTAGTCATGGGCAAGCTGCACAGTTCCAAGGCAAACCCAAAAGAAGGGAATTGTGAATCACATCTGCGTGATTCTGCACCCTTTCCATTCTGTTCCTGGAAAAGGTCACCAGGAATCTGAATTGACTTCACAGCATGTTGCCGTGTTGGTGGTGGTAGTAGTGTTATTAAAAGTAAATACTGCAATAAATTCTTACATGTTGCAGTGTGAAACACTACATTCATAGTTTCTACAACAGTAAGCAGAAAGCAGTATCAATAATACAGATAACTATCTTGAAAGTATTTTAAAACTGAGATAATAAAATGTCAGTGATTTAGGTATCTTGATTAAGTTTGGAGAGGTCTCCAGTTAAATAGGTGGGTGGGATATTTTGATAAAGGCTTGGGTAAGCTCAGTGTTAGAGAACTGACAAGCTGCTCCTGTGATATGCCCCTAGGCAGTTTGAAATCTCATATAGTCTGACACTAGGTGGCGATAGCACCCACCACTTAACTACATACCCTGTTTCCCCCCAAAATAAGACCTAACCTGAAAATAAGCCCTAGTATGATTTTTCAGGATGTTCATACTATAAGCCCTACCCCAAAAATAAGCCACAGTTAAGTGAAACCCCATCCTCCAATCATTGTGCAGCAACTAGGAGAAGATGACATGACTGTATTTGAATAAATGTGGATTGTTGCACATGGAAAAAAAATCCCCTGAAAATAAGCTCTAATGTGGTTTTTTGGAGCAAAACTTAAAATTAAGACCCCGTCTTATTTTCGGGGAAACAAAGCAAAAATTAAAATTAAGACCCTGTCTTATTTTCGGGGAAACATGGTAGATATGTGTGTATCATACACTGGTCTGTTGCTGAAATATAGTGGCAAAAAAACTTCCTAGAAGAAGGAGTTCCAAATGCATAAATTATTCTGGCAGTACTTCTGGGTGTAGTTAGGTAGTAGCTATTGTCAGGGGAATCTCTAGAAATGACTAGGGTTTTTTGTTCGGTTTTTGTTTTTGTTTTTTAACTGAAGGAAGATTACAGGCTCTAATACTATTGTGTGCTAATCCTTGTCCTGAAATGAAGGGAGCAAGATAATCTTTTGTCCTTTAGAAGACTTTAACAGTCTACAACAAACATGAACACAGATGGCTTCAAAAGAATTTGAACAGAAAATAAGCACACTTAGGAGTGCAAAAAAGTAAGGAATGTCTTAGACTGGTAATAAAACATGGCTCTAATACTAATTTATGCTGACATTCTTGCTCTTGCTCTTCATTTCAGGATAATTTGTGGTGCTGACATAATTCTTGCTCTTCATTTCAGGATAATTTGTGGGTACAGAAACACTGCAGTACTTGTATCATAAATTAATAGAATAAAACAAATAAAACAAACTGCTAACTATGATCGGCCAGTGCATGAACAACAGGACAGAAGTGAATGGGATGTTAGTTAAGCATTTGCTACACAAGAGTGAACAAATTCTTGCTCTTCATTTCAGGATAATTTGTGGGTACAGAAACACTGCAGTACTTGTATCATAAATTAATAGAATAAAACAAATAAAACAAACTGCTAACTATGATCGGCCAGTGCATGAACAACAGGACAGAAGTGAATGGGATGTTAGTTAAGCATTTGCTACACAAGAGTGAACACCATATCATAAAGTAATAGAATAAAAAAAAACTGCTAACTATGATTGGCCAGTGTATGAACAGCAGGACAGAAGTGAATGGGATGTTAGGGGGATGTTAAGCATTTGCTACACAAGAGTGAACACTTGTATCATCCCTGTGCATAAAATGTAGAGGAGGTATTTGTAATAAAATAAGATCTGGGAAACAATCCGCATTCAGGTTGGAAGGTATCTCCCTTCCCCACTGAGTTTAATGGTAAGCAGTTTAATTTGTGCAAGCCAAAGTATGTGAATTTCGGGTGATACAGCTGCATGCTCACAACAGCATCTGGAAGGAAGTGAGCATTGGAGGGCAGTGTGCCTGCTAAAAAGGGGTGTCAGTGTAAATCATATACCAAAAGGTATACAGATGTGTACATGTTCGGTGTATGCAATATTTAACTTCTAATTTTTTTTCCTCTGCAGGAGGATACTTCGATTTTTATCACATATTGCACAAGTTACAGGACAACTCCTTCTGTGCACGGGAACATACGTACTACAGATAATGGGTGACTATGAAGATGATCTGCTTACGAAGGCGAAGGACTAATTAAAAAACAACCTTTTAGTTCTCAGCTAACGCTTGAACATTTGGGGGAAAATATCTATGGCTCAATGTGTTATACTGTATGCTTCAATTTTAACACGCCAGTGTCCAAAGTGTAACAACTAGCCTTCCTCTCTGTTGTTCAGGTTTTTATTTAAGATAATGATGCCATAGCCATAAATATGAGTGGAATCTTCTTTTTAATTTAGTGAAAAGAATGGTATTTAAGCAGAGGGATTTTTGTGCCATAATCTTTCAGAGTAAAGTCACATGTGTTGGGAGCAGGTATTTCCTGAGGTTTATCAATCAAGAATATCTTCATTAACAACTGTACTAACAGCTATTTAGGATGTTCTGACTGGAGTTGGTGACTTCTTGTAGGAGCCTAAGATTAACTTCAGCCTGCCTGTTAAAATATCTCACTTTTTCGAGTCTCTAAATAAATAGCAGTATTAACATTCTGTATTGAGTGCTACAGTGTTGTGCTTGATTTTTCATGTAATGTCACTTGTTCAACCAGGTAACCTTAAGAGTCCCAGGATACCTGCTGTCATAGTTGTTAGCAAATCTAAAGGTCAGCTTGGTTTCAACTGGAGAAGGCTTAATGATGAAGCACAAGCTGTTGAATGTTGGCATATCTTAATATTAAATAAGGATATTCCCCACCACTTACTACTTAAGCTACTTTAACATCTTGACCACAAAGCACAGGGGGAGCAGGAGGGGCATAGCTGGGGCAGAGGCAGCTTTTCATCTGTGAAGGTGTAATGGACACCAATCAGTGCCATCCATCCTGCCCAAAGGTCATGGAAAATGGGAGTTGTAGCCTGAAAAAAAGGACAAAGGCTCCCCAATATTAGTGTAAAGAATTATAAAGAGAAAGCAATGTTTTGGGAATATTACCTTTTTTTTAATTGTAGTTTACATCTTCAGTTGAGATCTAAGGGAAGCTATCATGAGTGCTATATTTAGCAATACTGGAAGTAACAGATTCGGAATATCTTTGTGTGTGCAGAGATGGAACACTGTCCTTGTCATGGCCATACTTCTATATGCACTCTCATAATTTGATAATTATCTTCTTGGAGCCCAAATCTAGGGAATTATTCTCTTGCAGGTTTAGGTAGGAGGAACTGGCTCTCAGTCTTAAGTATGTTGAGCTGAAGCATGTTGACCAGTAGAATGTACTCAGACTTGTACCCCTTTTCCCTCTGTACTAGTTCAAGAGAATATGTCTTAAAACCAAGGGTAGTTCAATGTTTTCTGAGAACATGGAAAGACGAAAAGAAGCCAACAAGCAAACAGCAGCTGATTGATATCATATGTTGACCACGTAATACATGGAAATGGGCCTATTAGGTAAAGCTAGCAGGGAGAGGCAAAAGCTGGGTAGGTGCTATAAGAGAAAAAATCCTGAAACATTAGCCCATACTGTCACTGTTCATGTAATATATTGGTTGTATTTACAGCAGACCTTTCCATAGATAATATAGCCATATATAAAAAAACTGGAGAGGACCATCAAAGCTTGGCCCACAAACAAAACTGTTTAGCTTCAGCAAGTCTCTTGTGCTCTATGCCTTTGGCTCATGTTCTAATTGAGCAAAGACCTTTTAAATGTACTTTTGGATTATGCAATATATTTATATTACAGGCCAGATATAAGTGCTTAGGCCTATCCAAAGCACAATTATGAGGAATACATGCTTCTCATCATAAGTCAAAGAAAAAATATATATAAAAGTTACAGTGGCTATACAAATTATATACCCAAAATCAGTAGTGAGGGGTGGAACCTTGTTGGCCAGTCTTCTCTTTCAGCAATTGTTTCACAAAACTAGCTGGCTTAATAAAACCCTTATTAAATTAACCAGTATTCTCAAAGCAGTTGGTCCAAGTAATGCAAAATGGTTAAGTCAAGGAATAAAAATAATGTTTATAATTATCTAAACCATTTTTGTCCAAAAAAAAATTGTACTTCCAAGTACATGATTCTCTGCTTAATGGCTACATTGCCCTCTCAACCCACTCAAAGACCAAAATGTTTGTTTGTTTATTAACTTTTACCCCACCCATCTAGATTCAAAGACAGAGTGGTCGTATAGACCAGATGGGCGGGATACAAATGAGATAGATAGATAGATAGATAGATAGATAGATAGATAGATAGATAGATAGACAGACAGACAGACAGACAGACAGACAGACACATACATACATACATACATACATACATACATACATACCTACTTACTTACTTACTTACTTACTTACTTACTTACTTACTTACTTACTTACTTACTTACTTACTTACTCTGGGTGGTTTACAAACAAAATTTAAAGCAAACAATATCAAACAACATAGAAAGGTCCCAGATGATAAGACATAGGGAATGAAGAAATGGAAGTGGGGAAGGCTTGCCTGAAGAACCAAGTCTTCAGCTTGTTCTTAAAAACTCCCAGCAAGGGAGCCAGGCGAATCCCAAGGGGCAAAATGTTCCAGAGGTGAGGGGCCACCACCGAGAAGGCCCAGTTTCTAGTTCTCTCCTTCCAGGCCTCTCTCGGGGTCAAGCCCCTCAGTCAGCCAACCTGGCTAGATCAAGCGACATGAGTAGAACTAGGTGGGAGCAGGCATTCTGTCAGGTATCGAGGTCCTAAACCATTTAGGGCTTTATATGTAAGTATTAGCACCTTGACGTCAATGCAGAAATGAATGGGCAACCAGTGTAAGGCCACCAGAGTGGGGGAAATGTGATGGTATTTTTTCACCCCAGTTAATAATCTGGCGGCTGTATTCTGTCCCATTTGTAGTTTCCGCATCAATCTCAAGGGTAGCCCCATGTAGAGTGCATTACAGTAGTCTAATCTTGATATTACGAGTGCATGGACCAAAGTGGCGAATGCCCCAACATCAAGATAGGAGCACAGCTGGGCAATCTGCCGAAGATGTAGCTGGGCGGTGCGGACCACAGATGCTACCTAGGACTCATTGGTAAGTGCTGGGTCAAGATGGACCCCCAAGCTGTGGACCACACTCTTTGTGGTGAGAGTCACCCCCCCAAAAAAATGGGTCAAGATGGACCCCCAGGCCGTGGACCACACTCTTTGTGGTGAGAGTTGCCCCCCAAAAAGAGAGCAACCCTCCCAAACCACTGATAGAAGGGGTGCCGATCCTCAAAACCTCTGTCTTGTCCAGATTCAACCTCAGTCCATTCTCCTGCATCCATTGCAGTACACCCCCGAGACAGCATTCAAGGGACGCAACGGTATCCACTGCTGTTCGAAAAAAGTATATGTAGAGCTGCATATCATCAGCATACTCTTTTAATTGTAGAAAATTATTCTCAAGGAATGGCACCTACTTTTCAGCAAAAGGCAAAGACCATTTTATTCTTCCACATCAGGCCTGCCTTATCTGACTGGTATTATCTCTGCTTGCTCTTATCTATTTTGTACTTGATGTATCTTTACTGATCACTTTTATAGTGCTTTTAAAAATTGTGTTGCTTTCAGTGGTTTTAGTTTTGACCTGCTTTTATTGTAATTGCAGTAATTTGTTAGAACTCATTGAAGGATGGAGTAGAAACTCCTATAATAATAAATAAATATCTTCTTTAGGAATTTGGAGTGTCAGGTTAACATACCTCTGTTTTAAGAAACATTCTGTAAGAAAACACATACTTGTTCCAAAATACAGAGCTATCTATTGCAGGGAAATCTAGAATGTCCTCACACAGTATTTCATGTACATCACTGGGAACCCATGTGTTCTTGGACTGCAATTCCCAGAAGCCTTTACCAACAGCTGTGCTGCCTGGAGTTTCTTGGTGTTGCAGTCCACGAACACCTGTGTTACTGAAGCATGGGAACCATTAACCTGTATGAATATAGTTAGTGTGTAATAAATGCATACTTTTCATTAAGTGAATGTATTAATATGCTGCCTGTTCTCATCAAATGAGGAATAGTTCATTATACCATTGCTGTTACTTGACCATGCATTGCAGGGCTGAAGTATTGAAAATGAATGGTACAATTATAAAAAAAATTCAGCAGTTCTCTACATACGGACACCTAACATGTCAGGGAGAATGCCAAGCAAGAACCCTTCTGCCTGGCCTGGAATCTGTTTTTGTATATGAGAAGAATCTTACATAGAGGAACTTCAATAACGTGGCTTCCACCTATTGTAGAATTATAAGGTTGGAAAGAATTCCAAGGGTCATGTCCAGCTTCCTTACAAAGCAGGAAATTCAGGGCTAAAGGATCCCCGACAGGTAGCCATCCAAGCTCTATTTTATAAACCTCCAACAAAGGAGAATCCACCACCTTCTGCTGCAGTCCATTCCACTGATCAACAGCTCTTGCCCTCAGGAGGTTCTCCGTGATACTTTGTTGAAATTGCTTTTCTTGTAATTTGAATCCATTGATTTGGGTCCTAATCTCTGAAGTGGCAAACAAAACAAAACAAAATGTCTTGTTCGCTTTCCTGTATAATAGCAAATATCTGCAGATAGCTATCAACTCTTCTCCAGGCTAAACATACCCAGTTTTCCTCAACTAGTTTGTTTTTCACCTTTGTTGCTCTTCCCACTTTCCAGTACCTCCAATAAAATCTGACCAAAGTAGAATAGGTGATACTGTACTGTTACTTCCCTTGGTCAGGATATTATATTTCAGTTGATGTTGCCCAGAATTGCAGTAGCTATTTTTTAATTATTTCTATTTTAATTTTTTAAATCAAAATTTATTATGATTTTGCTGCTGCCGCCACCACCAGATACTCTGGTAGCTGTTATATTTACTGGGAAGTTGTACAGCCCTGTGTAGATTTACCACTTTGCTAATTACAAGGCCCTCAGATTACATAAAGCTTTTAGTATCGGTTTCAGTTTCACAGTAACTACTAATATGGTTTTATGGTGAAGCTTAGCAAATTTTTATGAAATTCTTTTAACTCTCAGATAAAAGGAGTTATGTAAGTCTAACTTGTTGTCCTGCCTTTTATGGGATAGTGAAATAGTCTCCTATTGACAGAAAAAAAAAACCTTCATGCATGTCTTATAAATTCTTTAATTGTGCATAGAATAAAACTCTGTCTTAGAACTTTTAGGCAAAACCGCTTGTTCTTTCCTTCAGTCTTTCTTTTATATTATTAGTACAGCACTATGGTCTTTTAGACAATCAGATATCACATAATTGCATACTTTTAAGAATAACAAAATATAACAATCTCAATAAATTAAAAAGTGCAAACAAAAAATCCTAAGAACTATCAGTGATTATACGTGTTTTTTATAAACTGAAAAACAGTCCCACCCCACATTTCTTTATTCTGCCAAATGAAGAACCAATGGGTGAAAGAAGAGTTTGGTGGACTCTTTGACCCAGTAAAAGGTATTTAGATCCTTTGAGCTTCTCATCTGCTTTATTGGCATTCACTTAGCTATATATGCTAAAAATGTGCTGCTTTGTGGTTATTATGTCGAGACAATTTGATTGGCCAAGTTACTTAATAAGTTAGTTTATAGTATTGTTTACGAAGAGTTCTCCTTTTCTTCTGTACTGCACATCAGGTATGATTACAACTATGAAAACTCCTTTCATCTTGAAAAAAAAAACAAAATTAAAGAGCCAATTTGTTGATAATTTGATCTCATAAAGAAATGTTGTATGCAGACTTCCTTTGACTTTAAATGGGAGTTTCTATGTTTATTGTCTCCATTGTTGGCATCATATGTACATGGCAATTTACAGGAAAGTAAATAAATTGAAAGTATCAGAATTATCTAGATTGTACCTTATATGTATTAAAATTTCAGGGTGAACATGTTTGTTCTTCCTTAAGGAGCAACAGATATTTTTCAAAATGTACTCTGTATGCCAACTATACAACTATATCAGTAAATTTATTGGGAGAAGTATCACTTTGCATGATGACAGTTTGTGGATTCAATATATATTAAGTTGCCTCATTATGTCTTAAAGATAAATAAATCATTGTAGTTTTGAGATGATAAATCAACAGGCTAACCCTCTGCATGTAGCCAATCTAACAGAGTTCCATAATAATAATTACATGTCATCAAACTGATTTCAGTTTATGGCAACCTTTTCTAGGGCTTTCTAGATGTAGAGTACAGAGAGCTAATTTGCCATTTTCTTCCTTTTAGGGCACTCTGTGTCAGTGCAGCTTGCACAAGACTACACTGTTGAGCATAGTACTGTAGGGAATTGATCTCTTAACCTCTGCTTCTGCATCCAGTTTTCCAACTCGTTAGACCTCAGTAATACTGTGTTGTGTTTGAACTGCAATGTAACATATGGGCAGAAAACACATATATGGTGTCATCCCTGCGCCCCTTTCACCCTTACAACCCATCTTCATCAACCCTAAGTAATCATAATATTGCCAGTCTTCCTCCCAGATTTTGACAAAGCTTACGATTTTGCTAGACAGCCAAACCTGAGTGGGCAGGATCAGGCTAAATACGGTTGGTTACAGTCGGTCAAAGGTGCATTGTATTAAATATTTGGATCCACGTGCAAGGATTGTGTGGGCTTGGGTCAGGAAGAATTAATGGGAAACAGGTTGCTTACTGATTTTGAGAAATTGGCTTGTTTCTCTTTAAATCTTCTTTGCCTTTGGAGAGGAATGGAGACCAAGCTTTCCATTGCTTTTAGTGACTGCTGGCCAACACAGCTAATCAGCATTGCTTTGAAAGCAATTTTTTAAAAAACGTTCTAGGTACCACTGATATGTTAGCATTAGCAACAATTAAAAAGAAATGCCCTGTCTTCCAAAGGAGAGCCTACGGGAAGTTATTAATTAAGCAGCTTCACCAAAGGGACAGCTTCACCAAAGGGACAGCTGCTTTGGTTGATCCCAGCAATCACAAATGCTGGAACAGAACCAACATAGAACAATCCCATCCACACCTAAAAAAACAGTAGCACTTTTCTGACAGGGACCCAGAAAGGTGTAAGTATGCTCTGGAAGTGGGCTGGTTCACTCTAGTAAATACTTACTGCCAGTAAAAGGAGAGAACTAATCCATCAGCAGACCAAACAGTGGCCTAATGCCCATGTAGCCACCCCCACAGTTCTGCATTCAACTTAGAGGTTCTAACCTACTCCAAATCACTTCTCCTTCAATATTGTATGATTTATTCCTATATTTTGGTTCTGTATATCTTGCATGGCTGACCTGTGGTCGTAACGACAATAAAGTAAAAAATAAATTTAAAGTACAGGGAAATGGCAGGTGGATCGTTCTGAGACCTGATAGAAACCCTGTGAATACCATATGTTATCAAATAGCATTGCTATAGCTTTGAAGTGTTTCCTTGAATATTGTTAACATGGTTTTAGGCTTTACAAATTATTTTTATATTGTACCAAATCAGAGTAACACCAGTAAGTATAGGCTTTATAAGAAGTGATGGAAAAGAGAATTAAGTTAATCCTTTAATCTTATTGTATTTTTGTTGTTAGCCGCCTAGAGTGGTCCTGACCCGACCAGATAGGCGGGATATAAATGAAATATATAATAAATATTTATTTTTAATATTAGATTCCATAGCAATGGTTTTGCAAAACACACTATCATCCTCTTTAAACGTTGCTGGCAGAGAGATTACAATTGTGCCTTTTCTCTACTTTCTCAATGTGATGTATTCTGTTGAGCAAGTGAAATGCAATGTCACCCTGTGTTCTGGGCTCTCTTAAGAAATGGACCTTGAAATTTATTTATTTCCCCCTCCCCCAAATGTGGGCAGACCGTGGAATGGGCTCTGGATAAAGAGAGGCCAAAGTGACATTTTAACATTCTCAGCATTCATATGCCTTTAAATCATGAATCTGGTAACACTACTAACAATATTCAACTGTGTGTGAAAAGCTGATTTCTTCCCAGATGAAACTGTTTCCAAACAAATCATATGCAAGTATGTGACAATTCTTCTCTGTGTGAACTTTTACATGCTTTCTCAGTCTTCTGATGAAAGACTAGTTTTTATCATCTGGGCTAGTCTTTCATCAGAGCTTTCTTGTCTGAGAATAGAGCTCTGATGACCAAGGTATTACCATTATGTTTCTACAAATCCATTTAGTAGGTTTATTTAAGTTTGGGCAGTATGGAGATGAAGCTTCTGTTGTGTTTGTCCTTAATTTACCTCAAGTTATGAGGAATTTCACCATTCTCTTTGTGGATTGCATCTGACAAAAAATTATCAAAAAGTCTTAGAGAGGTAGGTTGTCTGATGTATCAGAGCTAAAATTATCCATTATTTACTGCAGAATTTGATAAGAAAAGTAGACTATGTTGAAAACCATAGGAATCTGGAACAGGGGGAAGCCTTAACAGAATTCTTGAACTCTCTCTGCCATTGGATATAAATAGCTTGCATTAAGATAAACAGTTTTCCTTTGCAGAATAGATGGTTAGACATTTATGCAACCATTCCTAGGGTATGTTTCTCTGTTTTACTACATTCAGTGTCTTCCTACTCCATGAGGTGGCATGGCAGGACACAGCAATACTGTATCTGAACAAAATAATGTAAGCAGTTACATTCCGCGTCTGTCCGCTTTCCCAGCTTGATTGATAGTCATTATGACTCTTGGTAAAAGTACATTTAAAAATTGCATTGGCCCACAACAGCATAATGATGTAACTGAACAGAACTGAATATGGTTGATTGTCCCTCACCCCTGAAGAATCTTTGGGCATTTCTGAAGCATTTAATGCTTTCCAGCGCAACTCTGATCCACCTTCTGTACTTAGGTGTTATAACCAAGACAGCCAAGGATCAGGGCCACCTGCTTATCAGTTTCATGTACAGAAGCTATATTGATTACTGCTCAACAGAATCAGCTGAAGAGCCCCCAGAAACACCATGACTGCCTCACTACCTTCTGAAGTAAGCAAAGAATAACACATTGACAAAATCCTGTTGCTTAGGGCCTGCCCACTTTCAATGCAGGAGGGATCAGGCTACAAAGGGTCTATGGAGGGGGAGTGAGGTGCCATTCAGTAAGTCACAACTAGATTGGGTCCATAAATTCAATGGAACACACACACACACACTGCCTTTTGGTCTACAGATAGGATCACAAAGGCAGAATCTGAAATAGCTTACCTACACCAGTACCTTGGTTTGTCAGGTGGCTCTTGAAATTGTTATTTTTATTCAAAGTACTGTAGATCCAACAAGCCTGAAGTGGTCCACGCTTATTCTAGTGCTACAAAAGGGCTCTAATTCCAGATCATGGCTCACTGAAGCCGGTCCTACACGGCAGGCTGAAGCCACTACTAAGGAGAAGAGCTTCCCTACATTAGGAGGGTTAGGCACTGCAACAGCACAGTATAAGCTAGTGATGGAGAACATAGGAAGTGAGTCTAGCCTAGTATTGTTTACACTGAGGGCCAGTGGCTTTCCAAAATTTCACACACGGATTTTCTGGTCATAGCTTGGGCCATCTGCATGCAAAGCATATGCTCTGCCACTGAACTACAGATCTGATATGGTTCACTGGATCAAGAGTCTGGAGAGTAACTTTTTAAAAGTAAGTTGTTAACAATGACATTTCAACCTTCATTCCAAAGCAACACACTGTTACAGTTGCAAAGTAAATTTCTCTCCAGGACTTTAAAGGTTCTGCAGCTCTCTTAAGACCTACTGTAAGTATCAGGTGTGTTTCTACTCACATTGTGTTTATGCATCAGTAGTGGAGGCTTGGTGTGAATATTATTGGTTTTTTTTCCTGTTCAGTGTGAGAAGTTGGGCCAAATACTGTTTCATGGGGCTGTGCTGCAGACTTCACAAAGGGCCTTACTTGATGTGAGGAAGTAAGTGTAGTAATCTCCCCACCCCACCCCCCGCCACACACCCCTTTTCCTTAGTAACATAGAAGAGGAAGAGAAGAGATGCATTCATTTTTGCTGATGCAGTATTGTACACAGTCCTCAAGGGAAGCACTAGATACAAGTGACTGCCTCATAAGCTAGTTGGAGACTTAGCCATGGATATTACTTAGAACAGCCCCATCTCCCACCTCAGTTTCCAAGTGAAATTGTGCTGACAGTCTTTCTTCACTGGCTTCAGTAAATTATACCAGCAAATAGGAATGTGCCAGAGAACAATACCACACTGAATACAGACACATTTCCTGAAAAGCAGGAAAGGGCTTGGTCTCATGACAAACTGCATAAGAAAGAACTCTAATGCTGTTTTTCCAGTGCATTCATTAGCATTTTCCATGGGGATTTTTGTGCATGTGTCATACATACAAAGCGTGCCTGAAATGAAGTGACTGTCTTTGGTACTGCATTGATTTGTTAGCTAGCTTTTTGTGAACTTTAACCTTACTCCAAAATTTTAATACTTTATTCTGATAATGTATCCGACACTGACACATCCTTGAATGTTTAAAATACACATTACTTGATTTTTGTACTCCTCCACCCCAGAACTGTGTACTTAACACAAAAGGTGCCTCCTTTCTTGACCTGAGAGTCATTTAATGCAGCCTCCCCACTTCCCTCTTGCAAGAATGCAGGAGGAATCTATGGTTTAATGTGTGTCTTACACACATGAGCTTTGTTTAACTATGCAGGGGGATATGATTCATATCTAATGCCAACCTGTTATATACAACGGCCAGGATCCTGTTGTACTATGTGATTGTGCAAGCATACTCATGTAAGCAAAGCTCCTGCTACATATGCCTGGTCTCACTCTGATTATGAGGTCATTGGTGCAACTGGTTGCCTAATTGGTTATGCAGTTGCGGGCCTTCCTTGTATGAGGAAATACATGCAAAATGGCTTTTCCAGTCCAAATAGGATACTGACCCTTCCCCCCGCTTCTTTGCTGTTAAAATTTTACATTTTAAAAATAATTTGAGGGGAGTCCAGTAGACAATACAGTCCACATCTCCTTCCACAGCTGATATGTATCATGACATAAAGCTGCCACTAATGCCTATAGCAGAAACATTTTCTGCTCTCCACATATTCAATATATATTTTTCAACTTATATTTTTTATGTGCAGATAGTGAGGGAAGAATTTCCACCATGGGCATCAACACTAGAGTACCTGGTTGGATATCACACGGCAGTGGAGAGCTAAAGTAGACCATACAACCCTGTGGCCTTCTCCCTGTGTTCTTTTCCATGTGTGTGATGCACATAGGGTCGTGCGAACCTCCTTACAGTACATGCTGGATTTCCTTTACAGGAAAGAACATTCAAGATAGTAAGGGAACAATTCCCTCAAAGTCCCACTGGTCCCAATAATGGTAGAAATGGACTATAGATGGTCTGCTGTTAGTGTTGTAGTTTGCTGTGGTCCACACAATCAAGGGCTTTTGTGTAGTCAGTGAAGCAGAAGTAGATGTTTTTCTGGAACTCTCTGCTTTTCTCCATAATCCAGCGTGTTAGAAATTTGATCTCTAGTTCCTCTGCCCTTTCAAAATCCAGCTTGTACTTCTGGGAGTTCTCGGTCCACATACTGCTGAAGCCTACCTTGTAGGATTTTGAGCATAACCTTGCTAGCGTGTGAAATGAGTCCTCTTCTAATAAAGGACTATTTATAACCTCCGTTCCTGCCCTAAGAGGATTAAGTACATTCTCAAATTCAGAATAGATGTTTCAGACATGCAATATCAAACACAGAGAACAGTAGCTCTAGTCCCTAAGCAACATAAGTCCTTCTCCTGTTCCTTTCAAATCTGAATAATCTTTCTGCTAGGCAATTCCAGACCTTTGCTTACATTTCTTTTTTACAATACTTCCAATGAAGCTGTTTCAGACTTCACCCTAGCAGGTGGGCATGCCTTAGATTCCAGATGCTTGGAATAGTCGACTTGTCCTCAGTGTCCATCACACTTTGACCATACACAACATAAAGGAAGGGACAGTTTGCATAGCACTGTGACTCACAGAGTACCACCTGTCTGCTTGAAATAAAAAGGAACACCCTCAGCCATTTCTTCATAACCAAAGCCTCATGTTACTTAGCAAAACTAGATATTCCACAAGTTCCCTACATTCTCTAGTTTTAATACCAGTAATGGAAAGTATGGGTGAGGTTGAAGGTATTTACAACACTGGAAAATTACAAACACACAACTAATTCCTGGATGGTTTGGGATTTAAGCAATTGTAGGCTGAACATGGAAGAAAAATGAGATTATTTTTAAAGGGCAACCTTTTCAGGAAATGAGGGGATTGCCTCACAAAGGCAAACCCAGAAACCAGCCTTTGTTGTTTTGCTTAAAAGGCGCAAACAGTCAGACAATAACCAAGGATTACTAATTGTTCCACCTTCCTGCTGTGTTTCTACCAGATTGATGTCTTAATATGCAATGGAACAACAACAGGGAGAACTACTGCTTTCACAGCCTGCTTGTGGCCTGCTTGTAGAATAGACAACCTTTGGTCTTATCCAACATAGGTCTTTTTACATTTCTCAATGTGCCTAAAAGCTATATATATATATATAAAAAGCTGCTTGTAAACTTTCAATGTTAGCTTCAAACTGGACTAGCAGCAGAATGAGATTCTGCTATGAAAAGCTGCTTGTAAACTTTCAATGTTAGCATCAATTTATTAAAAACAAAACAGACCAAAACACACACACACACAACAGCAGAAATATATATAGGAACCCCTTTAAACACTGATCTTCTCCAATGGGTTTTTATTTGTTCGCTATTTAGCAGAGTAGAATTAAATTTAAAGCTTCTAATTGGAGAAGCTCTTACCAGAAACTCCGCCATCATTAAAAAATGAAACCAAAAACAAGACACCTCTAGGCAGTGTTTGTTATTTAAATAACAAAAAAGCCAGGAATTTTGTCACTCATTTATATTGTTTATACCAATCTACATTTTGCATCATCTGGATGGTGGGAAAACAGTGACATCATAAGTACACAATTAGACAGGTATAACAGAACAAATGATCCCATCTAGATGAACCCTGAATGATATAAACACTCAGTTGCACTACTATAATTAATGATGGTTTGCCTGAATTGCAAATGTTAGTTTTAAAAAAGTAAATTCATTGTTGCTTATTATGTGCATTTAAGCTATATATTTCTTTATTTAAACATCTTACTTTGTTAGGTCCTTAAATTTAATTCTACTGAAATCTGAACATGGTTTTAAAAAAAACATGTTATTCTTACTAACAAACAAACACTCCTTTCTCCTCCAAAAGCAAAAACCATTCAATCAACTGAATTGTTGGAGAGGAGGCACTAGTTGACCTTGTCTATTAACAGTGTGATGGATACTAAACATTGTAAAGGAACAACAGATAATGCTCTAAATTGTTTTCAAATGCCGAAATGTTTAAAACAACAGTTTGAACACGTGCACTTTGCCAGGTTAGACAAAAGTGTTTGAGAAGAAGGTGAAGTGCTGAGAGCAGGTCTCCAGAACTGGGATAATCCCCTCACATTACATTGCAAATATTGTCTTTCCCCACCCCCACTATGCTGGCTAGTTATTACAGTAGTTTGACTCTACTGGAGCAGGGACTGGGAGTTCTATTCCCCACTATGCCTTCTCAAAGAAGAGCCAGCCTATGGACCTTCAGCAAACTACATAGTCCTGGGGCAACCCCCCTCCCCAAAAAAAAGGAAGTAGCAAACCACTTCTGTATACCTAGAAACCCCTGGGATGTTGTGTCATAAGCCAGAATCAATCTGACAGCATGTAATTACTGTTAAAGTTATTATAGCAGTCCAGTGAAAGCACTCAGTACATGCTCAAGGGTAAACTTTATACATGTATCATTTATTCATGTGCTAGAACTGAGTCAAAGCCATGAAATCAGATGTCAGCATGATTTGGACTTGTGATGCACAGCAAGTAGCAGTATGAGCCATCAGTCAAGTTTGTGTATTTGCCAGTTTTGGGGGGCCTTTTTCCATAGATTTTGCTATACTGTGATGATGCTAATACCCAATGTGGATGAGGAATCTCTTTACATCAGTGTTTGGAAAGTTGGTTTTTTAAAAAGCAATTCATTCCCCTTACTCATTATAGTGTTTGAGAAACAATTTCCTGTCATTATTTGCTGCAGTTTTGGCAAGCTCATGTTACTTATTAAAAAGGCACCTTATGAGAACAACACAAAACTTGAAAATTCTACTCAGAATTCCTCTATTAAGGCAACAAAAAAGTAACTAAAATTACTTCCAAGCTCCACTTGATATAATTTATTCTACTATACATGCAGTCAGGATAGAAAAAGCACAGTAAAAACAGGTATGAGTGTTATTTGACTTTTAACTCTAGTTCACAGAGTTTGATTTATTATTCTGCTTTTCCCCCTTTGTTCGTAGAAGCTAACTGAAAGTTACAATAGTAGTCAATGCAAGAAGCCTGGTTATTAAAACATTATAGCTGCTTGCTAAAAAAAACCACTGTAACAGAAGACTAACTGAATTGCTGCTGCCTAAAGACAAAAAAAGAAAAGAAAAGAAAAAGAAAAAGAAAAAAGAAAAGAAAAGAAAAGCTGAAAGTGAGATTTTTGATGCATCAGTCAAGCAGGACTTGTTGAAGATTTTAGGGTTCCTTGGCTAAATGCAATCTATAAGATCTCCTTCTTAGTTGGTGGGCTCTGGCAATGTTCCTTGACAGTTATGGTCGGCCATTACATCAGTAGCAGTGGGGGCTAGCTCTTATGTTGCTATGTGCCACCAAGTCCCTTCAGACTTATGGTGACCGTATACGTTAATAATCTACAAAAAGTCATGTCGTTAACAATGCTGCACTGATGTTACAAACTCAAGGATATGGATTCCTTTAAAGATTCAGTCCATCTCAATATAAGCCTTCCTCTTTGTGTACTGCTTTCTACTTTTCCTAGCATTATTGTCTTTCTCCAGGAGCCTTGTTTTGTCGTGATGTGTCCGGAATACAATAGTTTCAAGTTTAGTCATTTTAGCTTCTATTTTTAATTTAAAAAAAATTTAAAAGAATTTTTTTTAGCTTCTATTGGTTGACTGTAACTGCTATTTAAATTTCCTATTGGTCATCTGGAGGGGAAAAAACACTGGGGGTGTTATGTGAAATGATGACCAGGCCCAGGCATCTTGCACTTCTCAGAGATGAGGTTGGGGGGCAGGAGGGGAATAGAATGTCACTTTTAATGACAGGTGTTACTGGTGGAGTGTCCCTGAAGGTGTTACTGGTGGAGTGTACCTGAATGTGTTACTAGTGGAGTGTACCTGAAGGGCTGTCCAAAGCTCTTGGTGCTGACTTGATCTTGGGAAAGAACTTCGCAAATAAGGAGCCCACCACTCTAAAAGCACAATTTATCCTGAATAACTTACAGTGGACCCTTGACTTACAGACGGCTTGACTTACAGACTTTTTGACTTGAGAACCGCCTTCCAATATGGATTAAGTTCTCAAGTCAAGACCCCACTGTACTTAAGACCAAACTGTAAGCTGCCTCTACGTCAGATGTGAATTGATCTGAACTGGGAGCCTAGATTAGTGACACGGGGGAATTGTGTTGAAGTCAGTTGTTAACTTCAAAAATGCAAATTAGATCAAGGCAACAGTGCATTGAAAAGGGTTAAAGCTCTGTCTCTAGGATAGGTTCCTCTTGAAGATTGAGTCCTCCACATTTACTTTTGAATGGGAGAGCACCCGAAAAGCAATGACTCATTTTAGTAAAGAATCTTCTTTTGGGGGGTAATGTACCACAAATAGATGCCACCTCTGAGATGGTCTTCTCCTGTATTGGTATATAGCATGCTTCTGATAATAAATCAAGTTCTTGAAGAAGTGACTCAGCACCAGCTATCAACCATAGGCTGGTAATGTCATTTTTTGGGATTTCTTTATGAAGTCTTAATTTTTTTCCCTCAACTCTGTTTTGTTTTTACGCATATGAGCAGGCTGAAGTGGAAACAAGCTATTTAGGTTTTTAAAGATAAGCATCATATTGGATTATGCCTGGTAGCAAACAGGTGGCCAATGCAGTTAATTTGTTATTGATGTGATATACAAAAAACTGTCTATACCAGTAAGAACAATGGCAGCCATATTCTGCACAAACTAAAGTTTCTAGGTTGTCTTCAAGGACAATTCCGCATAGGACATACTGAAGTAATCAGTCTGGTAGATTATAGCAGCATGGATCACTGAGGCCAGGGTGCCCCTTTCGAGAAACTGCCACCAGTGGTGAAAGCTACTCCATGTCTCTAAGGCCACATGACCTGGTAGCACAAAATCTGGATTCAATAGTACCCCCTGCTGTGAATGTTTTTTTTTCCGGGGACAATGCAGATCTGTTGAAAACGGAGAGAACACTAGTTCCCTATATCCAGAAACACACCATGCCTCCTTTTTGTCAGGATTCAGCTTCAGCTTACTGCCCCTTATCCAGCCTATTGTGTCCAGGCACTGATTTAGCACCTTCACAGCCTCGCCTGACAAGAAGGTGCCATTAGCACACTGATGATATTTTGTTCTATATCCTTTATCTGGATTTGTTTAGAAGTATGAGGGAAACATAAAACATGGTGGGACCTCATAACAGCCAATGGGCTGTAAAAGTTATATTACACAAAGCAAACCTTCCCCTCGTGTTTGGATCCTCACAAACTATTAATACAAGCAGCCTAATGTGAACTATATTGTCCAGTTATTTATTGTCAGCATGATTATCAAGTGCTGGACTTCCGAACTAGACTTACTGGTATACTGCTGGATCAGAAATGAGAACTGTGTGGCAGTGAAAAAATGCAGAGCCATCTAGTCTCCAAATGTTAAAAAAACAACAACAGTGCTTTGAAAGAATGACCTGAATGACATGGCCACAGAGACAGAGTTCCAGGCGAGGTTTGGCAGGGGGCAGTCCTTGCTGCTGCTGTGGCTTCTCCCTTCCCCTTCTGTGAAGTTGCAGAGTGAGCAGAAGAGCAGGGAGGGTGAATCATAGCCGGGAGTCAATAAAACATTCATTGAGGCAGGCACACTGTGCGGAGCTGAACTCTACAGAGTAGAATCTGGACGAGAAGGAAAAAGGAGAGGCAGACAGTTTGGGAACTTTTATATCACCATGAGAGAAATAGTTCACATTCAGGCTGGCCAGTGTGGAAACCAAATTGGAACCAAGGTATGAGGAAAATGTTCTTTGCCTTGTGTAACTTATGATTATGATTACAAATTGTAGCAATAGTAGTATATAATAGTTAGTCTTGTATTGTATGAGATGATCGGTGTAGAGTGTTCTATTTGTGGTACAATGCCTTCTCTCCTTTTTTTTTTGTTCTTATACATAAGAAAATGCACATGAAGATGCAAATTTAGTTATTTAGTACCTCAGAGATGTTTAATAATTCAAAGAGGAAAAAGGTTAAAAAACATTATGTCTGAACAGCCTAGCTTTTGCTGAAAAACAATGTCTCCTGCTGAAACAAAGTTTTGTGAGATTTTAGTTTTAAATTTTGTGGCGGATTTTTTTTTTTTTTTTTGCACTAGAGGCTAGAGATCAGGAAACTCACCAAAATGGGAACTAAATAGCTGACTGTTTCATGTTGACCATAAAAGGCTTTGGAAAAAAACTGAGACCAGGGGAGGAAAAATACTGAGGCAGTAGAGGGAAAATTAGGAGGGGAAAAGAAGAAGAAAGGTAACCCAAAATAGAAAGACTGCTGGGGATCTTAACCAGTTTTCTCTTGGGTTTCAAATCCTCAGATGAATTGCTGAGGGTTTTTGTCTCTTTTCCCAACCCCACCCTGTATCTCCTCTCCTATTGACGCCAGGAGCAGGGAGGGACTCAGAGGAGCAGCTCTCAAACATGCTAGGCATTTGGCAGCTGTTGCTTTAACACATGCCTTGAAGGCCTGCTCTGTCCTGCCAAGGATGGGTGGGTTTTGATGACTTGTAATTAGCGGTTGTGGTGGCGGGGGGGGGGGGAGTATGTATGACTAAAGGGAAATACCGAATGAGTTGGAGATTTGAGGGGAGGAGAACACCTTTGATGAGTGTTGTTTCACAAAGTTTTTGTCTCACTTCTCTTTCCCCTTTGCCAAAGTTTTGGGAAGTTATCAGTGATGAACATGGGATTGATCCAGCTGGAAGTTATGTTGGCGACTCACCATTGCAGCTGGAGAGGATCAATGTCTACTATAATGAATCATCATGTAAGTCCAGAGCTATTGCCCAAGAGTGGTGATGTGATGATTTATTCTACGAAAGGAGGAATAGTGGAGACAGGAAATACATCGCTCATAATTTCCTCTGGAACCTTGTTCAGATTCTGTGTTTGTGCATTTGTGTATGGGTGGTTTTTTGTGTCACATGAGTCTGGCATATATGGAGAAGCTACAGAAGAATTGGGAGGAATGGCTGGCTATAAGTGTGTGACAGTGTTATTGAGTGTGCACTGATTCTGCTGGGTTAATTTTAACTTCTGCCTGAGGAGGAGTGCCCAGAAGCAGTATACATTGTGAGCAGGGTGGGGGTGGGGTTTTGCCCCTCAGGCAGTAAATGCCAGTGAGCGAGTTTGCTTCCTGGCCTTCTGGATATGATCTAGTGCAATTTGTGCCTTCCCAGTAGCAAATTTTTGCACTTTGCAAATTTGGGTGCCCTGGATCAAACCCTCAGCTGCTCGTTCCAGCTACAGCTCTGGAGGTGGTTGTGTTGTTTTCTCCTCTTAGGGGCCATGCATTCAATCATTGCAGTTTTAAGCCCAGAGTGTGCTTTCTGGAGGGAGATAGTTTGGAAAGGAGAAAGCAGGGTGTGAATTACGTACAGTTTACTTCAAATTGAACAAAATCCTTCTTCTTGACAGCCATTCTGTAATACTCATATTTTGGTTAGCATTGATGGTTCGGATTTCTAATTTAATTTGGGCCGCAAAGCATGGCTAGGTTTGGCGAGATAGGTTCAGAGTCCTCTACTGCTTGCTGCCCTGCCCCAAACAGATGCAGAATAAAATGTGCAAGATATGTCTTGAACAGCATAGGCTATTCTGGGACAACCTCCCTCCACATTTTCTTAGTGTTTGATTTCGTCACAGTGAGTTTACAGTGAGAGTATGGTTATACTTGTTTCTCAAAGGAGGCAGCCAGCCTCTTTAAGGAAGAGTAAGGAGCGTTTCTTTTTTCTCCCATCTGCCCATCTTTCACCTGCATGATGTGCTTTGCCAGAGGCAACAGAGGGCTGACCAATTGCTGTGACTTCCACAGTACTTGAAATCAGCACTGGAATCGGTATTGTTTTCCACAGGATTGTATCTTCCATATCCATGGAGAAGCCTATTCATATTTCAGATAGCAGGGTGCCCTACCTGGTCTTAGCTCTTTGCTCTTCATAGCTGGAACCAGTGTAGGGCTGGCACTGACACCTGATTGGAAGGAGGCAATTGTTTGAAGTACCAGATCTTTGAGGTAATGAAAAGGCAGCAAATTAATCATTATTCAGTATGCTATTATTGCTGCAAGAGATCGGAGAGGGGTGCTTGTGGAATTTTATGTTTCCTGGGCTGTTTTTGAGATGTGCTGTTCACCTTCAGGTGGGATGACAATAAACAAATGTTATTTGCCACTCTGAATCTGGCAGCAAATATTTTGGGCAAGCCATGGATCAATGACTAATTTCCAAAAAGATAAGAGCCAAAGTATAGGCCCCCAAGAAAGCACAATCTTCTTCCCAGATATGGGTTTTCTACAGTTTCAGCCTCAGATATCTAGCATAGCACATGACTTGTGGTTCAAAGTGGTTCCAGAATGATGGGTATATATTGAAGACTATCTAGTCGTTGTACTTCTGCTGAAATTTACACATGGAATTGCTAGTTTTCACAGTCCGGGGATATAGTCCTTCTATACATTCTTTTGCTACATTCTGTTCACACTGTAGCAGGATGTTTGTTACTTAATGTTTTTAAGGAGTGAGTGGAAGAGCACATGTGCACGTTAAATTTTAAAAAGTGAATAAATAAACTGATCACATGGCACTAGCTAGAGAAAGTTAAGAGTAAAAAGGTGTTAATGTTCAGAGTTGCGGTTTTAAGCTCAGTTGCCAGACACATCACTACTCATGTCAAAACCACAAAGTGCAGATGAGGAGAGCCATGTATGCCACCCAGGACTTATTGGCAGAATAACGGGAATGGAATGGAATAAATAAATTGTAAACCAAATCACACTTCTTCAGAATAGATAAAATAATACACTTGCAAACTGTTATTCTGTTCTTTCCACGGGGGGGGGAAGGGGGGAGGAATTGATTCGCTACAATATGTTTTGAAAGAAATTGAAGAACAGGGGGGAGAACAAAGATGATGTCACTAAGGAGCAGCCAGAGCTTGGAGGTGGAGCACATGACTTGTTTTGCAGGAAACGGTCCCAGATTCAGTTCCTTGCATCTCCAAGTTAGGCAGGGAGAAAATCACCTTCTTGAAATCCTCGAGAGCCAGTCAATAGCTGACATTGCTGGACAAGTGAGACATCTTCCTACTTTCCTATGATTCCAAAACCATGTCATCTGAAATGGACACTGGGAAGCAACATAGAAAGAGGAAAATGAACATTGTGTACATGGAAGGAAATGTGTGTTTCTTTATCAGTTATACATACTTTGGCTGTATTTTGTTGGTTTCATTTTTTGTTTTCTGGCTTTGTGTTGTTTGAGTGAATATACGTATGCTTCCATACCCAAACATTTATTTGGACAAGGAACTTGGGTATACCCTGCAGTAGATATGAATTAACTTTTGAGTCTCAAGATGTATCACACAAGGAAGAAAAATTTATCAAAACCCAGGGTTTGACTTCCCTATAAGAATAATAAGGCTATGCTTAATAATGCTAACATCATGAATTACCAATGACTAAATCACACTGTATAAAACCAAGCACACAAAAACTCAGACTTTTTCCCATGGGGATTTGATGTATTTTTATTGGCTGACAGGATCTACTACTGTTTTTGCTATGATCCTGCACTGCTTTGCTTCAGTTTTGCCATGTGTGACTGCCTATATTAGAAGCCAACCCCATCTATTGTCAAATATAGTACTGCTCAGCAAAACATGCAAGACTCTGACAAAAGGAGTTAAGGAGGGGGGAGAGAAGAAGAGGTGGGAAGAGATGGAAGAGGGTAGAACAAAATCCCATCCAAAATGAAAGGGAAAGAGGGAGAGAGAGACTGGGGAGGATGACTGCAGTCCTGGGCATTTCCAGCTGTCGTATCAATTTAGTGCTGTATCATCTGTCGCAAAAAGGGAAAAAGTCCAGATGGAGGGGAGGAAAATGGGAACCAACTATTGGAAAGCACAGCAGGATCTCAGAAAAGGGGCTTTCCTGAGTGTATGTTTTGAGGGGGAGGCTGGTTGGCATGTGTATTAAAGGGACCTTTCTTATTCTGGGTTCCTTGGAAGAGGCAAGATAGAACTGTTTTGAAGCAAGCACTGTTTGGGGTTCTTTGAGCAATGCCTATAATGGGATGGGTTGCTTGGGATTTGTTTGTTTGCGTCAGCACCTGTGTGTGAATAAGAATATTAAGGGAGGAAAGGCTGTCCTGGCCTCCACCACCACCCCCTGCCACTTTTGTGAAGCCCGGGCAATGAGGGATCAGCTGCTGCCATTCTCTGCCCCTTAGGTAGCATCACATGGCAGTGGCACATGAGTAGAATGCCCCCAGAACAAATGAACACGTGCAGACACATGCAAAGACAGATTGTGTCAGCTGCAAAGTGCATGGGAGATCAGAAACATCTGGTCTTCTGGCTGTCTCACACCCCAAACCCCATTTGATTGCTTAATGCCTTTATGGAAAGCAGGACACAATCAGGGGAGCAGTGTGGAAAGGCCACTACTGACAGGGTTAGAGGCCTTCCAGGTAATTAAAATGTATGGTGTGGACTCTTGCAAATATGTCATTAAATATTTTCATGTGAATGCCTAAAATTATTTCAGCTGCAGAAGGTGCTAGGAGCTTGGCATATAAACTTCCTTTCAACCTGAATAAAACTGGTGATGCTTTGTACTGTAAACAGAGCCCTCACATAGATTTTATCCTAGTGCCTGAGCAGTAATCATTTTGTGGTTGCTCCAAAATATTATGCTCCTTGAAACAAAGCAACTAATAGCGTCATATACTCACCAGTGTCATGGTGCATATTACTTCAAGCCAGCTAGGTTATTTTTTCATTTGGAAAAGAAAATTGCACAATCTTGTTCCCACTCATGGCAGTAGGACTGCAAGGACGACAACTAAGAAGTTCTTCCCGTTTCTTGATGCTCTGTATTTGTTACCCAAAGCATCCATCTCGCTCTGCCTAATAGCAGGGCTGGTCCCCATCTTCACCTTCCAAAGCTGAGCCTTGGCACTGAAAACTGACTCCAAATCTGAGTCTTCTCCTTTCTTGTAATCAGGACCAGGAGGAATTTGAATTCATAGATCCATCATCAATGATTTCTTCTAGCATTCCTTCGGATTTAGCTGTCCATGCATATATGGGCAGCCGGCTGGTCTCTGGTGGCTTGCAAAGGCCTTTACTGCATCTTCTGTAGGTGTCCATGTTCGCAATGCTACGAGAATTCCTCCTACTGCCTTCAAATTTAATCCTGCTGCTTTGCTGTTTGGAGGACTTTGTGGGGTGCAACTTAAATGCAGAAAGCAGCATGAACAGGAACTCATCACCATATTCGTTAAGCACATGCTTCCCCCTGCCCTACAAGTGCAGCTGGGGAAAGATGTGAATAATATCTATCAGTTGTGGTGATGGCAAGTGGGAGGCAATTGGAGAGGCCTGGTGAGAGCTCAGCACAGAAGAAGCGAAAGGTCAAAGTTATGCTGATGTGAGGGGGGAAAAGTAGCTCTATTCAGGCATTATATTAGCAGGCATTCTGAACATACTTAAGGGGAATGCTTACCCTGACCCCTCTGTCACTGGATTGCTCACAATTTCATTGCCTAGGTTGAAGAGAAGAAGGTTGTTGTTCGTGTGTAGGCTTTACCCTGGAAAATATGGATCCCCTTTCCTGTGTGGAGCCTACGTGCAAGCAACGGTCTTTTCCTCTTCAGACTTGGCTCAGAAACAATGAGTCAAGTTGAGGACAGGGGAATAGGAGCTCCCATCTAACTGTGTTCAAAATACCAGTTACTGTAACTCCTGAATAGGGCTTAAGTGTCTGAGGTGCACTTACATGTCTGTGCACAGAAGTGTTGCCTCCCACATTGCTGAGTCTCAGGCGCTGTCACTTTTGATATAGAGGAAGGTCATAATGACAATGCTTTGCAGTACCTCAGCATTAGCTGCTGGTGGTTCAACAACAACAATTGTTCTCTGAATGGTATGAATCATTGTCCAAGCCCAATAGCATGAAATCCTGCCATTCTTTATGAATGTGAGTATGTTAAGCTTTTGGCCGGAAGAATTCCAAATTTGGAAGTTCATTCTCTTTTTCCTAATGGCTCCCAACCGTTTTCAACTGGCCAGAGGTCCCCCTCCCTTCCCCACCAGCCTTCCCTTCTCGTCTCTTCACTATTATGCAGTGTGCAGTATTTATTTGCTCTAATCACACTGCAGATTCCAGTGTTGTTAGCGGATAGGAAGGGCAAAAGTGATTCCAGTCACAATGAAAAAGGTAACCATCAGTCTCTCGTTCTCTCCTCTCTGGGTTAATTATTATTTCCTGAGAGTAAGGGACTATGGGTTTTATTTGCTGGAGTTACTTTAAGGAACAACAGGGACAGGGAATCTTTGTGAAGAAGTGTGATACTGAAAAGCTGGTTAGATGCCTCAGTGGTCTAGGTATCTGGCTGCAGAGCCAGAGGTTGGGAGTTTGATGCCACACTGTGCCTCCTATGATTAGAGCCAGCCTGGGTGGCCTTGAGCAAGCTGCATGGTACCCAGGATGCCTCCAGAAGAAGGGAATGGCAAACCACTTCCAAGTATTCCCTCCCTGTAAAACCCTGGAAAGGATTGTCATAAGTCATAATTGACTTGACGGCATATAATTATTATGATGATACTAAAATAAGTACTTAAGGCATTTGCTGAAATCCTGTTGCTTAGCATAATAAACCACACTGGAGTAGGTCCACAGCATCAGTGGGGGTTTAATGAATCAACTCCTCTGTAACTTCAACTGATTCAAATACGCCTGCTCTAGTTGTGAATTACTACACTAAAGTCACAACTTGAGTAGGTCCATTTGAATCAGTGGAACTTACAGAGAAATTAACTCACCAAATACCCACTGATTCAATAGCCTACTCTAGTCCAACTTACTTTGCTAAACAACAGGATTTTAGCCATTGTCTTAGGTGACTTGCAACAAATGCCTTCTTTGATATTTTTCCCAGCACCTGCTGCTGTGACCTTGGCCTACAGAGCTTGGTAAAGTTCATTTTCTGGGCTACAGCTTTGAGAATCACTTTGCTAGTATGACCACTCACAATGGTGGCTAGGAATCTAGTCCAGGAAGTATATTTTCTAATCTTTGAGTGTGGGTCTGTTCTTGGTGAGAGGAGAAAAATAATCTCTGATTCATTCGCAGCCATTGCTTGGAGTTCCCTAACGCTACTAGAAAACTGATTGCCAGCAGTCAAGCAAAAGGGGGTTTCAGAGCAATGCTGGATGAGAGCAACATGATCAGAGCTCAGCAAAATTAGGCCAAAGGCTGATCTAGTTCAGCACTGTGTTCACACAGTGGCCAACCACGTGCTTCTAGGAAGCGAACAAGCAGGTCCAACCTTGTTCAAAGGCATTCTGATCTATGGGTCAGTTCTCCTCTGCATTGTACTGCCCAGAGAGTGTGTGTACAGTATAAGAAAGTATTATTTTTGCAATATGGTGGACCCAGTCCATTCTCTGCTGTCGTACCCAGAAAGAGTGAGCAAAAGGAAGGAGGCCGCCACAGCTGATTCCTTCTCTGTTGCTTGTAATATGCTGTTTCTCAACTCATGTGTTCAGTCGTTTAGTCGTGTCCGACTCTTCGTGACCCCATGGACCAGAGCACGCCAGGCCCTCCTATCTTCCACCGCCTCCCGGAGTTGTGTCAAATTCATGTTGGTTGCTTTGATGACACTGTCCAACCATCTCATCCTCTGTCGTCCCCTTCTCTTCTTGCCTTCACACTTTCCCAACATTAAGGTCTTTTCCAGGGAGTCCTCTCTTCTCATGAGATGGCCAAAGTACTGGAGCCTCAGCTTCAGGATCTGTCCTTCCAATGAGCACTCGGGGTTGATTTCCTTTAGAATTGATAGGTTTGTTCTCTTTGCAGTCCAGGGAACTCTCAAGAGTCTCCTCCAGCACCACAATTCAAAGGCATCAGTTCTTCGGCGGTCAGCTTTCTTTATGGTCCAGCTCTCACTTCCATACAACACTACAGGAAAAACCATAGCTTTGACTATTCGGACTTTTGTTGGCAAGGTGATGTCTCTGCTTTTTAAGATGCTGTCAAGGTTTGTCATTGCTTTCCTCCCAAGAAGCAGGCATCTTTTAATTTCGGGGCTGCTGTCTCCATCTGCAGTGATCATGGAGCCCAAGAAAGTGAAATCTGTCACTGCCTCCATATCTTCCCCTTCTATTTCCCAGGAGGTGATGGGACCAGTGGCCATGATCTTAGTTTTTTTGATGTTGAGTTTCAGACCTTTTTTTGCACTCTTGTCTTTCACCCTCATTACATTACACCCTCATTCTCAACTCATAATAGTGGCAAATTCTCTTCCTATCTCCCCGAGAGCTCATCTAGGTACTAAATAGCTACATCCCACTGCTTCACTGTTATTTGTAGCAAAATACCTGCCGCTAATGCTTTCTGATATTTGTGATGCTGTGAACATTTAAAATGCTGGGCAGGAGTAAGGCAGATGGAAGGAGTCACAGAATGGTACGGTAATGATTGCCATGATATCTGTCTGAAGACAACTGTTAAGAATATTCCAGTTGATAAAAAAATGGGCCCACCCTTCACGGGGTTTTTAAATTTTGTTTTTTACATTGTTGTCCAGTCAGTTATCTCAGTACATTTCCTATGGATGCAGGCTTTTTCCTCTTGGGGGTTTCTTTTGTCTTGTGTTACAATAGTGCTAGTTGGCACAAATATATCCGAGGACCTGAACATTCTCTGAAAACTTTCATATGATATCTAATGAATTGTGAGGTATTGAGGTTCTGTCAGTCTCTTTAATAAATATAAGCAAAGCTGTCTTGTGAAAACGGGGATTGATAATAAAGGCAGGGGTTGGTTGATGCCAAAGAAGGCTGAGACATTTTTCTGAACTGTGGGCAAGTTACTACCTCGTTAACTGGCAGTATGTAAAAATGAGCTGCTACAAACATATTAAGCAGCCTGAAACATAATAGTGTATTTGTATGTGACAGAAATAAAATGCATTGCTATAGACAAAATAAAAAATAAAGATTAATGTATGCTTCTTATAGCCCAAACCTATGTGCCAAGAGCAATTTTGGTGGACTTGGAACCTGGAACCATGGATAGTGTACGATCTGGCCCGTTTGGACAGCTGTTTCGGCCTGATAACTTCATATTTGGTAGGTTAAAAATTTTCTGTCACAAACACTAAAATTGTCAAGTAGATTGTGTGTTGAAATTCCATTTGGGTGAGTCCTTCTCTTTTATATTAAATAAACATAGGAAATGGCAAGAAGTTGCCTCCAAGTGACATATAGGTTAGGTGCTTGTGTTGCTCACAAGGCTGTTGCAGAATTTATTGGCATGGCTTCTAGTCCATGAAAGTTAAGCCATAATAGATCTGATAAGTTCTTTGCTACAAACAGTTTGTTCCAAGACTGTGAGATTTGCTGCAGCATATTAGCATAGCTGCACATCTGGTAATGTAGGAAGCTTTTTTTGCTTCCTAAATTTGCTGAGTTTAAATCTCTGAGCTTCTCTCGTAATAAGCATCCGTTCAATTGTCATCTAAATCAGGGATCCCCAAGCCCTGGTCTGTGGCCCGGTGCTGGTCTGTGGCCTGGGCCAAACTGGGCCACGGAGACAGATCTCCCACCCCTCCTGCACGCACTACTCCCTGCACAGCCCCTTCACGCATGTGTGCACGTGTGCCCCATGAGTGCCCCTGCCCCATCATGCTTGCACGTGAGTGGAAGTGAGCACCCTCAAGCACCCCTGCCCCTTCACACATGCGCACAACTGCGCATACCCACATGAGTGCCCCCACCCCTTCATGAATGTGCACACCCCTTGCAAGTGCACCCAGCCCCATCGCGCATGTGCATGAGCGCAGGGAGGTGCCTCGCTTTCCCAGCACATGGACCCCATTCTCCCCCAATCGGTCTGTGGTGTCAAAACAGTTGGGGACCACTGATCTAAATTATTCCTGCAAAAGTGTAGAAACATAGTATTTTTTTGCAAGGCAGATCCCCAGCTTCTTTGAAAACTTGTTTGGGTAGGTAACTATTAGATGAAAGTAGTCCCATTCATTCCTGCACTCCCCCCCCCCAAAAAAATTAATTCAGATACAAAATTCCTAAAAAGCCCAAGCTGTTATCCCTTTCAATAAAAGTGATGTCTACAGGGAAAAAGAACTCCACAGGCAAGTCAGCTTTCTTCGTGCCATCTTCAATGTACTACCAATGCAACATGGGGGGATGAGGGGTGATCCTCATTTAGTGTGTTATATTGCACCTGTGGTGTCATCATGCCATTATGGACTTGTGCATAAAATTACATGTGGTGTCCTTCCTGAGGACTCACCTCTCAGTGTATTACTGCTAACGTTTTCTGAAACGTTATGTATGTTTGCTCATACATACAGTGCCAAAAGGTTAGTTAGCTATGTTAAAGGGTGACAAACCTTGTTACTGGTATTAACATGATTATTTTGTGACTTTCTGAGCATATTCTCATCTTCTCTTTTGTTGTGCCTTCTCAGGACAAACTGGTGCTGGAAATAACTGGGCCAAAGGACATTATACAGAAGGAGCAGAGCTTGTAGATTCTGTACTTGATATAGTAAGAAAAGAATGCGAACACTGTGATTGCTTGCAGGGATTTCAACTCACTCATTCTTTAGGAGGAGGAACAGGCTCTGGGATGGGAACACTCCTCATTAGCAAAATCCGAGAGGAGTATCCTGACAGAATAATGAATACTTTCAGTGTCATGCCATCTCCTAAAGTCTCTGACACTGTGGTGGAACCTTATAATGCCACACTTTCCGTTCATCAGCTGGTTGAAAATACAGATGAAACCTACTGTATTGATAATGAAGCATTGTATGATATTTGTTTCCGCACTCTGAAGCTCACCACGCCAACATACGGTGATCTGAACCATTTAGTGTCTGCTACGATGAGTGGGGTAACGACATCGCTGCGTTTTCCAGGCCAACTAAATGCAGATCTACGCAAGTTGGCTGTAAATATGGTCCCATTCCCACGTTTACATTTTTTTATGCCAGGATTTGCTCCACTGACTGCCCGAGGAAGCCAGCAATACCGGGCCCTCACGGTTCCAGAACTTACTCAACAGATGTTTGATGCCAAAAACATGATGGCTGCTTGTGACCCAAGACATGGACGGTATCTGACAGTAGCCACTGTCTTCCGTGGTCCCATGTCTATGAAAGAAGTTGATGAACAGATGCTGGCCATTCAAAATAAGAACAGCAGTTACTTTGTGGAATGGATCCCAAATAATGTCAAAGTGGCAGTTTGCGATATTGCACCCCGTGGTCTCAAGATGGCCTCCACTTTCATTGGTAACAGCACAGCAATCCAAGAGCTCTTCAAAAGAATCTCAGAGCAGTTCTCTGCCATGTTCAGAAGAAAAGCATTTCTTCACTGGTTTACAGGAGAAGGAATGGATGAGATGGAATTCACAGAAGCAGAAAGCAACATGAATGACCTTGTGTCAGAGTACCAGCAGTACCAAGAAGCTACAGCAAATGATGGTGAGGAGGCATTTGAAGATGAAGAAGAGGAAATTAATGAATAATGTCCATTAATGCTATTACAAAAATGCTTAAGTCTGAATAGTTGGCATATCCTCTAATCCCCCCCAGAATAGTAAAGAATATCTATGGCTTCCATTCAAGGGCTGGGTTTTCTTGGCAACTATTGACTTTGAAGCAGAAGGTTTGTGTTCCACATCAGACATTCTCCTCTGGTTGACAGTCATTCATTCTCATTACTCTTAGACATATGCAAATAAATAATTACCATTTCTCAAAGGGGAATGGGAAAGATTTCTGGTTTGTTTTTAAAGCAGGGCTATATCAGCCAGAATCCTATTACATTTTTATGCTTTAAAACTGCAACAGATTAAGATGACAGAGTAGGAATATGGTGTCGTGTGGCTTGGACACAACAGCAAACGCCTACAATAACTTCTTGCTGCAATTCGCCACTGAGATTTACACCAACAGCATTATGCTGGTGAGCATAACTAACAGGAATCTGGATGTTGTTTTTCTTCAAAGTGTAAATCAGAATTTTTTTAAAAAAAAAACAAATTTAGATTGCAATCTTATGCCCAGATACTTGATAGTAAATGGTATTGGCAATGGAACTTGCACTCAAGTATATGTGTTTTGGACTTGAAGTGGGAATGAGTATGTTGTGTACTATTCTGTACTGAGTATGCAGTATTCAGTTGCTGGAGACAAAATAAAAATAATGCAAAAATATTTTAATTTTTTTTCATATACTGTTTACAAATTAATGTTCACACCCATTTTAACTAAACATCTAATCTAAAGGGAAAAAGAAATACTAGTATTTGTGAGACAGCGCATATATTGAAAGCTGAGGAAATTGAAACATCACAATAGGCACTGTAAAGGAATGAATATCCTTCATAAGGACTGAAGGATTGTTTCTCAAATGCACATTGTGTTGTGCATCAGGATTGTTCTTTCTACAATGGGTTAATTCATTAATGATCTGGAATAATAACTTTCTTCTCTATGCTCAAATTTTGACACATTTAGAGTTCTCTATCTTGATATGTAAAAGGCCATCTCAGAGCACAGTGACAACCCTCCTCAACCATGGTCATTGTTTCTTTTTCTTTTAGTGTCTGCAAGATCCCTTTATGTAAAAGATTTCTAATATATCTTACAGCTATTTGTCTCAACACACTGCATACTGTCACACTGAATGTAATCTTTTACATTCTACTGCAAGTACCTGTGAGAGATATGTACTCAAAGAAAATAATGACTCCTGTATTTTGAAAAATTATGTATTGACATTTGAAATCTTTGCTGATATTCCTGGCTTGCCTCATTCAAGTCCAATCTATTTAATATGAATGCTTTTACACCTTTTTATTTGGTGTTGAGCAATTATGGGGGAAAGTGCAGCTTGTTTTCATATCCTTAGGTTTACATTTTAACTCTTCATTGCTTTTACAAGCTGATGCTCAGTTTTTACTTAACTATGGCATGCTGGAGATTAGGAACTGGATTAGCAGAAAATGTACTCAGTTGCTAGTTCACCAGGTAAAGATTTTACACTGTTGCACAGGGGGCATATAAAACAGAAGAGGCAAAGCATTCTTTTGTATGCCTTTGTGCATAGAGAGTACAGTGGTGTCTCGCTTAGCGATTGCTCTGTTGAGCGACGAAATCGCTTAGCGATGGACTTTTTGCCATCACAAAAGCGATCGCTTAGCGATGGTCCCTATGGAGAAAATTCGCTTTGCGATGATCGCGTGGAAGCGATCATCTCAAAGCCCCCATTTCCGGCCAGCTGATCGACGGTTTCAAAATGGCTGCCAGAAAAACAAAATGGCCTCCCGCTGTTTTGCCTCGCTTAAGAGGCAGCAAAAATGGCGGTGCTATGAAGGATTTTCGCTTAAAGTTAAATTTTTAAGCCCATAGGAACGCACTAAACGTGTTTTAATGCGTTTCTATGGGCTTTTAAAAATCGCTTAGCAATGAAATTGCTTAGCAACGTTTTTTCCTGCATGGATTAACGTCGCTAAGCAAGGCACCACTGCACGTTGAACAGCACTATTTCTGCAACCAATTTGATGGCATATTACATAGTCATATCTTACATTTTCTTGTTTAGTCGTTTCCTACTCTTCGTGACCCCATGGACCAGAGCACACCAGGCCCTCATGTCTTCCACTGCCTCCCAGAGCTGGGTCAAATTCATGTTGGTAGCTTCGGTGACACTGTCCAACCATCTCATCCTCTGTCGTCCCCTTCTCCTCTTTCCTTCACACTTTCCTAACATCAGGGTCTTTTCCAGGTAGTCTTCTCTTCTCATGAGATGGCCAAAGTATTGGAGCCTCAGCTTCAGGATCTGTCCTTCCAGTGAGCACTCAGGGTTGATTTCCTTCAGAATGGATAGGTTCGTTCTCCTTGCAGTCCAGGGGACTCTCAAGAGCCTCCTCCAGCACCACAATTCAAAAGCATCAATTCTTTGGCGGTCTGCTTTCTTTATGGTCCAGCTCTCACTTCCATACATCATGACAGGAAAAACCATAGCTTTGACTATGCGGACTTTTGTTGGCAAGGTGAAGTCTCTGCTTTTTAAGATGCTGTTGAGATTTGTCATCACTTTCCTCCCAAGAAGCAGGTGTCTTTTAATTTTGTGGTTGCTGTCCCCATCTGCACTGATCATTGAGTCCAGGAAAGTAAAATCTGTCACTGCCTCCTTATCTTCCCCTTCTATTTGCCCGGAGATGATAGGACCAGTGGCCATAATCTTAGGGGGGTTTTTTTATGTTGAGCTTCAGACCATTTTTTGCGCTCTCCTCTTTCCCCCTCGTTAAGAGGTTCTTTAATTCCTCCTCACTTTCTGCCATCAGAGTGGTATCACCTGCATATTGGAGATTGTTGATATTTCTTCTGGCAATCTTAATTCCAGTTTGAGATTCCTCTAGTCCGGCCTTTTGCATGATATATTCTGCATATAAGTTAAATAAGCCGGGGGGACAATATACAGCCTTGTTATATTCCTTTCCTAATTTGGAACCAATCAGTTGTTCCATATCCAATTCTAACTGTTGTTTCCTGTCCCACATATAGGTTTCTCAGAAGATAGATAAGGTGATCAGGCACTCCCATTTCTTTAAGGACTTACCATAGTTTGCTGTGGTCCACACAGTCAAAGGCTTTTGCGTAGTCAATGAAGCAGAAGTAGATGTTTTTCTGGAATTCTCTGGCTTTCTCCATAATCCAGCGCATGTAAGCAATTTGGTCTCGAGTTCCTCTGCCTCTTCGAAATCCAGCTTGTACTTCTGGGAGTTCTCGGTCCACATACTGCTGACGCCTACCTTGGAGGATTTTAAGCATACCCTTGCTAGCGTGTGAGATGAATGCAATTGTACGGTAACTGGAACATTCTTTGGCACTGCCCTTCCTTGGGATTGGTAGACTGATATTTTCCAGTCCTCTGGCCACTGTTGAGTTTTCCAAACTTGCTGGCATATTGAATTTAGCACCTTAACAGCATCACCTTTTAAGATTTTCAATAGTTCCACTGGAATGTCATCACCTCCACTGGCCTTGTTGTTAGCCAGGCTTTCTAAGGCCCACTTGACTTAACCTGTCTGGCTCCAGGTCAGGAACCACACTATCTGGATTGTCCAGGATATGCAAATCTTTCTGGTATAATTCCTCTGTGTATTCTTCCCACCTCTTCTTGAGCTCTTCTGCTTCTGTTAGGTCCTTCCCAATTTTGTCCGTTATCATGTCCATCTTTGCACAAAATGTTCCTTTAATATCTCCAATTTTCCTGAACAGATCTCTGGTTTTTCCTAATCTATTATTTTGTTCTATTTCTTTGCATTGTTCATTTAAGAAGGCCCTCTTGTCTCTCCTTGCTATTCTTTGGAATTCGGCATTCAATTTTCTGTAACTTTCCTTATCTCCCTTGTATTTTGTTTCCCTTCTCTTCTCTGCTATTTATAAGGACTCGTTGGGCAACCACTTTGCTTTCTTGCATTTCCTTTTCTTTCGGATGGTTTTTGTTGCTGACTCCTGTACAATGTTCCGAGCCTCCATCCATAGTTCTTCAGGCACTCTGTCCACCAAATCTAATTCCTTAAATCTGTTCTTCACTTCCATTGTGTATTCATAAGGGTTTGGGTTTAGATTCTACCTGACTATCCCAGTAGTTTCTCCTACTTTCTTCAGTTTAAACTTGCATTTTGCTATGAGAAGCTGATGTTCATAGCCACAATCAGCTCCAGGTCTTGTTTTTGCTGACTGTACAGAGCTTCTCCATCTTTGACTGCAGAGAATATAATCAACCTGATTTCGATATTGCCCTTCTGGTGATGTCCATGCGTAGAGTCGCCTCTTGTGTTGTTGGAAAAGTGTTTGTGATGACCAGCTTGTTCTCTTGACAAAACTCTATTAGCCTTTGCCTCACTTCATTTTGAATTCCAAGGCCAAACTTACCTGTTGTTCCTTTTATTTCTTGACTCCCTACTTTAGCATTCCAGTCCCCTATAATGAGAAGAACATCTTTCTCTGGTGTCAGTTCTAGGTGTTGTAAGTCTTCCTAGAACTGGTCAATTTCAGCCTCTTCAGCATTGGTGGTTGGTGCATAAACTTGGATTACTGTGATGTTGAAAGGTCTGCCTTGGATTCGTATTTAAATCATTCTATCATTTTTGAGATTATATCCCAGTACAGCTTTTCACACTTTTTTGTTGACTACGAGGGCTACTCCATTCCTTCCATGGGCTTCGTGCCCACAATAGCAGATATGATAATCATCTGAATTGAATTCGCCCATTCCTATTTTAGTTCACTGATGCCCAGGATGTCAGTGTTTATTTTTGCCATCTCCTGTTTGACCACATCCAGCTTCCCAAGGTTCATAGATTTTACATTCCAGGTTCCTATGCAACACTTTTCTTTGCAGCGTTGGACTTCCCTTTCACTTCCAAGCACGTCCCCAGCTGAGCATCCTTTCAGCTTTGGCCCAGCCACTTCATTAGTTCTGGAGCTCTTCCACAGTAGCATGTTGGACGCCTTCCAACCTGAGGGGCCCATCTTCCACCGTCATATCTTTTAGCCTTTTGTTTCTGTTCATAGGGTATTCTTGGCAAAGATACTGGAGTGGCTTGCCAGTTCCTGCTCCAGGTGGATCGGGTTTAGTCCGAACTCTGCATTATGACACCCAAGATGTCCATCTTGGGTGTCTCTGCACGGCATAACCCATAGCTTCTCTGAGTGACTCAAGCCCCTTTGCCACAACAAGGCATTATTAGGCATTTATATTTTCCACTCTTTTTCTAACGATCCCAACATGGAATTTGCCTTTTTTTTTTACAGTAGCTGCACAATGGATCCAATTTGCCATTTGACTGTCCTCTACATCCTCTAGACCCTTTTCCTGATAAACCATGAGCCCCCAACCTATCAATTGTATATGTATGAACCAGTACAACACACTGGTTTGAAAGTTAGAAGTCAGAGGACCTGGGTTCAAGTTGTGACTCAGCTACAAAACCAGTGAGGGGATAGATACTGGGCCAGTCTCTCTTAGACACATTTCACAGAGCTCTTTTGAGAATAAATTTGAGGGGAGCCATGTACACCACCTTCAGCTTATTGGTGGAAAGGTGGGATATAAATGTAATAGATAAGTAACAACTCTTATTTCCTGCTGATACCTTTAGCAGTATGATCTGCAATCATACAGGGTGGGAATCTATTAAACAGTGTTATTTATGTAGGATACCCACTCTTCTTTAGAACGTATTTCAGTCAGCCATGATCTAAGCTTAATCAGTGATTATGTATGCATGGGACATTGTTTTCACATCAGCCTACCCTCCAGCACTGAGCCTGGAAAACTTTTTTGGACTGCAACTGACCATCGTGCCAGAAGGACTCTTGAGAGTAAGAGTTGTCAGCTGTAGCCTAAGGTCAGGTTCAACATTTAATCTTGGCTAGCATACTATTGCCAAGAAATGGACTGCAGAACAGTCAGCTCTGACCCGCAGTTCCATCTGTTCAAACAAGAGGGTACTCAGTAGCCCTTTGTGCAAGCAGAAGATCCAGTTTACAACAATGAGGTAATCTCTGGCTTGTGTAACAGCAAAATGGAAATCAACAGACCTCAAATGGGCTACTGTGCTCCATAAAAAAAATGGATACAGGCCTTTATGATTGGAAAAACTGTGATTTTTTTTTACAGACTGAGGGTTGCTCTAAGATCACACTTTGTGAACCTCTGCTTTAAGATCTTTAATTATATACAGTACAATACAATCATTCAAATGGATTCAGCCATTCAAACATACTCACTTTATACCATGGTTGGATGCTCCTTCTTCTTAAGACTTATTCCATCATAATTTCCTCCGTGTTACAGTAGCTGAACAAACATATTTCACATTTGTTGAGTTTGTTCATGTTTTCCCAGTTAAAAACTATTATTTACTCCCAAGTATAGAAACCTTAAAATCTGCAGCCCCAGGAGTTCAAAGGTAAGCACACTCTGGACTCTAACCTTAGCTTTACCATTTATAGGAGGGCTGGGCAAAGTGTTACTCTACAGAGGTTGTCAGTTTGCCACTCCCTAACCAACATAGCCAGTGGTGAAAAACGCTGGGACTTGATTCATCTTCCTACGAATAGTAGATTGTGGAGAACAGACCAACTGGTACCACATTCTCCCTGGTCTTGCTTTATTTACTCTAACTATATCCTAAACGCTGACGTTCTATTTAGTGAATAAATAATTTCAAGCCTCTGAAGAGTGTTTGCTTTGGCAACCATCATCAAGATACCTACAAGAGAAATATCCATCACCTCATCTGGGATGGGGGAGGGGATCTTCCCCCTCTAAAAAGGAATTGCACAGCCATTACATTTCCATAGTAACTGCAGATTAAATACACTTCCGTGCAACCTTTCCTAAGTGGGTTAAGGATAAGAGAATTTCTTACCTTGCACAACCCAGTGAGCTGATTTTATTGAATGTTTCCAAAGTATATTTACAAAATAAAATACACTTATATGTTCACTGTCTCCTAACTGCCTGTAAAAAAACTTTATTAAAATTGCAATAATATAATTTAAAGTTTACACTCGATTGTAGCCACTGACTCACAATTCCAAAAGAAAAGCTCTTTAATACGTTTCCAGTTCAATAACTGAGAACCCCACAGGTCTTTTTCCCAACCAGTGGCAAGGCAAAGGGATACATTTCAATGGGTCGATGAAAACTGAACATTTCCACAGAACAGAAGGAGTGTTATCAATTATTTGGACTCCTGCTATGTGACAGCAATGTAGTTCCCCCATGGTAACAATCTGATAAAGAGGATTTAACCAAGCAGATGATTTTTCCATTATTCCTGATAAATTAATATTCTATGCAGGCTTAAATGTATTTCTTAACAGAGGAGACTTGCACAAATCAGATATTATTTCTCTGCAGAGTTACCGAGCTAGAAGGGGGTTGAATGTAGACCCAGCAACTGTAGGATCTTGTTGTTTTTCTCAGTTTGTTTTAGGAACCAGCATCCAATGGAATCTAAATATTTCTCTGTAAAATAGAGAACACACCTCTTTCTTAATTCTACCACTGTTGCTGATTTCTTTATTTCTGTAGAGCAGAGCTTTCTTTGAGACCAGATCTTTGAGGACTTCCCCAATCTTTTCTGTTGAGCAACACAAACACAATGCCAGCTTTTATACAAGACCAAATTTGGCCATATTTCAAACACTAAAAAGGCATATCTCCTGTAATCTGTCTGGCAAGCTGCTCATCTGTGGTCTCCTCTTTCTCCTCACGATCTTTGTTCCAGTCTTTAAGGCCTTCTGGAAGTGATGTGTCTTCGTCTAAGCTGCCTGTGCCTTCAACAAATTCTTCATATGTAGATTTTTCAGCAAATGGTCTGGGGCCAAGCATTTCAATCATATCACTTTTATCCAAAACTTCCTTCTCTAGGAGCAGTAAAGCAACCTGAAACAACATGCATTTCATACAATATATGCACTAGAAATGGAAAATATTTGATTATCATACATGATAGAAAAATTGTGAGTCTGTTTTCAAACATTTCAGTGGTACATGCTGGGGACAACAGAATCAAAAGCTGTCTACTACCAACAGCTACTATAGGCTTCAAAAAGACTTTTTTAATGTTATCCTCTAGTCAGATACGGTGTGAGTAAGAATTAAGACACTTCCTATGGAGTCTGCATAGGAAGTAAATTAATAGCACTGAATGTTTCAATTCTTTCAAGTTGCCTAGTAAATAAAATATATACATGTTGCCCTTTATAAGCAGAATTTAACACCATTTGTTATTTTAGGCTATACATAAATTCCTACTGAATGAATTAGGAAAGCCTTCCTTGCAGAAAAATGCAGGCATCAGAGCTTATGGATAGGGAGTAGCATATTAATTCTGCACAAATCTGACAAAAAGATGAGCATACCCAAATGTGTAGATCTCTTACATACAGTACATAAGGTCAGAGACATCCTGCAGATTTGATGGTATCAGTGCTGGATGGACAGGGGAGGATTCTCACTGAGCTAATTGAAAATGGGCTCTGAAGAGTGGGGAGGAACCATCTAGAATAGCATTTGGACTGGCAGTGGAAGGCTATGGGGAAAGAGTTAGCAAAAATCAGTGCACCCCCTCCTTCGGAGGAGAAGGTCCTCCAGATCCTAATCTCCTCTATTAAGGGAAGGAAACCTTCATCTTCTAGAGGGTTAGCTCTGGGTAGAACCTAATACATATAGTTGAGCCACCCAGTATCTTTCCAGTGTTTTGAACGATAAACCATGTTTGGTTGACCTAATAGGATCTGTAGTCCAAAATACCTCAAGAACACCAGGTGGTACAGTTAACCCTGGTTTGGCAATGTATTGGACTTTGCACCTACTTCTATCAGAGTAAGCAAATGAACACATACCTTTTCCACCTCTGCTTTCTTTTGAGTTAGGAGAGCCAGGGTCCGTTCATAAGCTGTGTTAATAAGTATTCGCACCTCTTCATCGATCAATCTTGCAGTTGCTTCACTATATGGTTTTTCTAACACCATGTCCCCTTGCCGAGGAAGATCAAAGGAGATTTGCCCAACCTTTTCGTTCATCCCAAATTGAACAATCTGAGGAGTGAATGACACAATTCATCTAGTGGTGCATCATCTGTAGTGCTTTGGTCAAGAATAATATACTAAGTCCTTAATAGTTCCTTTCCCAGGATTTCAAGGTATTTGTGGGAGGTGTAATTCTACTGTCCATTAGGCTCTACACAGCACACCCTCAGAGAACTACACCTCTCACAAAGACTTAGGTCTCCCAGGAAGAACTGGTGCAGATTCCTTTTTGCAAAGGACGTAAGCCTCGGAATAGTCCATATCTTCCAGTTATCAGAGGTCTACTTCCAGTGCAAAAAGGAAACTGCACTAATGCTTCTCTCTTTGTGAGAAATGTAGTTCTTTAGAGTGAGTAAAATACAGATGTGCAGAATTCTGCCTGGGAGAATTCTGAGAGACAGAATCTAAATAAATAAATAAAAGTCTATTTCATCAGTAATCTTGTTCTTGAAGAATTCATTAAACATTAAGTGTTTAATAAAAAACTCTAAAAAACCCTATACAATACAAACTAAGATATGCATGCAGTTGGTGCTTCTCAATTTGTATTTCATTCATCATGAAATACAGAATTCCCAGCTCCAAGTTTGGATATGGGTGATGGCAGTAGTGGCAGGGAAACTAATCAAGTCCATATCCCAATTTTTTCTTTTTCTTTCTTCTTTTTTGGTATAAATGTATATGGGTATAATTCAAGGACATAAATGTACCGTATTTTAACAACAGGGATAAATGTTAGAAACAAACAGTAGGTACTGAAATTGAATATTTTCTCTTTTTTGAGAAAGTTTTTGAGGAAACACACACCTGGGCATATGCACTCTGAGTAACCTTCCGTAAATCATCTTGGGCCCCAGTTGTAATTCTTCCAAAGAAGATTTGTTCTGATACTCGTCCTCCCAGAGTCATGCACATTCTGTCAAGCAGCTGCTCTCTGGTGTACAGGTACTGTTCTTTTGGCAAGTACTGAGCATAACCCAGTCCTTTGCCACGAGGGATAATAGATACCTTTTATCAGAGAAGAAATGAAGATATTTTATGACATGTAAATTGGCTGGATAGCCTAGTGGGATGGCTGGCTACTAGGCTGGGGAATGAGAGCTCTCCACTGTGCCTCCTGGAAGAAATGCCATTCTCAGGGTTCTCAGGAATGCTATGCGGTCCCAGAGTGCGCCCAGAAAGCAGCACTGGAAAATTACTTTTGAGTTGCTAAAATCCACTTGATAAACAATTAATTAATTGTATTAAAAGTCTGTACTTCACACAATAGTTATCTGTGCTAGGACCTATGCAAACAGGATACATGTAGTGGTTACCAAAACCTTGAATCAACTGGGGAAGAAAGTATATCAACCATGTTCTATGTTGTTAGAACACAGCTGACATGTCAATCTGAATTTGTTTCAATTGGGGGGGGACAAGCTGACTTCCAGGGGTAGAACACAGGGAGAGGGATAATCTCTTCATCCCACTGTAGCCCTCGTGCACCCCAAAAATACACTGCAGAAGCCTAGGAAATCATATCAAGCTAGTTTTTAGGCAACTACAAGGGCTGCAAAGGAAGGACAAGGAAAGAAGTTTTGTTGTGCTGGTGCACAACAGGGCTTGTTCTGAAGCTAACAATAATTCACCAGTTGAAACAAAACAAGATTACAGTTACTGAGACATCATACTTCGATTGCCTCTGCCATAAAGGGAGAGAGCAAATGGCACATGCATAGGCAAAACGGTTTACTTATATCAGCTTATTAATGTGCCAAAGTATAACCACCAAATATGAACATGACACACATTAAATCATCATACCTTCAAAAGTGGATCAGCATGTTCCAGAAACCAGCCAGCAACTGCATGGCCAGCTTCATGATATGCCACTGTCCTTTTCTCCTCTGGTTGTAATACTTGTGTCTTCTTTTCCAATCCTTTAATTTAAAACAACAATAAAAGACTTTATTGTTGTCTCATACATTTCTTAGTTGTGGAGCCCAGGAGTGACTTATAAGAAGGTAGAAGGGGCTATTAGATTTCCCCCCTTATCTCTCCCCACCACACCTAAACCATATGAAGAAGACCTGATCACAGGAAAAAGAATACTTATAGGCAGAATGGAGTGTTAGCTGCTAAGTATTATCCTCTATTTTTTATCATACCTTGGGAAATTGAAGCAGAAGTCAACTCTATTGTTGGATATCAATGATCATACCACTTATAGAACAAATAGCCTTATAAAATGAACAAAAGACTTGATTGGCAATATTACTGACAACATAATCACAGTATGTTCTTTTCTCACCTCCTATCACTCGTTCAATGGCTTGCTCAAAGTGCTTTTCATTTATGGCATCTGAAAGATGTCTGGCAGCAATTAAGGCAGCTTCATTGCACACATTAGCAATATCTGCACCTAAAATAAAAAAATGGGGTGGGGGAGATGATCTGAGCTATTTCCAAATATTTGTTATCACTTGGTACAATGAGGACATTACATTGCTTCATGAAAAACAACCAAAGCTCCAGTGAAGCAAAAGCTACATATTATGGCTGACCAAATTGTTTAATTTTGGTGCTATAGAAATAAATTAAATTGTTAAGAATTCGAGATCAGGTTCATGTACAGCTTAAAAAATTAATTCAATATAATCTTTCTAACATCTAGAATTTGTTAATTTACATAACATACCACTTACATGATCATTGTTCTACATGATCACCTACCTGAAAATCCAGGAGTAAGTGATGCAAGCTTCCGTGCTAAACTATCTCTGTTCAAGCTAGCATCCAACTTAAGGGGCCTAAGGTGAACTTTAAATATAGATGCTCTGCCCTTAATATCTGGTGGCCCTTGAAGAAAAGAAAAAGCAAATGTCAAGAAAAAGCAAACAATTTTAAAATGAGCTGTTTGCTTCCAAAAGTGATTCAAATACTTATGGTTATACCAGTCCCAGTGAATGCTGTTACTGTCTTTCTCCAACAACACCAGCTTCTCACACATAAAAATATCTTAATGCAAGAATCCTTTCACAACAGCAACCCACCTTGTTTTTCTAGTATGATGCAGGTACATTATCTATTTCCTTTCCTTTCTGCATAGTTTAACATGTTCTAATACTTCTGGCTTGACATCATCATGAGGTCAAATGTGTCTATCAAGGTAAAGAGAGCTTACCAATAAAAATCTGTCTATCAAAACGTCCTGGCCTCATAAGCGCAGGGTCTAGAATATCTGGTCTGTTGGTGCCAGCTAGAATAACAACGTTTGAGGTGGTATTAAAACCTGTGAACAGAACATCAATCAAAATGTAACTATTCAGAAGCACACTCAGCAAATGCATTATTTTCAAAACAGTTCTTATGAATTGTATGCACAGTACAATAAACATATTCTAATGATCAGTGTATTGGTTATTTTCTCTTTACCTCATATATATTCCTGAGTGAGTTCAGTTTGCTTTGTGTACACACTGAAAACACTTGGGTGAACCACTCTCAATTCACTGACAAAATTAAATAGCCTGTGTCAGAGAATGAAGAAGAGGTTGGAAAATGTTACTATGACAGCTATGAAATACAAGCATTTATAGTGTACATGCATCTATGATTTGCACCATCGCACACCTTCAAAACCTGGAAACAAAATTACTACTGCTGGAAACATATTTCTGTCATAGGAGGATATAATGTAACTCCTACAAAATTCACATTTATATCAAGGGTTACTTTCTATTTCTATTCAGAATAAAATTGTATCTTGATACCTTATTGTTGTAATGTGCCATCAAGACACTTCCAACTGAGAGGATTTTCAACATATGTGAAATGTTCAACTAGTGTTTTACTATTGCCACTTTCCAATGAGTTTCCATGTTAAAGTAGGAATTTGATCCCAGATTTCTTGAATCCTAGTCTGACACTCTATCCACTATATAATAGTAGCTCTAATTTCTACACTGATTCTTATACTGCAATTACTTTCAAACTGTGGCAATATGCACAACAAGAAATTAAACTGGTCAGAAACCTACTGGTTCATTATGCTGACATAAGTGTAACGGTATCAATTGTCACAGTGAATTGCCATAGTTAACAAGTTGCTGCTTGTATCTCTCTTTGTACACCAGGCACATGTGTTGGTGCACTATAAGGGATACAAGTGCAACTCATGAACTAGTGGAAATTTGCTACCACGATTGGCACCACTGCAGTGACATCAATATAAGTAACCAACGTAATTCTGTTATATCTGTTTTTCTTTAGGATGCTTATGTACAACATGAGCTTAGACTGAACTGCCTTTTAAATAATGATGATTTGTGGAAAGTTAGGGTTGCCCTGTAGGAAAGGCTCTGATCAGTGGGTCAAAGAAAGTGTGATTTCTCCTCTACCTTCAGCTCTTTGCAAGCTATGCAAAGATGCTGTAGAGAGGGTTGGGAGACCTTTAGGTGAATCACTGGAAGTGTGTAAAGACCGTAGCAAAAGGAAAAGAAGGGGGGGAAGCCTTACTGCCATATAACATAGCATTTCATGTGAAGAAAGAAGTTGTTCTTACATTGACTTTTATAACAAACACACGTTTAGTACCACAAAAACAAAAACTCCAGTAGCCTCTATGAGCAGAGCAGGTGAAGAGGATTCTGGCGTATATATCCACAAAAGTACCCTGGTCTGCTTCTTAGCAAAAACTAGGCATTTTTATATTCAAGTCTCTTTTCAAAATTAGGCATTACTAACAAGGTCCTTCAATTAGTAAACAGACCTTTGAATAATTTGAGACACTCTATCTTGACTCACAGCATACTAAAAATTGTTTTGTGGTTCTGAAGAAGTTAGAGGTATTCTGGAATAAGCATCTGTTTTTCCAAATTATAGTCCAGGACATGGTTGATTAAATAGTACTGGCTGGTCAAATTGCTACCTGCCAAGGTTTTACTACTGCTTTACATTGTGCCTTAACAAACCCCTTTCTGACAACCTTTGGCTGTGTTCTCAGAACAACTCACTTAGTACCAACAGGAACCATTTCCAGACAATCTGTTTAAGACTGGAATTTTACATTCCTATCCAGAGGTGACAGGAATACACTAAAAGAAACTATAATAATTACCATCCATTTCTACTAGGAGTTGGTTGAGTGTGTTTTCTTGTTCACTCTGCCCTCCAAAGTTACTCCGTCCTCTCTTTCTTCCCACTGCATCTATTTCATCAATGAAGAGAATGCAAGGGGCATTTTTACGAGCCAGGACGAATAAATCACGGACCTTTGCAAGAGAAAAAAAGTGTCAAACATATAATGCCACAAATTGTTCTCTAATCAACACTACTGAATATACTGTCTAACTACGCTTATGCTATAAAAAAGCACAGTACTGCCAGATTAAACTGTAACCAACAGTTTCAATAGTTATGAAACAATTGAAAAAAGGGTATTTAAAAGCTCAAACAACAATAGCAACTCTGAAAAGCAGACACAAGGATTGTATATATCTATAATATTTGAAATAAGTGTTTTGTGTAAGGAGAGCATGTAATTTATAACAGATGGACCTGGACCAGGATTAAGACTCAGATCCATGCTATTCCCAGCATGGGAAAGGTGAGAGGAGCCCAGAATACAGTAAAAAGACCACAACTCATAATAAGATATTTTAGCATTTAATCAGAATACCAGTTACAGTTCCTAATTAAAAGAATTTGAAGCCACCTATTGAAAAAGAACTATAACTGAGCTATCAAGTTTAGTGGTTTATGTTCTTGGCAGTGTCCTTTTAAGAAGTGACACTGCAGTAACAGGGCAAGGCCATAAACTTACTCTAGCAGGACCAACACCAACAAACATCTCCAAGAATTCGGACCCATTGACAGTAATGAAAGGGACATTGGCCTCTCCAGCAGTTGCTTTTGCAAGAAGAGTTTTTCCTGTACCTGGAGGTCCTGTCAGAATAGCTCCCTAGAAGAGAGGGAAGACAAAAGTATAAACACTGCTAAACAATAAAAGAAGTAGTTTTTAATAGTTTTTAAAAGTTTTAAATATATTTTTAAATGATTCCATTTATTTTGATCAGTCTTATAGCTTAATGGTTTTTAATGTATAACTTATTGTGTTTTAAAAAAAAGCCCCACATTAGAAAAATATTTAGGAGGATTTCTTCTTAAATATGCCAATTGACTATGATGCAATTTAAGGTTGAATCAATACATTTTGAATGTGAATGAAAAATAAAGGGCACAATCCAATGCTGGACTTCTGCTGGGGGAAACAATGGAATCCAGCAGAAATAGGGTGATGTTCTCCTTTTCTTACTGTCATGCTTTTATACACCCCCTTGGGCTTGTAGACAGCAAAGACAGCCATAAGTTCTGGTTTCGCTGAGAGAGCTATAGTACCATAAATTTTTATTTGAGAATTCTTACCTTTGGGATCTTTGCTCCTAGTTCCTGGTATTGTTTTGGGTTTTTCAGAAAATTCACAAACTCCATTATCTCTAATTTAGCTTCCTCACAACCAGCTACATCTTTGAACTTCACATCTATTTCATCTTTTAGGACTTTGGCTGTTGTTTCACCTACGCTGAAGAGTCCACCCATTCCTCGTCCTGCCCGGCCCACTCCCGCAGGTCCTCTTTTTAATGAGTACAATAGAAAGCCAACTATAAGGGCAGTCGGTAACATATTCAGAAGAAATGAACTAAAAACAAGGAAAAAAGATGGAGGTCAATTAGTTGTTTTATAACACACACACACACACAAAGACAAATATATATTATTTTGGGGAAACTTTAGTGAAATGCTGTTACAGACAAATTAAGTTGGGCTACTATAAACAACAAATGGTTCCAAGAACCTTTCTGATTCATAACATGTTTAATACAAAATTTATGTTATACTAGTAATGAGTGGGCTATATATAGGTTACTATTATTTACTTTGAAAGAATATCTGCCATTTCCCTGAGATCTAAATACATGATTATTTAAATATATTTAAATATAACTGATTATTTAAAGTCCAATTTCGACTGGGCTTTAGGCCAGGACATGGGGCTAAGACTGCTTTGGTCACCTTGGTAAATGACTTACACTGGAGACTGGTTAAGGGCAGCATCCTTTTATTAGTTCCTTTGGCTCTTTCAGCAGTATTCAGATCATCTGACGAGGCTGGGTACTGGAGGCACTGAATCGCAGTGGCTCCAATCCTTCCTGCCAAGGCGCATTCAAAAGATGGTGTTGGGAGAGCACAGTTTGACACCATGGCCTCTGTCATGTGGTCTTAGGGCTCTCTCTCCCCCTCCCATCCCCATTATATAACACCTACATGAAGCCACTGGGAGAGGTCATTCATTAGTGCCACTCATATGCTGATGGCACTCAGTTCTCCTGCTCCTTGTCACTGAATACCAAGGAAGCAGTCAGGACCCCTGAATGCTGCATGAGCTTGATAAATGGACTAGATGAAGGTGAATAGGCTGAAATTAAATCTTGACAAGACAAAAGTGCTGCTGGTCAGTAGAAAGTCAGACTTGTAAATTGTTTTACAAGGGGTTGTGTTCCATATGAGATGGTAGGCTTGAAGCACGGGAATACTCCTTGATTCTGTACTGTCGCTGGATTCCCAGGAGACAGCAGTGAGGAAGAATATCTTTGCACAACTCAATTTAGTGTGTAAATCTTTCCAGAGCTGACTAGATTTAACAATAGTCACTCATGCCTTAAGTTACATCCCATCTTAGAGCCACAGAGTGGGCATATGCAGCCTTTGGGCCTCATACTGTCTATTCTGTATTAACATAGGAATTTAAACAATTATCTTGATCTTAGTCGAAACAGGAATTTTGGAGAACTATTTATTTATTTATTAAAAATATTTCTATGCCCTGAAAAGGACCCAAGGCAGCTTACAGGGATCAAAGCATGAAAAGATATACATTACATGAAAAGATATACCTCACAAAGTGAGTATTACAGCATGAACTGCTGTGGAAATATCTTCATGAACACCTACAGAAAACAGCTGAATTGCCCAGAGAGATCTAGCCATTGTCTATCTTTCCTCTTAGTTATGACAGGGAGAATGATTACATGGGGCTTTTAAATGTGGTCACTAAACATTGAAGGCAGCAAGGATGAATATTTATTTATAGTTTAATTCAAAAGGCTTAGATCTCAAAAGGAATAATTAAAAAGGGCTCTTGGTCAATATCACCACCTCATGTTTCAAAGTTGATATAACACATTCAATTACAATTTCCATGATTCAAATGCTTACCCATCACTTTCTGCTGTGTACACTACCGGTAGCCTATTTTCTCCTTCAATACCCATCTCAAGCTGCGCAGTTTCCAAGTTCCGCTCAAATGTGTCCACACTTCCAATATTAAACCAGACATACTGCTGTCAAAACAAAAGCAGTTTGTGTTTCTTCAATTTAGCATCTTAAATTAATCTTGATCAGACAGAGAATAAAATCTGGTTCTGGAGAAACAGAGGGCTTGCTCAAGCATCCAGTGAGTTATAACATGTACTTTGCTTGCCAGACAACAACCGCAATCATGATTTTTGAGTCTTAGAAAATGGTTTTAATTGTATTCTTCTATTTATAAACCAAAAGAGCACTACCAGATACAACCGGTACAGCTGTGAATGCTAAAACAGCCAGATGTCTCTGTATAAAGGAACTACATCCATCTTTAAAAACCACATAGGTATGAACCTTGGATGCTTCCACTGCTATTCCAGGCAATGTTCCCTCTAAACTGTGCGACCATGTGACTGTACAGTACTGCATTGGCGCCACGCAACTGAGCCAGTGTTGCTGCCCATTTGCTTCCAGTCACGGCCAGACCCATGGGAGGGAAGTTGCTTCCACATTTCCAATATATTAGCCTTTACATGGCATGAAGTATATGCAATGACCTCCCAGTCTGCTAACAGTATTAGGATGATTAAAAGTGCATGATTAAAAGACAAAGTATAAAAAGAGACAGAAAGCAGAGAAGAGATGGGAAACAAAATACAAGGGAGACAGGGAAAGTTACAAAAAATTGAATGCAGACTTCTAAAGAATAGCAAGGAGAGACAAGAGGGCCTTCTTAAATGAACACTGCAAAGAAATAGAGGAAAATAACAGAAAGGGAAAAACTAGAGATCTGTTCAAGTATATTGGAGATATTAAAGCAACATTTTGTGCAAAGATGATAAAGGACAAAAATGGGGGGGACCTCACAGAAGCATAAGACATTGAGAAGAGGTGGCAAGAATACACAAAGGAATTATATCAGAAAGATCTGGACATCCCGGACAACCCAGATAGTGCAGATGCTGACCTTGAGCCAGACATCTGGAGAGTGAAGTCAAGTGGGCCTTAGAAAGCATGGCTAACAACAAGGCCAGTGGAGGTGATGGCATTCCAGTGGAACTATTTAAAATCTTAAAAGATGATGCTGTTAAGGTGCTACACTCAATATGCCAGCAAGTTTAGAAAACTCAGGAGTGGCCAGAGGATTGGAAAAAATCAGATTGGATGAATCACAAGACTGCCAGAAGAAATATCAAGAACCTCCGATATGCAGATGATACCACTCTGATGGCAGAAAGTGAGGAGGAATTAAAGAACCTCTTAATGAAGGTGAAAGAGGAGAGTGCAAAAAATGGTCTGAAACTCAACATCAAAAAAGCTAAGATCATGGCCACTGGCCCCATCACCTCCTGGTAAATAGAAGGGGAAGATATGGAGGCAGTGACACATTTTGCTTTCTTGGGCTCCATGATCACAGCCAATGGTGACAGCAGCCATGAAATTCAAAGATGCCTGCTTCTTGGGAGGAAAGCTATGACAAACTTCGACAGCATCTTAAAAAGCAAAGACATCACCTTGCCAACAAAGGTCTGCATAGTTAAAGCTATGGTTTTTCCAGTAGTGGAAGTGAAAGCTGGACCATAAAGGAGGCTGACCGCCAAAGAATTGACACTTTTGAACTGTGGTGCTGGAGAGACTGAAAAAAGAACAAATCAATCAATTTTTGAAGGAAATCAACCCTGAGTGCTCACTGGAAGGACAGATCCTGAAGCTGGGGCTCCAATACTTTGGCCATCTCATGAGAAGAGAAGACTCCCTGTCGTCCCCTTCTCCTTATGCCTTCACACTTTCCCTGATATTGGGAAAGTGTGAAGGCAAGAGGAGAAGGGAATGACAGAGGATGAAATGGTTGGACAGTGTCATCGAAACTACCAACATGAATTTGACCAAACTCTGGGAGGCAGTGGAAGACAGGAGGGCCTGGCATGCTCTGATCCATGGGGTCACGAAGAGTCAGACACAACTTAACGACTAAACAACAACTAGTCATTAACAGTGGTCTTTCTGGTGTGTGCGATCCTAATCTTTAAATAGGTGACAGATAGTATCTAAGGCCTCCACCTTTCTTGAGTGAGAGATTTTTTATATGCATATGTATAGCCTCCCTGACCCCTCAAACCACCTATCTTCTCTCTCCAAAATGAGTACATCTTGGTCATCAGATGAGTTTCCTTTGTCCTTCAAATCAAGCAATACTGCTGATTGTGGTTCTGAGCTGTTGCCCCTCCTGTGCTGGGCCATTCTCCTGCTTAGTGGCTGTCTGATTTCTCCAATGTAGACCTCCGAACACTCCTCTTTGCATTGGATCGCATATACTGTATTGCTCCTTTTGCGTTTTGGTGTCCAGTCTTTTGGTTGGATGAGTCTCTGCCTTAGTGTGTTAAAACACCGTTACAACACAAACTAGGGGTCATCAGGATGCTAAACACACAAAAAAAATCTGCACTTCCATAGAAGCCAAGAAGAAGGAAAATGGACACCTGAGGACAGCCCTGAAGGCCTGTGGATATCCAAAATGGGCCTTTAACAAGGCAATGTCCTGACCCATCAGGGCAATTGAACAGTCTGAGACCCAGAGCTGATGGAAGAACCTGGTCATTCCTTATATGGCAGGTTTGTCTGAAAAGCTCAAAAGGATTTTGGTAAACACCTCATACCCGTGCACTTCAAACCCCAAACACACTAAGGCAGAGACTCATCCACAGTCTAGTTTGTGGACAAACTCATTCACAAGTAATTTTGACGTTTACTTATAAGGAGAAAGGTAAAGGTTCCCTTTGACATTTAGTCCAGTTGTGTCTGACTGTAGGGCGTGGTGCTCATCCCCGTCTCTAACCCATAAAGTCAGTGTTTGTCCATAGACAGTTTCTGTGGTCACGTGGCTAGCGCGACTAGGCACAGACGCCATTACCTTCCCACCGTGGTGGTATCGATTTCTCTACTTGCATTTACATGCTTTCAAACTGCTAGGATGGCAGGAGCTGGGACAAGCGACAGGAGCTCACTCCGTTGCATGGATTTGATCTTAATGACTGCTGGTCTCCTGACCCTGCAGCACAGAGGCTTCTGCGGTTTAACCTGCAGCGCCACCATGTCCCTCCCATAAAGAGACAGAGTCCAACCTTAATGGTCTGTTTAACTTAAAGAAATGCTCACAATGATGAAAGGTGTGCTCCCCTCAATACATTTAGGCAAGTAAAAAAAAATGAACTTACCCCTTCAGTGGGACTCTTCCCTGGACTAAAGATCACTCTAACATAACGCTTGTTCACCACTTCTAGCTTTTCCACCTGTAAAAACATAAAAGAAATCGTACACTACTGCTTTTGCATATTTCTACTCATTCCATGTGATTTACCACCAGAGTTTGTAAAATGACAGAAACAAATTTGTTAGGACTACCTTGATACAAAGTGCAAAATTGTGGTCTTAAATTGTTTACACAAGCCACATTTATCACCAACCACTGGTTAACTAAACTGAAAAAGGAACTGGAATACAGAACTACAGTAAATGGCAAGTTATCCCATTTTATATTTAAGATCACTCCAGTGTCTACAAACATCCAATGATGGTTAAGGAGAGAGTGATTTAGAGGGAAATTTGCCATCAACATGGGCAGAAGCGATAATTTCCCTTATTCACAAGGAAAATATGGAGGGAAAAGAAATCCAAAACTACAGACCGATTTCACTGTTGAATGTGGACTATGAAATATATGCGACCATGTTGGCAACTAGACTAAAAAGAATTTTATTATAACTAATACATCAACATCAGTCTGGATTCCTCCCAAAAAGACAGATGAAAAATAATATAAGGATAATTTTAAACTCTCTAGAATACTATGAAGCTCACCCGGAGAAATAGATGGCTATGATATTCTTGGATGTGGAGAAAGCCTTTGATAATCTTGATTGGAACTTTATGTTATATCAGCTGGAACTGCTACAAGTTGGAGAAAGATTTTTGAAACTAATCAAAGCAATCTATACTCAGCAAAAGGCAAAAGTGAAAATTAATAGAGAGTTGACAAAAGAAATGTACTAGATAGGAATGTCCACTCTCGCCATTACTATTTAGAAATATTAACTGGACAAATCAGAGATAAAAAGGAATTAAAAGGACTGAAAGTAAGAGGTCACACTTATGAACTCCAAACCTTTGCAAATGCTTAGTCATTATAATGGAAGATCCACTAGACTCAATAGAAGATTTGATGGAGATCCTGAAAAACTTTGGTGAAATGGCAGGAATGAGAATAAACCAAAAGAAAACAAAAATACTTGTGAAAAATAAGAGAAAACAAGAAAGATAGAACTTAATAGAAAAGACTAACTTTCAAGAGGAAGAGAGAATCAGATATTTAGGGATTCAGATTACAAAGAAGACGAGCACATTATTTAAAGATAATTACATGAAACTGATTAAAGAAATACAGAGCAACTTGGAGAGATGGGAGAAATTACAGTTATCGTTGATGGGAAAAATTGCAACTATTAAAATGAATGTCTTGCCAAAAATTTATTTGTATTTTGGACAATCCCTATAATATTAAAACAGTCCTTTTTTCAAGAACTCAATAAAATATGAGATTTGTATGGCAAGGTAAAAACCAAGAATTAAAATTAAAGCAATGCAAGATGCCAAACAAAGGGTGGGTTTTGGTTTTCCGGATTAGATTCTATATTATAGATCCTGTGTACTAGATTGGATAAAAGAATGGATAACTTTGGAAAATGATAGATTACTCAACTTGGAAGGACATGATTTGCAGCTCGGCTGGCATGCTTTTATATGGTATAAAAGAGATAAAGAGCAAAAACATTTTAATTCACATATGATAAGAAGAGCTTTAATAGGAACTTGGACAAAGATACCAGTATGGGTATCACCTACAGGGGCCTTTACACAACCCCATCTTATGATGAAAGCGAAGCTCCTAAGATTTATTGAAAAAGGACTGTTAGTTAAAGTCTAAAGAAGAGTTAGAAACACAGAATACAGTGGTGCCCCGCATGACGACGACAATCTGTTCTGTCAAAATCGCTGTACAGCGAAATCATCGTCATGCGAAAAAACCCATTGGAATGCACTGAAAACTGGTTAATGCGTTCCAATGGGGAAATACCTCATCGTCCAGCAAAGATCGCCCATAGAGAACTGCCGATCAGCTGTTTAAAATCGCTGTCTTCCGAAGCTTGTCTGGAAAACAGCCATTTTACGAAGAGAGGGAAGCCATTTGGCGGAACTGGAAAAATCATTGTTTAGCGAACAAACGGTTCATGAAGCAGGGACCTAATCAACGTAAAGTGGATTTCCACCATAGAATCATTGTTTTGCGATCACAACAACGATCGCAAAAAAGTCATTGTCAAGCGATTTCATCGTTTACCGGGGTAAGTGTGTAGTGGGGCACCACTGTATATACATAGACTGGTGGTCCAGAGTACAGCTAGAATCTAGATATAGCAAAGATTCTTGAATTTCTGAATGTATCATTGTGCATACTTTATGGACCTTTGGATCCTAGGAATTGCACTGCATAATGGATGACACCCATTTAATCCTGTTTTGAGACATGGACAAATTACCTTTTATGTAAAACTGAAAATGACATTCTTTCTCCTCATGAACAACATTTACAATGATTTTCATTCTCTTTATTCTCAAGTCCAAAGGTGAATGCTGATGCTACTATAGCCAACACAGTACTCTGTGTGCCATCAAAAGAAAGGAGACAAAGAAATGAGAGTATGCTCAGGAGATCCCTTCGTATCCCTCCTTCACACCACTCACTCCTTCAATTTCACTTAACTAGGGACAGGGAGGGAGAGGAATGCATCTGGCTGACACATTACAGGGTTACCTGTATATGGATTTTGGTCTCTCTGCTTGATTCCAAAAACTAAGATTTCCCAGTTTCCAAGCTTTCTCACATGGAAAGATATTTTCACTTGAATCACAATGAGAATCTATACTTGCTAGAGACCTTCTGATGTGTCCATTACTGCGTGTCTACAACAAGTTGTCCTTCTCCAAGTGTGCTGGACCGAAGATGCTAAATGAGTAAGTGATGCTTTTGTCACTGTCACCACTCTTGCATTACTTTCTGCCTTGGGACATTTAGCATGACTGCCAATAGTAAGATGTAAACGTTTGTCCCCCATCTGCTTAGAATGACTCCCACACCAATGTGCAAAAGGAGCGACACAGCAGCATTTGAGGAAAAATTTAAAAAGCTACTAAGCAAATTTGTCCAAAAATGTTCAGCTTCTCAGTTCTTTCTCAAGGGGAGAGATCCAAAATACAAGTTTTTATTTTAAAACATACCAGCTAAATCTGAATTTCTTTTCATTAATTTCTCAAGGCCTTCAGCAAACATGGAGTTTGAGAGGCATGGAGTCTTCCTTCACTTGCACCAAGGGCATAAATAAGAAAATGGGGGGGGGGATCCTACTCTGCTCAATGTTCTAGTAGGTGTGAGAAAGCAGCGTCTCTCCTTGAAGTCCCCTTGTGAGCATGAAGAGTAAGAAGGAAAGATAGAGTCTTATGTCACATTGCTGTTGAAGGCCTGGATAAGGAAAGAAATAGTGGGAGAAACAACTATGGTTTCCCCCCTTAAACAAATGTTCCTACAAGAATCTTAGCCTCTCCATCTGGCTCCCTGTGCTAACATGAGGAAGATATGGGGATCTTGCCTCACAAATTCCTTGGCAGAGAAGAAACAACAAAGAAATTGCACATGGTGGCTTTTTTAATCCCATGTTTTCCAGAACTTCTCTTGCCAAATGGCAAAGGGCACTAGAGTCCCCGACAAATAGGCAAGTGGAAATGGGGATGCTTATTAGGGACATACTTAACTATACAATTCCTTCCTGAGACAACAGGTTTTTGCACTCCAACAATCAGTTCGCTCAAGAACTGTGAAGCAAAGCTGTGTTTTTGTTTGTTTCTTTTAACTCACTGTACTGAATAGTTATTGTTGAACTCTAGTCTGCTTTAAAGGCTTTTTTAAACAAAATCTGTTTCTGGAAATTTCTAATATCATTTGTTTTTAACCCACATTGTCAGATACCATGAATGTCTAACAGAAATACACATGGCTTAAATAAACTATATATAACTTATGAAATGCCTTGGGCACAACTAGATGCTATTTTATACTTTTAGACATTGTTATATTTTTCTTCTCATGGATTAGATCAGTGCTTTTGTTCAATGAATACAATATATTCAGTTTTCTTCCCTAAATGCAAACTCCATTAAAAGTTTTCTAATTTTCTTTAGGTTAATCTATCTTGGCTTGAGCTTAAGCACAATGATGTTAAAGTTATTCAGTGAAGTTTCCCAGTGCTACCTACCACTCCTTGGGAAAGGTAGTTGTTGACAAAGTCTTTCCATGTGATTTCTCTCACAGGAGTCCTTAAGAAAAAGTAGTAGGTAAAGGCAATCCATAGAAAAGAACTACCCACAATGTACGAACGGAATTCTTTATCATCCCAGGGAAAATCACCCTAAAAGGAAAAGGTAAAAAGATACTGAAACCAGAAACAATTGCATAAGTCAAGTTCATGAGTTTTCATGTTTACACTTACAAAAGCAGAGGTATGCCTTTTCCCATCCTGAAACAGGATGCCAGTTCTTGCTCAGCATACACACAAGATAATATCTAGGGCTCTGGGCCACTATGAACTCTGCAAGGTACTAAAATATAATCATCATACGTTCTTTCAAATTGACTTAGGCTTTTCATTTCAATAACAATACTTTAAAAATATGTTGTTATGTGCTGTCAAGTGGGAGCCATCTTAGAGCGACTCTAACAGGTCTTTCAAAGTAAGTGAGATATTGGTGGCTTTACCAGTTCCACGCCCCCACTGAGTCTCCATGCTGGACCATGGATTTGAAACCAGAGTCCTAGTCCACCACTCTATCCACTACACCACTCTGAGTATCCAAACAACAAAACATAAACCAAGATGGCACCTAATAATGCCCCAGTAACTGAATAGAATTGATGCTTTTGAATTGTGGTGCTGGAGGAGGCTCTTGAGAGTCCCCCGGACTGCAAGGAGAACAAACCTATCCATTCTGAAGGAAATCAACCCTGAGTGTTCACTGGAAGAACAGATCGTGAAGCTGAGGCTCCAATCTTTTGGCCATCTCGTGAGAAGGGAAGACTCCCTGGAAAAGCCCCTGATGTTAGGAAAGTGTGAAGGCAGGAGGAGAAGGGGACAACAGAGGATGAGTTGGTTAGACAGTGTCTGTGAAGCAACCAACATGAATTTGACCCAACTCCGGGAGGCAGTGGAAGACAGGAGGGACTGGTGTGCTCTGGTCCATGGGGTCACAAAGAATCGGACACGACTTAACGACTAAACAACAACAAAAAACTGAATAGAAACCTTTTGTAATCTGGACCACCAGTGAGTATCTTCTTTCTTGCCTCCTTTTTTACCTCCGCCAGGACCTCCTCCACTGCCAGTCCTAGAAGGTCGCTGAGAATTAGGTTGCTTTACATCTACAGAAAAAGTACATACATGCGTTTCCAGAAAGACTTGAAATTATTTGTTTTGTCAGTTCAATATATTCCGTGTCTAAATAACACCAACAACTGTAACTGTTAAACTATACATTACAACAAACATATGGTTCTCTGTGAGAATAATCTTGGGTATCCCACCCCTCAATAACATCTATCATAACTTCCATCATATCATAACTTCAAGATATTTCCTCATCTCACATAACTGACTACAGATGGCAATCTGCAAGGAATACAAATATCTGCACTGCAGAGAATTGGAATACCTCCAAGCTGCAAAAAAACCACGAAGTATCACATCAACAAAATGACCGCTGATTTCCATGGGATGCCATACAGAGGAGGGCAGCCAGTACAAAAGCAACATTTTCCATTATGTGCAGTTTGCTTTAATAATCTGACTCTGGCCTGCTTTACAGAGTGGAAACCAAGATTACTGACAGAAATAAATATTAAGTTCCTTCACCACTGAGGAAAAGCACTTTACCAATGTTATGGTTCCTTATATGTACAGTGCTGGGGGGATGAGGGGAAAATAACAGCCATGTAAGACTTTGCAGGAAATATAATACTCTGAGAAGAGTAATTCAATATAAACCAGTTATAGCTAAGTATCCCAGAAAAATGTATTTCTAAATTTTTGTACAAAAATGTCCTTTGCTCAAGTCCATTTATATCTAGGTTTTAAGCTGTGTTAATTAGGTCCATGTACTAATATGTAGGACGTGGTGGCAGCGCGGGTTAAACCGCAGAAGCCTCTGTACTGCAAAGTCAGATGACCAGAAGTTGTAAGATCAAATCTATGTGACGGAGTGAGCACCTGTCGCTTGCCCAGCTCCTGCCAACCTAGCAGTTCAAAAGCATGTCAAAATGCAAGTAGGTAAATAGGTACTACCTTGATGGGAAGGTAATGGCATTCTGTGTCTAGTCACGCTAGCCAGATGACCACAGAAACTGTCTTCGGAAAAACGCTGGCTCTATGGCTTGGAAACCAAAATGAGCACCACGCCCTAGAGTCAGACACAACTGGACTAAATGTCTAATTTACTTTACTAATATGTACTCAAGCCCCTCCACAGACTGCAGCCTTGTCATGGCGAAGGGACTTGAGTAACTGAGAGAAGCTATGGGCTATGCCATGCAGGGACACCCAAGACACACAGGTCATTGTCGAGAGTTCTGACTAAACGTGATCCACCTGGAGCAGGAACTGGCAAGCCACTTCAATATCTTTGTCAAGAAAAGCCTTTGTGTGGAACACAGCAAACTATGGCAAGTTCTTAAAGAAATGGGAGGGCCTGACCACTTTATCTCCTGAGAAATCTATATGTAGGACAGGATGCAACAGTTAGAACTGGATGTGGAACAACAGACTGGTTCAAAATTGGGAAAGAAGTATGACAAGGCTGTATACTGTCCCCCTGCTTATTTAACTTATATGCAGAATACATCATGCAAAAGGCCAGACAGGAAGAATCACAAGCCGGAATTAAGATTGCCGGAAGAAATGTCAACAAACTCTGATATGCAGATGATACCACTCTGATGGCAGAAAGTGAGGAGGAATTAAAGAACCTCTTAATGAGGGTGAAAGAGGAGAGTGCAAAAATGGTCTGAAGCTCAACATCAAAAAAACTGAGATCATGGCCACTGGTCCCATCACCTCCTGGCAAACAGAAGAGGAAGATATGGAGCCAGTGAGAGATTTTACTTTCTTGGGCTCCATGATCACTGCAGATGGGGACAGCAGCCATGAAATTTAAAGACATCTGCTTCAGAGGAAAGCGATGACAAAGCTAGACATCTTAAGAAGCAGAGACATCACCTTGCCAACAAAGGTCCTCATAGTCAAAGTTATGATTTTTCCTGCGGCGATGTATGGAAGTAAGAGCTGGATCATAAAGAAGGCTGACTGCTGAAGAATTGATGCTTTTGAATTGTGGTGCTGGAAGAGACTCTTGAGATTGCCCTGGACTGCAAGGAGAACAAACCTATCCATTCTGAAGGAAATCAACCCTGAGTGCTCACTGGAAGGACAAATCCTGAAGCTGAGGCTCCAATACTTTGGCCATCTCATGAGAAGAGAAGACTACCTGGAAGAGACGCTGATGTTGGGAAAGTATGAGGGCAAGAGGAGAAGGGGACGACAGAGGATGAGATGGTTGGACAGTGTCATCGAAGCTACCAGCATGAATCTGACCAAACTCCAGGAAGCAAATAGGAGGGCCTGGCCTGCTCTGGCCCATGGGGTCCTGAAGAGTCGGGCACGACTTAACGACTGAACAACAACAACACTAATATTTTAGTAACATGTCACTGCACAGAGATCAAGAGGATTAGAGATTCTACAGGCAAGTTCTCTGCTTATCATCTTGTTGCTACACCATGACGTTTTAAAATAGGATGCAGAATAATCTGTTCTTCACTGGTTCTGAGCATACCTCAGCATCTAGAACCATTAAGGTAACAAACTTTGAAAGGTATGTAAGGCTGGGGATGTGAATGGGGCCAGTCCATGGAGACCTTTCATAAAAATGCTCAAGATATATTAACAAACACCGGACCAAGAATTCGAAAGATAATATGGGTGATTTGAAACCTGAAACACTGCAAGTATACAACATGGGCACTTGAAAGTTATACTAAGAGAAGCTACAAGATAAACCATAGAAGATGAATGACCTTCTTTCCATCATCAATTTTTCTGGTTCAAGTACAGAGTTAGAACTCACAAAGCAGGGTGTAAATTATGGTTTCTATTTACCAGTAGTCTAAATGTATAGCAATCCAACTACTGTTTATTCTACATACAGGCCTGAAATGAAAGGACTTTTTTATACCTTTGGTTTCTCCATCTCCAGAGCCTTTTGTTTCATTAGGTTTCTTCCCATTTGGAAAATATTTTTCAAACCCTATTAAAAAAAAGATGTGTCACGAAAAACTCATCCACACTGCATTGTGCTTGGGGAAGCCTCACAATAAACAATACATTCAAACAGAAGGGAGAAAAGTAACAATGATAAGAGACCCTCAACAATTCTGACTGATAACATAAACAGCAAGATGACTGGTACTCAGTGAAAAGTACATACATATGTTATTTTAAAATTTTCGCATTTCAAAACACAATAACAATGACTAGATTTCCTGCTATGTAAATCCATCTTCCTTTGGAACTGTTTATTTCTGTAAAAACACTGCTGCTAAATACAGAAGAGAGTGGAAAGGTATGGAAACCAGAAACAGTTCTTTATTTGTGAGAAGAAAAACTATATTCTCAGAATTTAATTAGCAATGGTATTGGATACAAACTCTCCAGCTGAATCGTGACACAAATCTAATAAAAGTATCAAAATCAAATAAAAGTAGCAAGGGACAGGAGCAAAGAAAGGAGAATATGCACATTTGGAAATGAGGCAAATGGCTGTAGGGAAACAAAACCTTATTAAAAAGACCAAAGAGGATAAAAATCAATCATTTTTTAAAAAAAACCACATCAGTTTAAATCACAATTTAAATAAAAAATAATTTTATTTAAATAATTTAAAAATCTAAAAAAAAACCTAAATTGTGCTTTAAATCAATTTGATTTAAATCAAATCCAGCTTGTGATAAACTATCTTCCAATTAGACAACAGCCAAAATCTTGCTGAGATTTTACGTGCATGAAGCAGGAATAATGTAAGTTGCTGTGACTAACCAAGGAAGTGCCTGGTAAGTACCAGGAATGTGAATTCAGTGCATGACTGGGTGCATGATCAGCATACACTGGTGCATAATCAGTTTCTTTAGAAATAATTACCTGATCACTTAAATAAACGTAGGAAACATTGCAGCCAATCAAAGCACTGCCAGGGAAAATATCCCAAACAACTGTGTGACAGGAGTAGTTCTGTGGTATTGATATAAAAGGAATGGTCAGATTTTTAAACTGTCTAAGTCACAGGTGAATTCAACCATAGAAAATGTGATAGCTGAGGCTTATGCATTATCAGTTTAAATGTGACTGCAGACCAGTAGCTCTCACATAGTATAACTCTATACATTACAAACATTCAGAAGAATAAAAAGGGAAAACACTAATTAGTTTGCTCTCTTTTGGGCAACTTTCTAACCTTTCTAATTTTTTCTAAAAACACTGCACTTTTAACAGTTAAAACAAAATTTCAGACAAGTGTAAAAATAAGAAGTCCAAAAATGAATCTGCTGACTGCTTTAAATTCTCTCTACATAATTAGTTCATATTCAAACACAGCAGCAAAACAAGCTTCAACTCCACAATAAAAGTGTCAACATTCACGTACTACATCACCATCACATAATAATAATTACCTTTCGGCGGTTGGGAGAACAGCCTTCTGTAAGCAGCAATTACATTTACAAGGGTATTACTTCTATTTGTAGGAACCTGAGTGGCTACATGGTCATGAAGCTGAAAAATTAAGAACAGTGACTGTAGAACTACAATGTTTTTCCCCACTTTTTTTTCACAAATCTATGCATACCCTGTTGGAAATAAATGCCACTGGTTTTAATAATTCAATAGAGTAAATGTGCACTGTTCTGTCACTTTACAATGCAATCCTATGCACACACTCATCTGGGAGTTAAGTCTCACTGAAGACTTTTTCCCAAACATCGAAAGTGTAATAGAAACACATTGCTCAGCATTTTTTGACTTCTTTCAAGCACCCCAAGAAAAGACACAGTTGAAATATATTTTTGACGTTAAGAACATAAACTAGGATACTCTTAATGCTTAGGGCAGGCTTGTATTAAAAAAATCACCTGGTCACTACATGCATCCAAGTCACACTACACAGGGGAGTAAGTGGGCTGGCAATAGCAGGGTTCATGCCATTCATCTTTTACCAACCTTCTTGGTTTCGATCCTAATTACAGGGAAAGGGAAGTTGTCTTCCACATTTGATATCAATAACCAGCTAACCTTTTTATTTTTTTAATGTGAGCTTTCGTGGACAAGTCCACTTCATCAGACATAGGAGAAAGAGAATTACCATGGCAAATATTTATACATGACATCAAAATACAGCAATTGTGGTTGGTTGGTAAGAAAGTATCTTTGATTTATAGGCATTTTACTGAAGAAAATTAGAAAGCCCCCAGTTCAAATCCTCCATTAACAGCAAAACTACAGACTGAGCAGGTGACCTGAAATAAACCACACTCTCTCCATCTTACACCTTCTTACTCTTATAGGCAAAAATGAATAAAGCCTTCCTTAACTGCCTGAGAAAACAGTCAAGGGGAACAAAAGAAAATGATGCCGATAAAGCACTTTGAACTGTCAAAAGCACTACACACCAGACTCCAAAAAGCACAAAAAAGTGCAGCTCGCTGAAGCTTTTGTGGAAAAGATTCAAAAACTTATTTATTTATTTATTTGATTTATACCCCGCCTATCTGGTCTACTCGACCACTCTAGGCGGCTTCCAGTATAGGATAAAATAAAACACAAGAACATTACATAATCATTTGATACAGTTACAATAAAATAGAGAATAAAATAAGAAGGAATAGAAAAGGTATTGAGTGGAGGGAAGGACTGGATGTACAACCATGTTTTTAATTGGGTTTTAAAGATTCCCAGCGGACATGCCTCGACAGCGACAAGTGTCAAGTCAGCCCATACAGGGGCTGTTGGCTTGGGCCTGAAACGTCAGAGGCAGCAAAATGCAACTTTCCACTAAATCTCCCCCGCCCGCCCCATTCATCATCTCCATTCATCTAGTGACCTTGGGACACTCCCCTTCTCTCGAACCAGCTTTCCTTCACTGGCCTGTTCTGAGGAGAATCACGTACGCTTCCGCGAACTCACTGAAAGAAAGGCTAGAAGAAAACATAGCAAATGAATTACAACAACAACAGCTGAGGAAGACGCTCGTCCGGAACTCTGAAGATCTACTACCATATGAATCGGGGATAAATACTGGTCTAGCTGGACGAGCGGTGCGGCCTGGTATAAAGCGGCTCATCTCCTTAATACCAAACATGCACCATTACATACGCTTAGATAACGCTTAAATAAGCGATTGCCTCAACGGAAGCGGGCTTTCCCCTGAGTGAAAGCCGTAAGAACCGAAGTCGCGGAAAGAGGCCGAGCGCCTTCCTCGTTGCCGCCGCCGCTGCCCGATGATGATGAGGAAGCTCAGGGGGGCGAGGCGGCAGGGGCGAGGGGGGCGTGTGAGCCCCTCCGCCTCGACCGTCCTTGCCTTCCAAGCACATGTCACTCACCAGTCTTAGGTAACGGGAAGAGGCGGCCAGGCCCCGACCGCAAAGCAGCTGCCGAACACCCGGCGAGCAGAGGAGGGGACGCCGGCAGCAGCCCCTCGACAACAAGAGGCAGCGATGAGCCATTCTCCCTCGGCCAGGCCCCGGGCCCCGAAGCGCCGCTCTAGCACACTCACTCTCTCGCGTACACACACGCACGCCCAGGGTGAGCTGGGCCACACCCCCGGCGCCGCCAATGACGCCATCGCGTCGCTCTCCCCGTGACACTTTCGCCGATACGCACGCGCAGTAGGTCCCAGTTTTTCTACCTCAGGATTACTCGCCCTTTTTTCCTGTTTGGTTATCGCCCCGTGACCTTATTAGGGCGGATAGTCCTTGTTTTGTTGTTTCCCCCGTTCCTACAAGAGCGAGCGGACGAGCACCTTCGTATTCCGCTTCGGAATATGAGAGAGCATCACATACTGGGGGTGGGATAGGCATGAGGAAGGTGAGGCCCTCCGAGTTATTGCTGGTCATCAACTGCCGCGACCTCTCACCTTTCGTTATGTCACCTGGGGCTGAGGGGTGTTGCAGTCGGACGATATCTAGAGATTCACATATCCCATCTGCGACATCCAGTCAGAAGAATCGAAGAAGGATAATATTGACAAATGACGGCTTCACTAATTTAATGATTTCAGTGCCTTCTCACGACTTTCACATAAACCGTATGTGGAGTACTCGTGACGTTCTAACGGCCATCATCAAACTAGAAGGTAATGAGGATTCCTCCTTTAAAACAAAGTACACCTGATTACTGGAGGCTCCCTTCTTTCTTTTGTATAATATGCACATGGATTTTATTTGACTCCGAAAAGGAAATCAAGAATTACATTAGCAGCAAAATCTTGTGACACGAAAACAGATATACAGCTGCACCGTGATCTAAGGGGAAAAAGCGCCAAGATGCAAACGCATTGTATGGTTTCCTATTCAAAGCAACTCGCCGTTCGAGTTTTAAAAGGCCGCCACTCCCAGTTAATATATTAGTGACAGCCGGTATCACCACGGCTGCAAATGCCGATACATGAGTAATAAGTCACATGCCGTGAAACAGGGGCGTGGCGAAGACGTAAGCACGCATTTCCGGGAGCTTGAGACGGGCACCTCGGGTCCAAGGGTAAACAGAGTTAACGTCTCTTTTGCGCATGCGTCCGTACGCCTTTGTCCTTCATACCCACTGTGGTTTGAAAGGGTGAGGAGAAACGGAATTGAGGTATTTTGTCCCTTTTCAGCAGCCGGAGCAGCGACGGAATGACGCAAATAGACGTCCCGCCCAGATAAGGACAAGCGTCGTCCTTGACGTAACAATCTCCTTTCTGGGCCGTGAAGCCGGCTGCCTCCTTTGGGTCGCCATTTTTGCTGCTGCCGCCGGCTCCTCTCGAGATGAAGATCTGGAGCTCAGAACACGAGTTTGGGTAATGGACGCTTTTCTTGGAGGGCTTTACTTCCTTGCCTGGGTTTTTGTTCGTTGGTGTTTAGAAAGAACAATGTAATTGTCTGCCACCGCCGTCTGTTGTTCCCTTTCCCCCTAGTTTGCGCTCTTGTGGATTCCTGTCATGGCTTCGCTTCCTACCGCGCTCAGCCTCTTTCCGCCAAGTTCCTTTCTCCGCCGACCCCGATTTGCATGGAAGGGCTCTAGCCTCGCTGACCGCAGCTCTCAGGCTCGAGTGGGGCTTCGAGCGGTTTAAAAGCTGTACACTGCCGCGTGGGTTATGCGTGAGAGTTTGCGCTCGCCCGCTTGGCAATCGTTTTTTGATTGATCATGAGGTAAATCTTTTGTCTTGTTTTTCAAGCGCCCCCCCTCTCATGATGCTTCAGATAGAAATGGTGAAGCAACCGCAGTAAAGTACCTAAATAGTAGAACGAAACAGGCAGATCAGAAATAAAGCTTTTGGAAAGCGAGCCTTCTTGCTGTCTCAAGGCCGGACGGTTCTTGAATGGGTTCTCCGGTGGCAGCGAGAGAGGGAAAGGTCACCTCCACTGGGATCCTGGGAACTGTTATCCGCTCCCCCTCACTCCTTGCATTTCATTCCGTCTTTGGGAATGGGCTTCTGGCAGGTGAAAGCCTTCAGAACAAGAAGAAGCAACCTCATGTTTCACCATGCTTTATTTGAGTGGTAAGAGGAAGTGGAGGTTCTCTTACGAAAAATCTTATCTTTGAGTTCAGCCCTTCTGAGTAAAATCTGGCAAATCTGTCTCAGTATGTTGGAAAAGTCCTGCGTCTGAACATCAGAAAGTACGGTGTTTTCCTCTCAGTTTTGAATGACAAGATGTGATGATTATCAATTTGGTTTACTTTAAATGGAGAATGAGCCAATTTGTGGATTATGGAGCTGTCAATAGCTACTAGCTATGGTGACTATGTATTCCTTTCAGTAGTCTCTGTGCCTTTCAGTACTAATTGCTGGGAGCATGTTTGGTAGGGGATCATGTGCTTACATCCTGCAGATTTACTCACCACAGGCAACTAATTTGGCACTGTAGCATGCCAGGCTGGATAGGAATTTGGGCTGAGCTTACACAACTTTTCATGTGATAGTTACCAAACATCCATTTCATCATCATTTTATTCTTTGTTAGTGGTGAACATTTGAAATATCTTTTTTTAAACAGATTTTTCCACCGAGTGAACTGCCCTAATGTGCTCCTTATTTCAAGCAAAAGTTACAGATATCTAGAGCAAAGGGCACAACTTCCTTTTCCAAGGTAATCACCTGGTAAACTTTAGCGCTATAAGCTTTGGATGCTGGGGTGACCATGAAAATATCATTGACAACTAGCTGACAAACTTTTATTGGTGAATGTACATTTCAAAGGTCAGAGCTGTTATCTTATTCTTCAGATGAGGCATCCTTGAGATGTTAATTCTTTATTTTCAGGCTTCTGACTGTTGGTATTGCATATTTAGAGATGCTGCAGTCCACAAATTTTGACTGACTACTTAAATAGAAGGTTGCCAGGATCCCTGAATTTCCTTTCAGACCACTAGGATGTGGGTTTTGATCCTGATACTGAAGCTCTGTATTGGCACTTAAATTCGGTGTGGGCAGATTCTAGAAGTCTGGCCACAATACATAGTTTGATCCTTGGGAGAGTCACAACCCAACCCCCTTTGCTTCTAGTGGCAATTTAATGGTATGTAGAGGTGTCCTGGGGTACTTGAGAAGCTCAAAACGTGGCAAAATTGCCCACTTCCTTCTGAGCCAATTAAAATAAATAAACATTTTAGGGTGTGGGTAGGATTGTGGGTGCATTGGAGTCATTAGGGAGCTGCATGTGTTCTCTCAGATTGCACTTTTCCATCCCTCCTTTATAGCAAAAATTCTCCAGGGCAGAATTGGGCAATATGTGGAAGTCTAAAATGCACATGCCCCCCTCCCTGGCCCATGGAAGCATCTGCTTCCACAACTGCCACATAATTTTCATATGTTAGTGTTTTTTAAAATAAACATCTCCTCTGTACCTTTTTAGTGGTGAAAATTTTAAAAGATTTTTTAACATTGAGAGATGTAGGGAGCTCAGAGCCTCTCAGAACATGGCAAAGTGCCCCCCTTTACCACCCTTGGGGATTTTTGAGCCATAATTTTTAAAAATTACATTATTACATTTGCTTTTGAATTCCCATGGGGATGCATGAAGCCCGCTGCTGCCTAGATAATTCCTGTTTTCTTGTAGCAGAAAAGGGATGGCATCCCCTTGCTAACACTGAGGTTCAAATGACCTTAAAAACTAAGCATTTTCAGCCTTAGCAGCAGAGAATTAAGCCACTTAGAATGGTTTTGTTACTAAGAGTTCAGTTCTTAGTATCCCATTGATACAGATAGGATTTCCCTTCTGATTAACTATGAAATCACCTCTAATTGCAAGAACTGCTTTCTACTCATGTGCTAAATGTTTTTTTTCCTAAAGGGCCACTTGTATTATAGATAAATCAAGGTCTAGAAGGTTTAAGGCATTGTTATCCCCATTTAATCAAAGTTTAGCTTTCACTGAGCAAAACCTTGTTGCATAACTATGCAGAGGTACCTTGACATTGTGCCCATAGTAGCTATGATAGTGCTGAGGTGGAAGTGCTATCCACAAAGCAGTTCTGCTGGCACATTGTGCAGTCGGCCATGCTGGGCACATGTGACTGATTGCACAGTTGACTTGAATTATGCAATTCTTTACTGCCATGTTTAACACTGGGCACATTTACACTGGTGTAACTGTATATTATGCCTTCATCAGCAGGATTTTTCTTGTGTTCTGCAGCTTAGTGATTGTGATAATTTAATGGGTGTGAAAAAAGCTATGATGTACACAATGTGTGTTTTGCATATCTGCATCAGAGCAGTTGCTGTATGTTTTACTGTATATTTGTCTGTGGAAAAGGTTGAACTCCATTTATTGCATGTAAGAATGTTTGAGTAGGACTTTGGAGTTTATCCAAAGGGAAGACTGGGATATGTACGTAATTTCAACAGGAGCCTCTCAATTGCCCTTAACATAACTTGTGATATGACAGATTTTCTTCTAGGTACAATGTAAGAACAGCACATCTCTCATGGTTTGGGCAGCATTGAACTAGACTCTGTTAGAGCTACCAGTTGTGTGGAGTTTTGGCTTTGGTAATTTATGGTTGTGTAACAGCTGTACAACACTGTCAGCTTCATATTTGACCTTCTGAGTGTACTTCAGAAGTAAGAGCATTGTGGGCTTACTCTTATCCCAGATTAGGTCCCTCCATTTAATTTTTTCAGCTGTTTTGGGTCTGTTATCCAGCCATTGGGCAGCACAGGGAACACACAAAATCTTCTATGTGTGATGCATGGTAACTATTTTCAGTTACTTGTAAGTTGGTGGTGTGTGCTATGGGTTTATATCCATAGCTACCTGTCACATTGCTCAGATCACTTGGCTAAGTGCTATTTAAGCACTTAAGTTTCTGCTTTTAAACAGACTGGATTATGCATATTCGTTCTGTGTACATACAATAAGTGTTTCTGGAGATATTCCGGCCATAGTGCTTACAGGAAAATAAGACTGTGTGATCAGCCTGTAGATGAAAGATGGTAGCTGCCTAGGAATAGGAGGCCTTAAGGCTATAGGAAACATGATTTAAACTTAAATACATGAAAAACTGAGCCAGTTCCTGGCAAAATATATGCAAAACAGTGGCTAGGAATAGGACAGTGCCAATGCTAAAAGCTGCTTACAGCTCAATGATGTTGTTCCTAAATTGGAAGTGGCTGAAAGCTGTAACTTCTGCTTTAAATTGTTTAAGAGGATTGAAACAGTTTTATTCACCTCAGGAAAATCTGATAAAGAACAAGTTAAATAAAGCATTAAACTTGTGATATGACAGATTTTCTTCTAGGTACAGTGGTCCATTACTGGCTAGGAAGATGATGCTGAGAAAAATCACATATTGGTTTTTACAACTGGGTAATACTTGCACTAGTTCCATAACAGCATGGAGTTTTTCTAAATGCTACTAACCTAATGCTGTAATATTGTTACTTGAGTTTCTGGCAAGCCTGTTTAAAATGAAGAATATGGGAATTTGGTTGATCAATAGAAGAGAACCTATTCTAAACCATAATCAAATGATAGCTTCATAACATATTATATGGCTTGCGTGGAATGTGTTCAGCTTCTATCTAAAATGTTCAGAATCATTAAGTCTGATATGCAACCCTGATCTGCCACACAGGGCAGAATCCTAATTGCAAATGCAGAATATTTGTAATCTCTGGGTTACAGTTTCAAAGCCAGAGATTATCCTTTTGGCAGCAGTGGTGCTTCCATGTGCACAAGCAGGTAGTGAATACCTTGTGTGCTATTGGTAGAAGAAAGAATAACTGCAGCATACAGGGCCATTGTACTCACAGAAAAAACGAGTAGCATTTGGCCCTTGGTGGTTGCCATACTTATTTATTCATTTTTATGTACTTTGTTCCATATCAGATAGTGCTTGTTCATACATAGTGGTTTGAGGGAAGCCTAAATTTAAACTCCTTGTGAGATAAGAAGCCAACAGGCTTTGCTTTGTTGTGATTGCTTAGGATAGAACAATTTTCTTTTTCTTTCTAACACATGGATTTATGCGCACATATCAAGGTGCATGGGAATTTTATTATAGGTGTGGGCAGTGGAGGTTATGCAAACAGCTATCCTGTAGCACAATATGGTTTCCTGGTGCATGTATATGTGCAGCTGGAAAATCTGATAGAATATGGTGGTACACCATTTTTCTTTACTAGAGGTCTTTTGGGGTTTGACTGATATCTACACATTCACCATTATTACCACCCTTCTGCCAATTTACTTAAGTTAATGTAAGAAATCTAGGCCAAAAACCTGTTGCTTAATGTACTAAATTGTGCTAGAGTAGCAACTGAATCGTGATGACAAACCTAGACAGCATCTTAAAAAGCAGAGACAAGTGAGAGCTGGACTGGCGAAGGCTGATTGGCGAAGAATTGCTGCTTTTGAATTGTGGTGCTAGAGGAGGCTCTTGAGAGTCCCCTGGACTGCAAGGAGAACAAACCTATCCATTCTGAAGGAAATCAACCCTGAGTGCTCACTGGAAGGACAGATCCTGAAGCTGAGGCTCCAATACTTTGGCCATCTCATGAGAAGAGAAGACTCCCTGGAAAAGACCTTGATGTTGGGAAAGTGTGAAGGAAAGAGGAGAAGGGAACAGTAGAGGACAAGATGGTTGGACAGTGTCACCAAAGCTCCCAACATGAATTTGACCCAACTCCAGGGGGCATTGGAAGACAGGAAGGCCTGGCGTGCTTTGGTCCATGGGGTCACGAAGAGTCGGACACGATTTAATGACTAAACAACAAAAAGCAACTGAATCAGTGGGGGTTTGGTGAGTTCCTTTCTTCATAAGCCCTACTCTGACTGCGACTTACTTTAGCATAAGTTGCAATTTAAGTAGGCCCATTTGAATCAGTGGACCTTATGGAGAAGGCGGCTCACTATATCCTCATTGATTTTGTTGGCCAATTCTAGTGTGATTTACTGTGCTAAGCAACAGGATTTTGGCCATAGGATAAAAGAAAGGGATGGGGAAGGTCTTGTGTGGTATTTTATTATAGTTGTATTTTGGGAAGTATATTTGGTCTTATGTAAAACAAATAGTTTCAGTTAGAAGCATACTGTACTCTATTTACAAAATGTTATGTTCTGTTTTCCTTAGACATCCATGGGATACTGTAATAAAAGCTGCTATGAGAAAATACCCCAATCCTATGAACCCATCAGTAGTTGGAGTTGATGTCCTGGACCGAAGACTTGATAATCAAGGGAGGTTGCACAGTCACCGACTACTTAGCACTGAATGGGGTCTACCAAGTATTGTGAAAGCGGTAAGCTATACATTGAAAAAGGGCAACTGTACAGAAGATGAGCAGAATCTTTATAGGAAATTAAAACCATTCTAAACTAATGTATAAATCCTCTCTATTTGTGTACATATAAGTACTGCATTGGATATATTGGATGTATTGAGTACAGCAATAAATGTCATGGCTAAATTTCCTTAAAAATTGGCAACATACATAGAGACCTTTTGTTCTGAATAAAGTTACCACAATAGGATTTGTGAAATTGGATTTATCACAAACTTTTTGATCTTGTTATTTCTAATTCATGTGTTAGCATTTGTCCCTCTTTTTTGTTTTTTAAGATTCTGGGAACAAGTAGAACTGTTACATACATTAAGGAACATTCTGTGGTTGACCCAGTGGGGAAAAAAATGATACTGAGTTCTACAAATGTAAGTAGTGAATTCCAATGTATTGCATTTGCTGAAAAGACAGAAGTTACTACTTGTTTTTATGACATGTATAGATGTCCCAGTAAGGCAGCATCCCACTAGAGCTGTAACCTAACAAGAAGGAGCTGGTGGTCTGGCTTCTGATGCCTTGTTGTTTCTCCTTAGAGCAGAAGGCTCCATGGACCTTGCTTCTTGCTCTATTTTATGTGACAAACCTGGCAGGAGCCAGTCCTCTGGCTTGTTCCTTCCCTGGCAACAGAAAGAGAATCCATGGTGCTTAGTGCAAGGTTTATTTATCTGGCTTGTCCGTAGTTCATTCTGATATTCTTTCTGGTGGTGGGAGCAGCTGACTTGTAGACCTATGGCTCATTGTGATATACAGACTAATCAACAGGCAGAAACCTTACTCATTAGTGTACAGTAGCCCCCGTATCCATTAACTTAATATTTGCAGTTTTAAGTTATCCATGGTCGCCACTGCTGCAACCCAGCCTGCAGTACAGGTGTTCACTTATCTCCTCCTCTTGCCCTTCCCCCTCCTCTTGGTCTCACACATTCTCTTTAATGGGTACTATCATATCTGCAGTTTTAGGTATCCACAATTGGTCCTGGAATGGATTACCTGCAAATTGGGGGGGGGGCTGTTGTAGTAAGTTGCACTAGAGTAGGCCCATTTGAATCAGTGGAATTTATGGAGGAAGAATTTCAGCAAGTCTTAATTCACTAAACAGGATTTCAACCACTGTGTTTGCAACTGCCCTTGCTTATGACATAGCAATGTTTGTTTGTTTATTCATTCATTCATTCAATATGTATCCTGCTCCCATTATCATCACAGTACTACTCTGGGTGGGTTACAACTTGTCAAATAGAAAACAAAAATGAAAATAGAAATATTAAAACCAGTAAAAATAGCCCTAAAAAGACCCCAGATGGCACCAACTAATCTCAGAGTGGATGGAGGTAAAGAGGGGAGGGAAGAAGAGGAGGGCAGAGAGAAAAAAAGAGGGGGAAGGTGGTTACCTGGGGTTGGTGTGAAAAGCCTCCTTGAAAAGCAGTGTCTTTAATTGCTTCCTAAATGTCTACAGGGAGGTGCCTAGGCAGAGCTCCTCTGGAAGTTGGTTCCATAAAGTTGGAGCAACTGCAAAGAAGGCCCTGCCTCTTGTAGAGGATTTATGGGCCTCCCTCGGGGTGGCCACCTGGAGGAGCCTCGACTGGGATGAACATGTGGGTCAGACAGATGACATTAAGGAGAGATGATCCGACAAGTAACATAGGCCCAAACCATGGAGGGCTTTGCGTGAGTGTCAAAACCTTGAACCTGATCCGGGACACCATGAGAAACCAGTGGAGGTGAGCCAGAATTGGAGTGATGTGGACAGATTTACTTGCACCAACCACCAGTCTGGCTGCCACATTCTGGACCCACTGAAGTCTCTGGATCAGGTTCAAAGGAAGCTCCATGTAGAGTGCATAGCAGTAGTTGATGTGGGAGATGACCAGGGCCTGCACCAATGTCCTGAGGGAGTCCTCATCTAGATAGGGTCAAAGTTGGGCAAGTAGCCTAAGCTGTTTAAAGGCTGATCTGGATTTTGCTGCAATTTAGGACTCCCAAGAAAGAGCTGGGTCCAGAAGAACACCCAAATTACGCATTTGGTCCCTAAACTGGAGGGGAGTACTGCCCAGCCTAGAGACTATCCCCCCACACCTATCGGAGATCCTCCCCCTAGGAGCAAAATCTTTGTTTTGTCTGGGTTCAGTTTGAGCCTGTTAGTCCTGGTCCGTTCCAGTACTGCAACTAGGCAATGCTCCAGCATCCGGATGGCATCCACTGTAGAGGTGGTAACGAAGAGATAGAGTTGTGTGTCATCAGCATACTGATGAAACCTTACTCCCTAACTCCTGATGACTGCCTCCAATGGCTTAACATAGATATTATCAGAGGCCCTTAATCCCAAAAAGTATGTTTGGATTGGCAGCCTTATTCCCCAGTAAATGTATTCAGAATTGCAGCTTTCTTCTTTAAAAGCAGCTTTTTAAAGGCAGCCTCATGCACTCTGGTGTGCATTGGAATACAACCATTATACCCCATCAGTAGGGCCAGTGGCCATGGTGTAGGACAACACACAGAGAGGGCACTTGCTGGTTCAGAGTTGTTTAAAGGGAAATTTCCCTTTGTTTAAGGAAGTTACAGAATCTCTTTTTTTAATTTTAATTTTTAATATTAGCTGTGGTATTTGAGTCATAGAAAGTTACAAAATGAAAGTGGCAATAGGAGAAACTAATATGTCTCCTCCCCTTTTAAAGATAACACTTACGAATCTTGTATCAGTGGATGAACGATTGGTTTATACACCCCACCCTGACAACCCTGAAAAGTAAGTAGGAGTGTTCTTTTTTTTTCAATCAAATATATGAAAATGAGAGATCTGTGCTGATTTTTTTCTCTTTTATTTCCAGAACTCTGCTAACTCAAGAAGCAATTATTACAGTAAAAGGTGTTAGTCTCAGTAGTTATTTGGAAAGTTTAATGGCAAGCACAATATCCTCTAATGCCAGAAAGGTAGGTATATGATACCCTTGTACTGGATTGGTGAGGTGGTTTGTTAAAGACCTAAAACTAAATATGGTTTTCAGTCCTGAGGGGGATTGCATTATGCCCATATGGTTAACTTACTTGCTTTTCAGAGAGGCAGAACTCAAGATGTTCTGTTATTTGAATGTCACTGGAAATCAAATTGTGATATTTAAATGCAGCACTATAGAACAGTCTTCCCCAACCTGACAATTTTTACATGTTTTTGACTCCAGCTTCCACAGCCCACCAGCCCACATGGCTATTGGCCAGGGAGATTGGGAATGATAGGAGGTGGTGTCCAACACACAAACAGGTTGAGGAAGGCAACAAAATGAACAATAAAGGAGCAGTAGTTCTACTAAAATTAAGGTGTACGCTAGAGAATTAAATATTTTCCTTGCATTTATGGAAAAGCTTTGTGGAGTTCCCTGTATATTCTCTGGCATTTAAATTTTGTTAGGTTTCACAACCGCTTTGATACAAGAGGTGGTGCATGTGTATTGATGAGAGAGAGCACCTTGTAATGGAATTTTGTCATAAAGAAGGCAGGGAAATAAGTTGTATCGACTACTTACACAATTAGATGGAAGCTTGCAGTAAATAGGGGGAACAGGTGTGATAGAGATAGATGATAAAAAGGAGATTGCTGTCTCATTAGAGGTACAATATCTATTCCAGCAAAGAAAGCAGAATAACATATCGGGGATGGTTATTGGCTTCCCTTGTGGGTATCTTGAGCCTTAGGGGTTTTCAATATGAGCAGCAAATTACCTTCTTGCCTAGTTCAGCATCTAGATCTGCAGAAGCCAGAACAAAATGTGTATTCTAATTTGCCATGTGCACATGTTCTTGTTGCCCCATGTGTAATACTGTACTTTGAATTGCATTTAATCCACTTTCTACATAAAATAGCCAAATGTATACTGTGGCTTGTTAGCGCCCATGACAGGCATAGGAAAATCCTTTCTGTTATTTCCATCCAAAACTAATCAAGTGATGCTGGAGGCAAATATGGATGTGCCCCCATCATTTTTTGTTCTTGGTGCCATGTCTTCTTCACACTGCTTATCTTCCTCTCAGCCCAGCAGACTGCCAGGGGAAAGACAAAGTGCTGCTGCCCAAAGCTTGAACTGATCATTCCTTGAATTTTTAATATAAAGTCTAGGCTTGCATGTACAATCACAAAACAAGTTACATTACAAGCATTTAGAGATGGGCACTTAGCCCGGTTTGGTGTGGTTCGGCAGATTGGGCCCACATAAGTTTTGTGGGTGCCCCATATTCCATGCCCTGCTTCTTCTTGCAGGTGCCCCATCAGAAGCAGGCGGGGCGCAGAATCTGGGGTGCCTGCGCAGCACCTGTGGGATTGAGCCACAGTAAGTGCCTATCTCTGCAAACATTCCATGTGTTAGAGAATGATAGAAGACAAGAGTCACAAGAATGAAATGTGTCTGCCTAGATTTAACTTAGTAAGCTAAACTGTTAGGGAAATGATCCAGTAGACATTTCTTGTAGACTGATAGCTGTAGGAGCATGTCCTGTTGTATGGTACGAATATTACCATAAGCTGTGTATCTGTTATCGGCAAGTGTATCCCGTAAACTGATCAGTCTTAGCCTGTAAATTAGAAGCCAATCAGGTCCATAAAAACTACAGCTGGGTGTGTGTTTCAGACAGTGGATTCCTAAGCATATGAATCAATATTGCTGTTCATACTGCTGTTGAGAAATCCTGTGCTTGTACATACTTGTGTGTCTTCAGAAGTCACTGTATAGGATTTTACTTGGTGTTGAGAGGGTCTCAAATCAGGGTTGAAATAACAGAAGTACTGTACCTATTATAATCTGAGCCTAGCCTGTCTGTGTCAGCCTTGCATGTTTATGTGCTATCAAAATCTTGCTATGATGCACAGTAAAATCTTTCCTGAGTATAATTGTTTGTCATGTTTATGCAGACAGTTAAAAATGTTTAATTTTTCTGGGGGCTCTTGAGATTGCAGGATTGATGATGGAATAACCTTGTGCTGTAAGTTGTACATCTTTTCTGTGTTACTCCAGGGGTGGGATGCTATTGAGTGGACAATTCAACATTCTGAAAGTGTTCTAAGCTAGCAGCCTCTCTCTACAGCTGCATTTTGTACTAACTAGTGGTAATACCAGCATTTGTTACCTTGGTATAGCATTTCAGCTTCTAGCAAATCTGCATGTTGTGATGTTACTCAAAAATCATGCATGCTTTATATATATATATACACACATTGCATAAAGAGGACCAGCATCTTTATTCTTTAATGCTGGAGTTAGGTCATCTATGCTATCTAAATATTTTCACTTTGGTCAAGAAGTTCTTAAACTAAATGTGGCCCATTCATCATCCCCACTTCTTTTTCTTGTTTTTCCTTTTGAATGAATGAGATGCTGTTAGAATATATATAGGAGATCCTCCATGAACGGCCACAATCCCTCAGCACTACCACTTGGGAGCTGAATGGCCTGCCCCTTTTCTTAGTAGCTCTTTCTGCCAGCTGCTTTACGAAGGAGAGCTTTTGGTAATAGGTGAAGTTTCTGCTCATTGAGGTAGTTTGATCTCTGGCCTGCATTGCTTTGCAGAACAAAATCTTGAGATTGGTTATGGCCTATGCAGTCCAGCCGCTATTTGACCTCACATGTTCTCCTTTAGTATTTAAAAAAAACACAAGCATATTATTTGCACTTGGGATACTTCTCAGCCACTCTAGACGCTGTTTCAAGGCCTCCATACAGAGCACGTTACCATAATCTCTCGAGACTGAAGGATGCCTAATGTAATCTAGGCTGGAGCATGCAGGAGGCCAATGTCTATTACTGAAAAGCTGACTCCTGATGCAACTGGCATTGTCTGTAATGACATGACGTGATATATCTTGTCTTTCCAAACTCAATAGAAGACTTTGCTATGTTTAGGTAGCAGCCCTGCTACCAATACCTCCTCTGTTTATTTTGTCTTTGTTGCCTTTTGCTTTGTTGGTGTTTTAAATTTTAAGTAGGAATAAACATGTGAAACATACTGATTTATACGCTCTGAAGTGAAACCAGAGTATGATTAGATCAAGATACAGTAACAGACTTTAGTTTGTTTTTAGGTCAAGGAAGAAATTATTTAACAAGGGCTACATCACATGTAAGGCAGCCTGCAACCCACCAGAAAACACTGGTAGTCTCAACCCCAGTTGGGAAACACTGATTTAAAAATACTGTAGTTTGTTTGACTACAATGTAGCAAATTGCAGCTTGTTGCCCATCTGAAGTGAACGTTTCTTAATGTCCTTCCCTTGATTTTAGGTGGAGAGGAGAAGAAAATGTATGTGGGCCTCGGTGTATTTTGTGTTAGCAACAGCAAACCATGGATGGGTTCTTATATATGAATCAGACCCTTGTCCAAGTTCATATTGATCAGTATTGCTGTAATTTGGGGTATTTTTGTTCTTCAGAAGGATCTTGAATATCCAATAAACTGCTGTTTTTACAAGAAACGTAAGGATCACCTCTTTAAAGTTCCTTGAGCTTGCCAATAGAAGAATTTTCCTACCATTCAAATTTGGAATACACTAGTTTGGCTACCTGTCCTGAGCTTAAACCCCTCTTTTTTCATTTGCAGTATCTGATCTTTTATCAATGTGTCTTAGTGTTATTCTTAAATACTCTCAACCTTGGAGTGTGTGTATATATTACAGAAATAGATAAATGTGCATTGTATGCTTCCAGCTGTACCATTTAACCTGTGAAACATCTCTGTCTTTAAACTTTATGCACTCAGTAGTTTTTAAAGTCATAATCACTAAAATTATTACCAACTTCTAACTTGCATCCTGTAATGCTCAATATAGTACTGCTGTATATGAGACTGTACTACAGGTGCATGTTTGATTGTAATATGTTTGCTTAACATCATATACTAATATGCTATTATAAGGTTCTATCACATACTGTTTAAACCAGTCCTCTGTCAGATTGTTTTCGCTAGTTCTCTGCATACTAGGATCATTTACAGTAGGACATAGTCAAGCGATATTCAGTTACTGCATGAAATTAAGGAATAGGATTGATGGAAAGACCAAAGAATACACAGAAATGTATTTAGGAAGCTGTTACTAGGACATGCTTACTGGTATTAGGTTGGAATCTATACAAATAAAATAGTCATTTCATTTTTAGAATGCTATGCACATCCCAAGTATGGAGATTTGTCATGGTTGTCAGATTTGAATTAATTCTTCAAATTGTTAAAAATTATATTTTAAATGTACAGCAGACCAATGATCTCAAGCATCTGGCACTCAGAAAATATAAGAGTCCCCAGTCCCCACTCTCTTTCCACAACAATCCTGTGATATTTTCTCAATTGCTGTGTTGCTGTGTTTTCAAATCCTTTTTAATCTCTATTTTTTTACTTGGACTGTAAATCCAAACTGCACAGTTCCTGCTGCTCAAAATATCATCTGCTTGAGGAATGGGATTGAAGGTGGCTGATTTGGGCTAAAGACCAAAAACAGGGAAAAAATTAATCTAAATAGGTTTTTCAAAACTATAAAAATGAAAAAAAGTATATCTACCATAAATAAAATGTCTTCATAGTTGTTTATCTCAAGGTGCATATATATGAAGGGTTCTCTGCACAAAACATTGAATGCTGTAGGTTGAGCAGAGGTAGTACTCTTACACAGTTACTAGAATTCTTTGTAGAAATCTGTGGCAGTTAAATGATTCATTTTAAGTCCAATAAAAAGTTGTAATGTAGATAAGCGTTAAGGTTGGGAGGTTTTTTATCTGTTCCTTCAGTGCACCCTTCCTTCATTGTGAAACCAGGCTATCGCAGGGCAACATTTTCATAGTTCAGTAAAAACAGATGCAAATGGCACAGAAATGATCTAATGCTAAGAGTATGACTTGAAAGAATTAAAATGTAACACATTTCTGTCATTCTTCTGTCATTTTAACACAGTTGTCTTTAGTTACGTGTTTTGCAGTACTTAAAACCAACATCCTGAACTTAATCATGCATAGTTAAATCAGTAACAATGTAATACAAGGCGGGAAATATTGTCTTAATTGAGCATTTTTTATTTTGCACAAGAGCAGTCAAAGAACTGATCATATTTGATATAAAGTTTTTTGTATATGCTTGTTTTGTATATTCAGTTTCTAAGGTCAAATTTCAAAGAAAGGTCTTAACTGGGGTGGATCTTTGGATGAAAGTTTCAGAGGGACAAATAAGCATTTCATAAGTGGCTTTCTGAATTGGAGAAATTTATCATCCTTTGCATACAGGCCAGTGTTTACTTGAACTGACCAGGGCAGGGGGGGGGGCAACCTGCATCTCTGCATCCCTCCCTGGCTGTTCTTGAAACCCTTGCCTCTTCCAAATTTTGTGTGTTATTGATGATATTTATTTTCTGGTTTTAGAGGGGACTTGGGACTGTTGGAAGCCTCTTGGAATTATATAGCAGTTTAAATCAAAATTTCCAGTCCTGCAGTGCTTTGTGTTATCACACTGCTGAACTGCAGTCATTGTGGGAAGAATGTGGACTACAGAAATATGAGTAGTTTGGTCTCCAGCCCTGTGGTAGTTGTCCACCCTGATTTGTAGCTTATTTCTGAGTGCATATGCATAGAATTGTGGTACTGTTAAGGCAGTCCAGGAAGCAGGATAGTGCTTTCCTTGGTAAGCTAAGGCTTATTACATAGTTACATCTTTAAACTATAGTAAACTCCATTTGGTTAAGCTGACCCAGTGTTCATGTTTAGACACAACAGTTTTAAAGCAGCCAGCCATTAATATATCGCTTGAAAAAGAGAGGACTGCATCAATGGCAGGATAGGTTATTTAATGTTTCAGAAGAAAAGAAAAATAGTTGTAGGCTCAGTAACATACCTTCAGTTGGACTAGTGAAAAAAAATGAGTTTGAGCAAATCCTTTGACAAAGTAAAGAATTAAAAATATCAAATAGGGGGGATGTTGTACTTGGGAGCTGTGATGTGGTCGTAGAGTTGAAAATGTAAGTGCTCCTTGAGACAGTTCTGTAGTCATCATGGCCCATAAAGTGAGTCCAGACATGGCAGGATGCTGGATCAGTGGTTATCAACAATTGAAGAACAGCTGTTTTGAAAAGATAATTATTGTACATTGCCCATTCAAGGCCAAGCCACCTTCAAATACTCTGCATTACAGCAGAGAGCTTGCAACAATATGGTGTTCCTGGCAGAAATGTTTTTTTCCCCAGCTGCTATTGAGAGTTGCAGCTAAACAACCCTCAGTAGCAGGGAACAAGGAAGAGGAGCGGTTGCAGACAGGGTTATAATCTCTACTGTACTTCTCAGAAAGACTCAGGTTTTTAGCTTTGGGTGAGAGAAGGTATAGTGTTGTATCTCATGTGTTCCCTGTTACTATATTAATGTAGTTTTAGAAGGAGCCACATATTAGTTAGATTAGAAATATAGTGTAAGGAAAAGCTTTCATTTATACAAGCACATGTTTTGGGCAGTGAAACAAATGATGCAGTCCGCTGTGGATATAAGCAGTTATCCATATCTGTCTCCAGTAGTCATAAAAATGCACTCATCCCTTGTTAATCTATATTCCCAAATAGCTGTACTCTGCAGTGAAACTTGCTTATAGTCTTCTAACTTTCCTGAGCAAGAATCACTAGTTAAATATGTTATGTGTGCAGATTATTTTCAAGTTTCAGGATTGTCCGTGTGGGAGGGAAGAGTGAACTAGTACTATAGTAGAATCTTACTGGTACAAAATTATTAAACAGACCTATTCATAATGCAAAAGACAACAAAGCATTTCACTTGAAACTTTTCTGGTCTCTGACAGAGGAAAGATTTAGAACTTTAATACTGTATCTTTTATATCGACTTAGCTCTTGTGCCTTCCTTAACAGGGTCGAGAAGCCTTGGAATGGGTGATTAGCGAACTAACTTCAACACGAGACAGCGTGAAGTCGGCAATGGCAGCAGCTTCAATGGAGGATTGCTAAACTGAAAAGTATTATTTTTCCATCAGATTTTTTTTTTTGCCAAAATGGATACTCCGTAGATTTTTAATATATATTTGTTTATATGGAAGACTTAACAGGACAAAAGCTACATGGTTTCAATATGTATTGAAGCATCCTGTTTGTCTGCACTGCAAATTGACATAACGACATGTATAGATTTTCCATGTTTTTAACTTGAACTGCTGACTTCTCCAGAGGATGGAGACCTCAAACCCCACAGAAGTTACATGGATTTCAAACTGTTGGAGTGGGTTGAGGAATCTGAGTCTACCTAAATACCAAGCTGTGCCTTGATAAAAGAGCTACTGTAAGGGAATAGATTCCATTTTATAATCTGCCCTTTGTGCTTGATACTTAATATTTATTTTCTTTTAAATCTGGCTACAGTTCTGCAATGGATGTGGTATAAAAAGCACTGGGGATTTTGCCAGTATCTAATGCCTAGTTAAGTTTGGGGGAAGGGGGAGATGACACAGGACATTGGCAAAGGTATGTTCTCAGAGACTGCTTCAGGTATAGGCAACCCATGGTCTTCCAAACACTTTTGCATACAACCTCCATCATCTACAGTTAGCAAGACCAGCAGTCAGGGATGAAGGGAATCCAAAGCATCTGGTGACCACCAGATTGCCTAGCCCCACTGCATCGAATTTTATAGCACAGTCCATTTGTTTTAGTGGAACCTTCATGGGAGATCTGAGCAAGCCTCACCGAAATAATGGCTAGCTGTGCAGCCATGCTCCCTTTTGGATCACACTCAGTTGGAGACCTCCTGAACCTCAGGTGTCATAAGTACTAGGTTATTTTGCACTGTGTAAATGCAGAGTCTGAACAAGGTGTACCAAAATTGTACCTCTATTTATGCTTAAACTACTGAGAAGAGCAGAGAAATTGTCATTTTTCTGATGTAAAATGGTGGAATATCATTTGGCCCTATTGATTCAGTAGGTAATTTATTTTCATATGTATGAATTATTCATTCTATTCTCTTATATAAAGCTAATTGATACCTCAGTGAAAAGTACTGCAGCTGTTTTCTACATGCTAAGAACTTGAAAACATTTGGAAGAACTTGGTTACATATCCCATTTCTTCATTTAATGGATTATAGGGCTCAGGGATTTATGTCCTAAACCCAGTTTCATACCCCTGTTCTGTAATTCTTCTGCCCAGTTCTGTGGAGGTACATTTTTCATAGAGTGTGGTGTTGTGGAGCAAAACTATCCATTTTGTAAAGCCAAGAGCCTTTACCCAAACATTTCCAATTCTATTTGACTTCTGATTTGAGTGGATTTTGCTCCAAAGTAGTGCATGAGATGTGGTGTAATTGACATTGATTTTAAAAAAATCAAGACTGCATTTATTTAAATAGCCCCATTTCAACACCAAGGTGAGTTAATCAGAGTGAAAGATTAATGAAATGGTATGGTATCATTCGAGGGACGTGGTGGCGCTGCGGGCTAAACCACAGAAGCCTGTGCTGCAGGGTCAGAAGACCAGCAGTCGCAAGATCCAATCCACGCGACGGAGTGAGCGCCTGTTGCTTGTCCCAGCTCCCGCCAACCTAGCGGTTTGAAAGCATGCAAATGTAAGTAGATAAATAGGGACCACCTCGGTGGGAAGGCAACAGCGTTCTGTGTCTAAGTCGCACTGGCCATGTGACCACAGAAGATTGTCTTCGGACAAAACGCTGGCTCTATGGCTTGGAAACGGGGATGAGCACTCTCCCCTAGAGGTGAACATGACTGGACTAAATGTCAAGGGGAACCTTTACCTTTACCTTTATGGTATCATTATGTACTATTTTGGAAGCTCATTAGATTCATGTAACATAGTACTTAATAGTACTACGTTTTGTTTTAATTGGATTTACTTTGTTAATTCATGATGGAAATATGGGAAAACTTGGGCTCTGTTAATCTATGTGGAGTAGGAACCAGGAAACATTTCAAACTACATATGTTTCCATTCTGATATAATTCAGAGCTGAAAGAAAAACAAGGAAGCTGGAGTTGCAGGGAATGAGAGTTGTTGATCCGTAGCTGAAGTTCCAGCTCTAGGCAGAGTAACTCAGTTCTCTGCTTATATCTGGGAAGATAACATTTGTTTGCTGCTGCTTTTCAAATTTTGTGCTTCTGTCAGTAGCTTTTCTTTCATGAAAAGCAAAAACAATAAAAGAGAAAACTCTAGATTGAAATCCTGTTTCTGCTTTGGAGAAGAGTTGTGACAAGAATATGCTTAAGATTATTATGCCAGAACTATTGTGTAGTCGCAACAGTGTATGATACAACATGATATAACTAAGCTATATGGGCTGCATGACTATGTACATAGAATCTTGATGAATGTCTTTCCTATTCCTTCCTGGTATTTCAGAATGGAAGATTTCTGAGCTTTGACTGCATACATCTTACTAACAGGAAAATATCACATTTTGGTTCAAGATACTTTGTATAAAGAATAATATAGTTTTGGGTTGAAAACATCCATGAAGGATGTCATACAGGAAGCTCAGTATTCTGGTTCATATGTACGCGCCTCACATGAAGTACATCAGTCAAGGGGATTTTGTCGTTTCATTTAGTCGTGTCCGACTCTTCATGACACCATGCACCAGAGCATGCCAGGCCCTCCTGTCTTCCACTGCCTCCTGGAGTTGGGTTTAATTCATGTTGGTCGCTTCGATGACACTGTCCAACCATCTCATCCTCTGTCGTCCTCTTCTCCTCCTGCCTTCACACTTTCCCAACATCAGCGTCTTTTCCAGGGAGTCTTCTCATGAAATGGCCAAAGTATTGGAGCCTCAGCTTCAGGATCTGCCCTTCCAGTGAGCACTCAGGCTTGATTTCCTTTAGAATGAATAGGTTTGTTCTCCTTGCAGTCCAGGGGATTCTCAAGAGCCTCCTCCAACACCACAATTCAAAAGCATCAATTCTTTGGCGGTCACCTTTCTTTATGGTCCAGCTCTCACTTCCGTACATCACTACAGGGCAAACCATAGCTTTGACTATTCGGACTTTTGTTGGCAAGGTGATGTCTCTGCTTTCTAAGATGCTATTGAGGTTTGTCATCACTTTCCTCCCAAGAAGCAGGCGTCTTTTAATTTCGGGGCTGCTCTCCATCTGCAGTGATCATGGAGCCCAAGAAAGTGAAATCTGTCACTGCCTCCATATCTTTCCCTTCTATTTGCCAGGAGGTGATGGGACCAGTGGCCATGATCTTAGTTTTTTTTTTATGTTGAGCTTCAGACCGTTTTTTGCACACTCTTTCACCCTCATTACAAGGTTCCTTAATTCCTCCTCGCTTTCTGCCATCAGAGTGGTATCATCTGCATATCGGAGATTGTTGATATTTCTTACGGCTATCTTAATTCCGGTTTGGGATTCCTCCAGTCCTGCCTTTCGCATGATGTATTCTGCATATGTTAAATAAGCAAGGGGACAATATACAGCTTTGTCATACTTCTTTCCCAATTTTGAACCAATCAGTGTTTCCATATCCAATTCTAACTGTTGTTTCCTGTCCCACATATAGGTTTCTGAAGAGGTAGATAAAATGATCAGGCACTCCCATTTCTTTAAGGACTTGCCATAGTTTGCTGTGGTCCACACAGTCAAAGGCTTTTGTGTAGTCAATGAAGCAGAAGTAGATGTTTCTCTGGAACTCTCTGGCTTTCTCTATAATCCAGCGCATGTTAGCAATTTGGTCCCTAGTTCCTCTGCCTATAAGTTACATAGGCTATAACTTATTTTTTTCTGTGTAAAAGCACACCTGTTCATATTCTGATTACATATGTTCCCTGCATATTTATACAGAAACTGCCAGCTCCAGTTACGAGTAGTTGCTAATGAACATCTCATAGGATGGCACTTGCACTGATTGACAGCTCATGTTTTGCTTGAGGTCCTCAAGCTCAGGTCATTTCTGCTGTTCTCCAGAAACCTCATTACTATCTTCCATATGTGCAATGTGAAGGGAAATGTTTAGTTGCTGTGTTCCAAAATGCCTGCTTTTAACTTCAATTTTGTGGTATTTAACTACTAAATACTGAGCAGTCATTTATTTACTTAGCTGTTGCAGGTATTTAGATGGTCAGAGAAATCTATTGCACATTTACCCCCTAAGCAGAATTGCATGCTTTATGCTACATTCATCTCATATAACATGAGTAAAAACACTCCACATTTTTCCTTTGTCTCTGGTGACTTTGATATTCTGTGTCTGAACATAAAAGCAAATTGAATAGTCCTTTTACCTGTATTGGGAAATCCACATTCCTTTTATGCATTCAGACCCTTGCTATAGGAATTCTATCTTGAAAGCTATTATGCTATGGCATCACACATCTCACCCTTTATTCATAGCTGGAATTACCTTCTTGCCTACATTCCTTATCTACTTTTTACTGCCCGAAAATGTAAAATGGAGAGGAAAGAAGCATCAGTAGTTGTGCTAGTTAAGAGGACAGAATTCTCATTCCTCATATTGGTGTGGTGGTAGTTGTTTGTTATTGGAGCATGGTATTTGCTATACTTAGATTTGTAATCCATGTTCACAAATAGTTATACCTAGGGTGATGAGCACCCACCTGGAACATGGGAGGGCATACTAGGAAATTACAGTATTCTGTAAGTATTTCAAAGAACCACACCTTGAAACTTCAAAAGATCAAACTAAATCAGGCATTGAATCATTTGTTAATACATACTTTCGACTCTGATACACTGAATGAAGGGTTAATAATAGAAGGAAAGCCCGGAACATAAATTATCACTCTACTGTAAGAAAAGCTGATTCTATTTCCAACAATAGTATTCTGTATAGGGCTGTGAAAAGAATGTTTTCAATTTTGTATTTCCAGTCCTCTAAACTCCAGAAAATTGGCTGATACACTTAGTGCTGTTTTTGCTAAACCTCTTGTTTCTTGAGTATTGAATAGAGTGGCAGTCTTCAACACATACCTCTAAGCAAAAAAGCAAGAGGTTTTGCTATACCTCTTAAGATTTTGCTAGGTGCCAAAGTTTTATATTCAAGTTTTAGAATATACAAAGTATGATTTTGCATCCAAAGCTTCAGTTTTCATTATCTTTCTGAAGAGAACTGTATTGGTGGAAAACATTGAATGCTACCCTTCATTAGACTTTCTCTGCTTCTACCACAGTGTCCTTTATTGTACTTTTTATAGTCATATTCATCCTCCACTCTGCCTGTTCTGTCTTCTTCCTGTAGGCTGTGAAATGAAGATAAGATTTCTGTACCTTTGGAGCAGCGGCAAAGTGTAGCCATCAGTTGTTGGATTGCAGCTCCCAGTTGTCATTGTCTGTGCTGGCAGTTGCAGCCCAACATCTGCAGGGCTAGGCTTTACCTGTACATTTTACAGACATGTAGCAGAGGGAATTGTAGCTAGCAAGCTTTGCAATGCAGAAATACTGAATTCTACTTTTGCAAATTGCATGTTTTAGACAACTACAAAGGTATAAGAGCACTTGTCTTAATATTGTTGAAATGTCCTGGGATTAAGAAGTCTTGATTGTAATGTCGACTGCAAAATAGATTATTTGAAGAGCTAGAGGTTCTTTTTGTCTTGCAAACAGCATTGGTACAACCCACTTAGCATTCTCTTCAGTCAAGTTTTATTAATGTGAAAAGATGCTGTGCTGGGACAGAAGAAATTGCTGGCAAAAGAAAATGTTCTAGTGCATGGAGAAATGTTAAACTGCCTGATTGCTTTCCTTTACCTATCTTTGTTTAGATTGTAAGCTCTTCAGAGCGGAGGATCTTTTTATCTGAAGTGCTAAATTCCATGCCTGTCCAACACTAAATAACATGATTTTATTTGAACACAAAAATTATGTCCTGTTCATCTTTACAGTAAAGCAAAGCCTGCTTTTGTGTTAATTGTTACATATTATTATAAATACAAGATTGAATCATGAACATAAAAAAATAACATCATGGAAGTTAGAAGATACCATTCTGGAACAAATCTGTCCTTAATTTCTAAAGTTTAAGGACCATTCATGCACTCAGTAGTAGTGACTGAACTATTTATTCGTTTAAGGCATGGAATTATTTCAGCTGAGGTTCAGGAAGCATTTGACTCATTTCATAGAACAATCCTGCAAAATAACTGAGCTGACATTCATAGGATTCCACTGTGAATCTGAAGGAAAAATGTTGAGCCTGTACATCAGTTTTGTCCTTATTTCTGTTTGGAGATGCAGACTAATGGAAGGAAAAACAAAGCGAAAGACAGAGGATACATAATAATCCTTTAGTGGATTAGTGAATGTACTGCATTAGATAACAGTATTTGGAACTTAACAGTTGAAAAGAATGGGCTAATAATAAAAATCAAGCATGTTTGGAGATTCTGTTGCTACATATTTTATGATGGAACACACAATCTTTATTTCAGTAACAAAATAATTTTGTTAAGTCTGATGAACAAAACAGACCTCAATGCAACCTTTAGAAGATCTTTTTATTAGTAATGGATAAACTGCATATCAGTATTACATAACAGGAAAACAAGCATTAAAATTCTATTGCCTTTTCATTTACAGATGACTACCCTGGTGTATCAGAAGCCATACAAAAGACATGCACAGTGACATCACATAGGAGGAAGGGATTAAAGAGACCAATTGTTGCTTTAAGATTTTAAAAAATCATTCCTGAACCTTGCAACCATATGAAAGAGCTGGCCTAAAATGCTATATGTAAATGATTAGAGTTTAATGACTGAACTTCATTAATTTAAGCAACTTAACAAAGCATAAGCTTATGACTCTAAAGGAAGGGAAAACAGTAACATACAACTAAAATTTGTTTTTAATTGTGTGGCGTGACAGTGATACCTGTCACATAATTAGTACTCCCTTATAGGATTGGAACCAAAATTTCCCCTCTGTGAGCACTGGTGGAAAGAACTGGGATTCAACAAAAGCTCCACTATGTTAAAAAACGGGCAGAATAATAATTTGTTTTCCTTTGATTAGTATTCTTGCCTCCAGCATCCCTCACTACTACACTGCTTTAGCTGCTCTGCTAACTTTTACATTAGATATTCTATGATCAATAGTGGGAGAAAATACATGACAAACTGGTAGAAATCCACTGCCCCCCATATTGCATGAGGAACTTGTTTTGGGTAGTTCTCTTAAATACACAAACCATTATTCTAAGGCTTAATTCGTTATTCCTACAGTTTTTTGTAACAAAAAGATTACACTGCAGCCTTGTATATCTACCTGATAGTAAATCACATGCACTTCACTGGAGACCTCGTCAGATAAATGGGTGTAAGAATTGCAGCCTTAAATGTAGAAGCTAGACAGGGCTCTGCACAGTGGCCATGTCTCCATGCTGGTCCTATCCAGCTAAGACATTGCTGTGTCAAACAACAAGATCTGAAGTTCACACTTCTTGAATACAGTGGGGGTCTCTACTTAAGAACGTCGCTACTTAAGAACAATCCAACTTAAGAACAGCTCCATTTGCTAAATTTTGCTTCTACTTGAGAACAGAAATCCAAGATAAGAACAGGAAAAAAAACCTTTCCTGCTCTTTTTTTAACCTTAGGTCATCTTAGGTTAAAAAAAATTCTCCCCCTAGTGGTAGAGTACGTATTAACCAGCTTTGCATTAGTTCCTATGGGAACTAATGCTTCAATGTACGAACGCACCTCTACATAACAAAAAAACAGCCAGAATGGATTAATTGGTTTTCAGTCCATTCCTATGGGAAATTTTGCTTCAACTTAAGAACGTTTCAACTTAAGAACACCATTCCAAAACGGATTAAGTTCTTAAGTAGAGGTTCTACTGTAGTTTCTATGGACGGAAAAGAGCAGATACGGATTAAATGGTTTTCAATGCATTCCTATGGGAAATGCAGATTCAACATAAGAACTTTTCAACTTGAGAACCACCTTCCAATACGGATTAAGTTCTTAAGTAGAGACCCCACTGTATGTCAGTATCTGAACTGGGGAAAGGTCTAGCATGCGTTCCCTTTTTTCACATGGAAATATGTGTGAAGTGTTTGTTACAGACACCTGTACTCGAAATGCTTCTCTGTAACATAATCCTTTTATAAGACTGTGGTGACATCACTATATACTTTATACACTACATGTCAAATTGACAGTTGTATACAGACAAGTGTATCTGAAGATTCTCAGTCATCCAGGTGTCAAACTGACAGTTGTATATATACAGACAAGTGTATCTGAAGGTTCTCAGTCATCCAGGTGAAATTATCTGGAAGTTGAGTCACGGCAACTGAACTTCTTATTAGGTTGAAATGTTTTGCTACTCATCCAAGTAGCTTCTTCAGTCTGAGGAGAGTTGGTAGGAGTTCCCGATGCTGGTTCTACCTCTTCAGCTAAGACATTGCTGTGTCAAACAACAAGATCTGAAGTTCACACTTCTTGTGACAATGGATAGAAACGGACTGCAGAAGTGGGATTTTCACTCAACTCCGTGTCCTTTGTCCATCTAACGAGCCTATTCAGACCAGGCGTAAGTGAAACCAATGTGGAAGATATATCAGGGGTCTCCTACCAACTCTCCTCAAACTAAAGAAGCTACTTGGATGAGTAGTGAAACGCTTCAACCTAATAAGTCCAGTTGCCATGACTCAACTTCCAGATACAGACAAGTGGTGCTTTAAAGAATAATGTGGTATATGACAGGGCTCAGGCAAATCTACGGATCATAGTGTTATAAGTCACACATTTTGTGCACAACGTTTAGAGCACTTTTTTCTGGACTATTGACAGAATTTTCCTTGAAATGTATGGCATTACATCATGGTCTGCAAAAGTGCTGCTTTATGTTAAAGTCTAGACAAGTAAAAATATAATTTGCTATGTGGCCTATAGTATGGCATGTTAACAGTCACTCCTATTCTCAGGTACGCAGAATTGAGTTTTACAGGAATATATGTGAGTGAGAGAAGGATGAAAAGACAGCATAACAAATAAAAAGCAATATGATTAGTTCCTCAGGAATCAAAAAGTATATCACAATTGTATTCTTCACATTTTATATGTTGAACTAAAATGAGATGAACGATATGTATCCTACGAAGAAAATTATTCAGTGCAAATAAACCAATTTGAGTCCTGTAGATTCTCTATTACGTATATAGTACACGATCAACAGTTTGAACTATTTTTCTATGAATATGGGACCTTCAAAATACTAAAAAATATTGAAAACAGAAATTACATATGACAGTATGCTTCACTCTCATAAACTAAATGTTAAGGCTGCAATTCTAAACACATTTACCAGTGAGTAAACATACTGCAACTTGGTAAGTAAATATGAATAAGACTATGCTGCACATCTTGTACTCTTAGTATTTTAATTACCATGTAAGCTACAGTAGTAACTGCTTCTCTATAGCCAGCAATATGGTTGGTAGGTTGTGATCTGGTTTGTCAGAAACTTTGGATATGGTTCAAAATATACAACTGTATGTTTTTAACAAGGAGAGAGAGAGCAACATTGCTTTGTCACAAACAAAACCCTTATGTCAACATTGCAACTGGGTAGAGAAGAGTTGCTTACAGTTCATATATTTGTGCTATCATATTCACATACTGTGTACCATGTCTGACCTAACCCCTATGTGAGGTCCCCATCCCACAAATAAGATTTCAGTCACAGATGAAGACTTCCTAAGCACAGGCTTGTTGGACTAGCTCACATTCAACACAATGATCATAAGACACTAAACTGGAGCTGGTTTTGAATCATACTGCATGCAGTGGTAAGCATCCACAAAGGAAGAATTTCTTATAAATGCCGATTGGCAGATAGAAAAAAAAATAGGCTGGGGTGGTGGTGATTTTGGCACTGGCATTTTCTTTTCTGAAAGCCATTTTTCCATAGGAGGAAGCTGTTTTTAATTCCATTAATTCTGACAGCATTTGTACTATGAATGGTGGTGTAAAGTACTTAATACAGTGGTGCCTCGCATAGCGAGGTTAATCCGTTCCGGATTAACCTTCGCTATAGCGAAACATCGCTAAACGGAATAAAAAAAGCCATAGAAACACATTGAACTTTGTTCAATGCGTTCGTATGGCTTGAAAACTCCCCGTTAAGCGATGTTTCTTCATAGCGCCGCCATTTTCGCGCCCTCGGTAAGCGAGGGCAGGGCGCGAAAATGCGGCGCGGACCTTCCGGTGGCCATTTTGGAACCGCCGATCAGCTGTTCTCCCCGGCTTCGTTGTGCGAAAATCGCTAAGTGAATCGCTTAGCGATCATCGCACAGCGAAAAAACCCAATAGGGGCCATCGCTGAGCGAATGCTCCAGCGATGGCCCAGAGTGCCTCGTTAAGCGATTTCATCGCTCAGCGAGGCACTCGTTAAGCGAGGCACCACTGTACTGAGAAGATAAGATGGGCAACGTGTAGTTTTTCAGTTGCTGTTAAGACTACACCAGTCATCACACCTAACCAGCATAGCCAAAACTGATAGATAAAAGGCCTATATCTGGAGGGCCACAGGTTGTACCCCTCTATATAATAAAGATGCAACACAGGAAGACAATAAAATTATGAACTAATTTCTCCTTGAGGTATAGAAACTTTTTTGCAAATTAAAATTCTGTATTTCAAACTGAAATTCGTCACCTACGTGTGATTATCCAGTGTTTATGAGCCAAAGCTATTTTATTGCTAGTACACATGCTATTTTATGTTGATATAGATTTTCCTTTCATGTAGCCTGTGTCTTAAAAGAGGAATTCATTTAGTTTCATTAGCAAACTAAGCAAACCATTTGATTAGGAAAAAAAACCTCTATGTTTTAAACATTTGTAGGAATAATGTTTTCACATATAGTTAAGAACAGACAAAAAACTATCAAAAAGGTGTTTTATTTTCCCCAGGTATTTCATGTTCAAATAAAATACTCAAATAAAAATAAAGTAATACCGTCAACTAGGGTGTTAAATAATTCAGATTTTTTTGTACATCAAGCCATGATGAGGGTGGAGCTGAACTGCCTTGGAATTAACCACAGAAGGTTTTCATGTACGAAAATACAAACAAGAATTGCACAGGATGCAGATTTTCTACAGTACACTTTGGATACTTCAAGACTTAACAAATCTTTTTTTATTAGAAAAAATAAAATCTTTTATTTAAATGACAGGTTTACTTGGCTAAGCAGCCCTTCTCTTTAAAACACAGCAAGCAGAATCCTGTTTGATTTGCGCAGCATAAACCTCTAATTGTATAACTGGTGTGTGTGATTGTCTTGGTTGTCTGTTGCCCAGCTAACATATCCAGGTCACACACATTGTTGCATGCCTAGACATGCAACAGATTACCAGAAAATTATGAAAACTGCTCACACCATTTCTATTACACACATGGTATTTCACAGTAGGATTCTGGCTAATTAAACCTGATTGAACTCTGTGTACCTCCATATATCTGAACTACTATCATTGATAATATGTAACGGTCAAGCTAATTTCATTTATTATACTTTCTAGTCTTCACAGGAAGGGCACTTTGCACTTTACACAGAACAGTGTCTTTCCAAACTTAGAATATATTACATGTATTTTTAAGACTGATATATCAACATACAGTATAGGGCACCAAAAGGCTTCACACTGAGTATGGATTTCTGAGGTATGGAGAAACAAAGGTCACCTTCTTATATACTTAGAATATTAATGGCAAAGCGATAGGAACATGATGTCACAACACAACAACCTAGCTTCATTTCAGGCTTCAAAATGAATTAAAAACAGCAATGTTGCAGAGCTGACCAAATTGTCTTTTGCCAAACTAACGTCTGCTGAGTTGTTTAGTTTTCTTTGCTTAATGAAGAATGAGTTCCTTTTTGTTCTCCCGAAGGAGAGATGGCAATAAAAGAGAAGAGCACCTGGGAAGAGGCATTAGAAACAGGTGACTGAAGAGCACCACATCTGCCACTGAAATATGCCAGTGTTTTATGTGACTGTAAATGGTGGGACATAGTGGAAGTAAATGGATTGACCATCTGCATGGACAGTAATCCATCTCTACCAAGGGAAGCAACCAGGGGCTTTCCATTTGCATGATCATATCATCTCTAGCTGTCAGAGAAGTTTGTGACTGTCCCAATTACAACTTCCCACCCCCCAAAAGTAGCCCATTGCCAGAAAAAAATCTGTTTCACTCCCCTCTTATTTTTGACTTCCTACGGATACAAGAAATGTCTATAATACCATAAAATAGCCTATGTAACATGGGAGACAGTGAGTCCCTGTACAAATTGACTATTCCTCTTAAAAAATTATCTAAACCCCAGTTATATTTTAGCTGGAAATCTGATTATAAAGTACTGAGCCTAGAAAATGTGATGAGAGTGGTTGAATGGAAGGAAGACAGGCAACACAAAACCTACAGAGGAGAGAGGCCTTGGACTCACCCCATTGCAGGAAAATGACAGGTGCAGTTGCTGATGGCTTTCTGGGGTATAAGGGGACCCCTTGGTTTTATAACATAATCGTGGTCAGAGTTTGTTAACTAGCAAAGCAGTTTAAGGTACAGGAGCCACCAGTCCCTTTCTCCATATTGATTAAAGATAAAAGGAGACTACAGTTTAATATTTACGATAACTTTTGATATGCTAAAGTTACTGCATGGTAATTTTATTAATCAGCTTCACATAATGTTTGTCATGTCATGGCAAATTACAGTATTTGAATAGAGTTTGTTGTGGATGGAAGGAGTAAATGCACAAACTATGTAGCAGGCAAATTTGACACAGTGAAACACATGGATCATTTTGCCACACCAAGAAAACTCAGAAAGGAATTGTACTTTATAATTACACTTGTGATGGTTGACCATCAATTTTTCAGTGCCAGTTTAGTTAGAAGTCAATGTTGTTTGAACTATAACTCTGCTAAACTGATTTACATGTTCAACAGCAGCAACAGTCTTCCATAAGATTAGGTCTACATTACAAGTTTTAAATTGATTGATATTTTATGGCTTTCCCTTTGAGTGTATAATCTTATTTGGATGTTGGGAATTTTCTATGTGAAATTTCACTCAGTTTCTAAGTAATAACAGACTTTCAGTGTTAGGTTAGTGCAGATCAGTCTGGAATCCAGTGATATAAGAGTCACTAATCTGGACTGAACTGCTTAACAGTTACTGGAGTGGAGACTGAATCCTAAATTTCAAGCATTTATGCAAGTACATCTGTTCAAACTAGTATATGTTAGAGTAGCAAGTTGTGGGACTTAGCTACTGGTCTTCCAGTAGTTATCCTTCGTCTCTAATATTTTGGTTTGTTTAAAAGATACAGCTTCATTTTGAACAATATTTTCATTAAATAAAAGTGACTGATTAGAGATAATATTTAAGCAGATGCTGCCTATTTTGAAGTGACGTGATGTCACTCATCAACCTACAATGTAAAATGAAAGTAAAAAGACTGTGTATTTTATTATCACATATTATATGATAGTAAAATATGGACTTAACCACGAAATAAGTGTGGAAGGGTTATTCTGTCCACCACAATAGTTGGCAAATATTTATAACTGGGCTGTTATAAATACAAAAATAATCCAACTCCATACACTACATTAAGCTCCAGTTTAGTCTGAATTTAAAAATCTGAATACAAAAGAGTGCAAAAATGTGATGTTTGGTATTACTGGAACTTCAAAACACCTACACAGGTTTTCTCCTGACCTTTTTTTAAAAAACAGAACAGAACAAAACCTCTCAATCTGAAACACTGATGTCTCAAATTTTGCAGGGTATAAAATTTCTTTACAGCCAGCATATAAACCCCTGTAAAAAGGGGGTTTACAATGGATATACCCCCAGACATTTATTTATAGAAGTACTTAAGTATTCCACTATAGTACAAATATACACATTATTACCTATTTTCTCAGGATTGTCACCCAGAGAACATTCTTTATTTTACAAAAAACACAGTAATATTAAAAAACTGTACTTACAACTTCTCATAAGCAGTATGATTTTGCTTATTTCTAAAAACTACAACTACCAAATACTATTACACAACATATTCAGAATACATTCAAGAAAGAAGAAATCATGACTACTTAACACATTGTTACATTGGAACAGCAGCAGCTGAAGGAAAATTATTACCCACGGAGACTTCCAGTTATTAAATATTTTGTACTGGAACCCAGACAGTATATCTGTAGCTTAGATCAACCATTCTGAGCACATCAGTAAATCCTTCTAAATTTTGTGCTAATTTATAAACCAGGGGTGGGCGACATGCAAGCCATATGCATACACACACACACACAACCAACTTTCTTATGGCTCCTGCTACTCCCACTTGTGTCTACCACCCACAGAAGTGCATTGCTGAAACTTAGTGCAGTTGTTGCTGCAAAAAGGATTTTTCCTTTTCATCTTCTAAAAAGGAATGAGTCATTTTCTTCCCAGTATGCGGAGCTTAATGGTGTAGCCAGACATTCTAGCATCCTCCTGCACTGTAAATGTAATGGTGGTATTGGCAGAATCCTTGCCTGCAGCTGACTATTTTCAGCAGAGGTACATCCCTATCACTGGGTGGGAGGCAGACCTAAAATGGCTTTCCAACATTGGAAAGTTGCCCACCCCCGCTAAAAGGCATAACAGCCAGGTTGAGCACCTATTTTCTGTACAACATAGGTATGTGTACCTTAAAAACTAAAATACAATAATGTTAGTTTCCTAGTCAATGCCAATGTGGTTTAATAATTGTAATTGTTAATACTGGGGTTTTAAGTACATATTTGACATTCTTCCTCAAGCTTATCAAGAAATGAATACTAGTAAAAGACTTACTTTGTATACTGCGCACATACAAAAAGGCAACAGCCTAACTGTTGATTTCTTCCAGTGCAAACAACTTTATTGGCTGACCTGCTGCATAGGTCAATTTCTTTTTTCCTGTCTCTTAGGAGTGGTGAAACCAGTGGCTTAACTCACAAATAAGCTCTCAAATAGAACAAAAAGGGGGAAAAAGACATTCTGGTTTCATTGAGTTCTCTCAGAACCTCATGATGACCAAGCAGAGAGAAAGGCACAAGGCTCATATCTCATTGATAGTCCTCTCAGAAGGGCAATACTCAGAAGTGCCTGGAGATGACATGTAGAATGATTGGGTTTTCCTTTTTAATCGGGCTCGCTTGTTAGCCAGAGAGAGGCTACGGCGGCTTGAATTAATTATTTCTGAAATGAACTTTTTGCAGTCCACACACACCTCCATGGTGCTCCAATCCTCCATTAACTCTTTTGGGAAAAGTGCTTCTTCATCAGATCTATCTACAGACTTTGCCTTTGAGGACAACCTGAAAGTAAATAAACAAATTTGTTTTTATTAGTGTTCCTTACTTTTTCAATTATACCAAAGAAGTGAACTATGCTTATTCCTAAAGCAATAAAATTATTTCCAGTCTTTTTCTAGATCCTATAGGTCATGAAAGTTTCTTATAACTAGAACAAAGCCTTAAAACAATCCCAAGAAATCATCAAAGAGGCAGGTAAGAACAGAATTACTGTTGATGACCAACACACAGAAAGTTAAGAGTCAATTGTCCAACTCTAAATTTTACCAGCTCCTAACCATAGACTTGATTGCCAAATAGCAAAAGGACTTACAAAACCTTATGGAAGATTTCTCTGGAAATATATGCAACCAAATCCTAGCTGACATACCAGAAGAACCTCAACCTGCCACCTTCTTCCTGCTTCCAAAAATACATAGATCTGGCAACCCTGGTAGGCCCATTTTATCAAGCACCGATACGTATCACTGTCAGGGTATTGGACCTCCCTGACAACACCATCTTAGTCACAATAGCTGTAAAAGCTCTTTACACTAATATCTCACACAGAGATACACTACAGATCAGGAGGAATATCATTCAAAATGAGGACCCATCCCACCTAGTCACTACCCTCTGCTTATACACAATTATTTCACCTTTGACAAGAACAAAACTTATCTCCAGATTATCAGAACTGTCATAATACTTGTATGGCACCACAATATACAAATATATTCATGGTTGACATGGAAGAATACTTTCTGAATAATTGTATCCAAAAATTCCTCTTTATGAGGTACATTTTATTATCTGGACCAACACAAAAGAAGCTCTGGAGAAATTTCACCAGGACTTCAAAACTTTCATCCTAACATCTATCTCAGCTTGGACCAGTCTACATAACATATTAACTTTCTAGACATCACTCTGAAGCTACAATGTGGACATATTAGCACCTTGCTGTACCAAAATTCCACTGACAAATATACATACTTGCATGCCTCCAGCTTCCATCCTGAGAACACCACAAAATCTATTGTTTACAGCTACTAGATATAACCCCATCTGTTCGGACCCATAAGATATAGACCCCAAACTCAAAGATCTACAAAAGGCATTTCTCAGACCACAGTGCTCATCCAATATGATTAAAGAACAAATTATCCAGGCAAGATGAATACCCAGAAGCATCTTTCTGCAAGACAGACTCAGAAGAGGAAACAACCAAACACTACTAGTTGTTACCTTCAGCCCACAACTGAGACCATTCACACTCATAACAAATGATCTTCAACCCATTCTTGACAAGTATACTTCACTCTCTCAAACTCATGGTGGCAGGTCTATTCTGGTTTACAGACAACTCCCCAGTCTCAAGCAATTGTTGACACACAATGGATTACACAACAATGATACATAGGTAAGGTAAAGGTAAAGTTTCCCCTTGACAATTTTTGTCCAGTCGTGTTCGACTCTGGTGGGCGGTGCTCACCCCCATTTCCAAGCCATAGAGCCAGCGTTTTGTCCGAAGACAATCTTCCATGGTCACATGGCCAGTGCGACTTAGACACGGAACGCTGTTACCTTCCCACCGAGGTGGTCCCTATTTATCTACTTGCATTTGCATGCTTTCGAACCGCTAGGTTGGCGGGAGCTGGGACAAGCGACGGGCGCTCACTCCATCGCATGGATTCGATCTTATGACTGCTGGTCTTCTGACCCTGCAGCACAGGCTTCTGCGCTTTAGCCCACAGCATCACCACAACACCGTGAGGGAGTCTAAAAGGCTTAATAAGACCTTTCAACACTGCCTACAGGCTGAACATTCAGATGTCAACATTTCCCATCCATTGAGGTCCAATCCTAAGGCCTTCAGATCTCACTTGCAGACATCCTTGTATCGCAGCTGTGGTCTCCCTCTGCGGTGCTTTCCTGGCACTAGTTTTCCATACAGGAGATCTTTCTGAATCCGATCATCAGCCATTCTCACAACATGCCTAAGCCAATGTAAATGTCGCTGTTTCAGTAATGTATACATGCTAAAAACTCCAGCTTGTTCTAGGACTACTCTATTTGGACCTTTGTACTGCCAGGTGATACCAAAAATGCGTTGGAGACAATGCATATGGAAGGTGTTCAGCTTCCTCTCCTGCCGTGCACAAAGGGTCCAGGACTCACTGCAGTACACAAGTGTACTCAGGACATAGACTCTATAGCGTGCTTCAGAATGACAGCAAAAAAGATCCCAAACAGGGTCGGCACAAGGACACAGCCTTGTTTTACTCTCCTTCGGATGCCAAAGGGATTTGATGTTGAGCCATCAAAAACTACAGTGCCCTTCATTTCCTCATGAAAGGACCTGATGATGTTAAGTAGTCAAGGTGGACAACCAGTCTTGGGAAGTATTTTAAAAAGGCCATCCCTGCTAACCAAATCAAAGGCCTTTGTGAGATCTATGAAGGCCACAAAGCATGGCTGTTGTTGTTCCCTACATTTCTCCTGCAACTGTCGGCGGGAGAATACCATGTCCGTGGTGGATCTATTAGCTTGAAATCCAAACTGTGATTCTGGATAGACTCTATCTGCAAGCACCTGGAGTCTCTTCAGCACAACACGGGCAAGCAGTTTCCTTACAACACTGAGAAGAGATATGCCATGTGTCAAAAGGTTCGTTGAAGGTTTTAGACGGTCCGGAATTTGGCGTGGAAATAGAAGCAGATGTGTCATTCAAACTATAACCATTTTTATTCATGTTTAACAAAGGCGTATCAAGAATAACTTGGGTAGGGATAAACGGATCCCAATCACTTAACTGTCTATCAAAACGCTTAACATTATCAGAATTAAAGTCTTTCGTCAGTATTGGGGTGCCGGACCAAAACGCTAGTTGTCGCTGGGCTTCCTCAATGGGGCGCTCCTTACCACGCATACAGTGCCACAACATGGGTGGCGTGTTTCTGCAGGTTGTCAAGAATGTCATCAGTCTTGGTATCGAAGAGGCCAACCCCGTCAAAGAATAAGTTCTCAATACACATGTGGGAATCATCAGAAATATGAGTAGAGCGTAACCAGGCATGCCTTCTAAGGGCGACTGCGGTGGCCATGTTTCTTGAGGCAGCCTCTACAATATGTCTAGCTGTGATGCGCTCTTGGCAAGCTAAAGCCATTGCTTCCTGATGAAAGGCCAGGCCTCTTGGTTTATATTCACCCTGAGCTGACTGGAGTGAAAGTGTGCCTTGTTCCATAAGAACCTGTGCTAAGCTCCCATGGCTGCAAGGTAGTTTGCAGTGTGAAGAATGAAAGAAGCCAGATAGTATGCCCTGCATCCAATAATATCAAGTTTCCTGCCTTCTTTATTGTTCGGTGTTGCATTACAGCAATTTCTAGCTCTATTCTGAGTTGTGTCTCCTATAACTGAATTTGGGGGTGGATGTTTGGAAAGGAAGTCTGAATTGTTATCATGAGTTTTATATAGGTTCTTGACTCGTCTCGAGATGTGTTGGACCGAGGATGGCTTAGCCGATGTTTGCTTAATCAATTTAACAAGAGATGGAATAAACCCCAAACGAAGTGGGGTGGGGGTCTGGTCTTCGTTAATGTCCTCATAGACTTTGTCAGACTCAGACTGACTGGTTGTTGAACATTTAAGTCCATTGCCCTAGCAATGCGTAGAACCAGTTGTGAGTAAGATGAAAAATCCTCCAATGGAGAAGGTGGATTCATATCCGCAACATCAGAGTCTGGAGTTGCCAAATTCGGCGGTGACTCAGGGGGTAGAAAGGAATCTGAGGAATCAGTATCAGAGGATGCAGATGACGAGGTTTGAGATGGAGAGGGTTCATCTTCTAATGCTGCAGTTTGTACAGGTTTTGACTTGGTAATTTTCCATTTGGTGAGGTTCGAGGAGCAGTATGTTGAGCCTTCATGCCGTGAGAACGATGGGATTGTGTAATCTGGTGTGGTATCAGGGAAGTGCCAGTATAAGTGGTTGTAGCCTGTACTGGTGATGTGGCCTCCTGTGGTACAGCAGACGTTGTAGATGGTTTAGAGTGATTTGCTATCAATGGTTGAGGAAGGTCCTGTGCCAAGACCCGTTTCCTTTTGCGAGATGATTTACAGTGCTTCAGTACCAGTGGGGGGACTGGGGAGTCATCAGAAGTGGAATACTGATATCCAGGACAGTACTGAAGCGAGTCAGAATCAGAATCTGAGTAATAATAAGAGTATTGAGGTCATTTAGGTTCGACATAAACTTCCATATCAGGATGTCCATAGTGGTATCGGTGGTGTCGATATTGTGATGATGGCATTTGATAATAAGTGGACGGCTCATATAGAGTAACCCTTTTAGGACGACAGTATCACATATGAGAATCATGCGATGTGAGAAGTCCTGTCAATCCCTGTTAGTGAGGGGCATCAACATCTAAGTGACCAGTCTCGGGTGTATGATGTGTCTTCCTGGACCGCTTGTGCGATGCGTGCAGATCAGGCAAAGGAGACGCTGAATCCAACTGACACATGGAGATGCAGCAACCCAAAGGGCTCAATTAGTCATATTTTGGAAGCACAGTAATGCCAGCTGAAGGATGGGCCGAAAACAGGGACTGTGCCAACAGAGGTGGTGGTGGTTATCCCGATGGTGGAAATATATAATCATCGTCGTCTACCAAGACGGAATCAAGGCTCGGTAGACGAGCTCATGAAGTGGTGCTGAAGAGACCGGTCTGTCTTTCTGGTGTTTAATAGTCCGTGTCACAGAAGATGACTTTTTGGCTTTTTCCGGTTTCGGGAGTGTGGGAGATTTTAGTACCAGTGTAGATTTGGGTGTCGAACCACCAGACTTAGCTTTGGCAGGCAGTTTAGCCTCGGATTTGGACTTCACCGAGGAGTCCACAGAAGCATCCAGAAATGGTAACAGAGGTGGTGGTTGGTGTACTGATTCCATATTTAGTGAAGGGTGAAGAGAACTGTGGCAGACAGCCCACATGTCACTCCTATCAGCCATTTTAGAACTCCAGTGCAGGACGGACAGGAGGGGTGGAGTCAAGGGCACTGGGTTGCGAGAGGGGCAGTTAGAGTGAGACAGAGAGTGAGTTAGGGAAAAGATGGTGAAGCATTTAGACAAAGAGAAGACTGAGAAGTGGTTAGACAAGATATTGGACAGTTGGTTGTTAGAGAATATTCAGGAGTTAAAAGGAATTAGATGACAGAGAATACATTGAGACCTTGATTAAAGTAACTGAATACAAGCAATCTTACAAGTAATCAAATACACGTTTATTGAATAACTAATAATAGAACATCCATTATTTTCCTTCTGTGATTCACTTATTAATCCTTAAATAAACCTTGTTTTATTTGGCAGCGAGGGTGTGAGATTCTTAATTGATATAGTGAGAATAATATCCTCCTGTGGCAGCAAAAAAGTGGAAAAGTACAAGTTGTGTCTAAAGGTGAACGTGTGTGAGAGGCAAAGCACATTGGGGTCACTGGGGGTACGCAACAAGAATGTTCCCACAAGTAGGAACGGAGACACTGTTGTCTCAGTTTAAGGGCCTGCTTAGTAAATTTCTTGGTTATAGGGCAAGAAGATGGCTGGTGGGCCTCACAAAGGCAGAAGAGACAAGAGTCGTGGCCGTCAGTCAGGGAAATTTTTACTGGGACAAGAAGTGCAAGAGGCCATAAACTATCAAAATGGATAAAGACAGTGAAAGACGGGGGAAAGGGAGTGGTGGAGAGGAGAAAAAGGCACAACGTCTCTCACAAATTCCTTTTGAATGCAATAGCGAATGGAGCTCATCGAAAAGAAACCTCAGTGGCGGCAAAAAGGAACGGAGGCACTTGCCAGGATGGGCGGACTACATGTATTGGGGGACGGTCTTGGTGAGCAGTGTTGGGCTCTAGAAGATTCCGGAAGCCTCTGCACAGGTGCAGATAAAACCCATTAGTGTACATTCATAGACTTTACTCTTTCCCTCCTACAGAATCTGGGCCTAAAGGTCAATCGAACTAAATCTACACTCATTCCTTCACAACGGGTGAACTACATCGGGGCAATTCTAGATTCTCGATCAGCAAGAGCCTTTCTTCCTCAAGAACGGGCTATGAAACGCTATAATGCAATTCAGCAATTCCGTCCCCACACTTTGGTCACTGCACACCGTGCCCAGCGACTACTCAGACTCATGGCATCGACAACATCAGTGATTCAGCATGCACACCTCAAAATCCACTCTTTGCAGGCGTGGTATCTCTCCCTCTTCAACCCAATATCAGACTCTCCCACGATGTTACTGAGAGTCACACCCGAACTAGCAGCCCAGCAAGAATGATGGAGCACACCGCACAATCTACTCATCGGCAGACCTTTCACACCACTTCAACTCACCATGCAAACAACCACGGACGCAAGCCCGACCGGTTGGGGAGCTTGCATGAGGTGTAAAGATAGGGTTAGCAGAAAAGTTAAATCCACATATTTCATATTTCTATTGAGAATACCCATGCCCTCTTCATCCCTGAATCAGGCCAGCCTACTGATAGCTAGAATATGTCATGCCATGAGTCAATGAGGGTGAAGCAGAACCTTCATTTACCTTGGTATTCCTTTCAGAGAACGATGATGACTCAAGGAAGGTTTATCTGGTCTCATAAAACTCTCTCCTTTTTGTAATGCAGAAGGTCCCAGAGAAAAGATAGGAAGGGTAGAATATGGCTTTGAAGGTAGGCGCATCTGTCACAAGCACAAGAGAACAATAACACATCATTACCCAGAGACTATATGTGTCATTACAGGGATTTCTGTGGCCACTGACTCCAGCCTATTACCACTGGTACTGAACCTACATAAATTCATTGCAGACATCACAGTTATGTCACTTTCATCCATTTCCAATGCAGGCTATAATAGAAATCCCATAAAAAGGAATATGCTACGTTATTACATATACCTGTATAAATGCTGCAAATTTTACAACAATAGTAATGCCAATGTCTATATGGCAAAAATCGTACTTGAAACAGGTAATATTGAAAAAAGATTTTGGAGAATTCTTTTCAGATTAATTTCTTCTTGTATTTTGTTGTTTTTGGATAGACAGTGGAGCAATCATATGCTTGGAACTACAACACAGTTTTGCAGAAGACAATGGATTTATAAGTTTCTAAACCTACCTTTTTACAGCACTGTGAACATACAGGCCTGTAATGAAAAATGGAACACATGGCTTATTCAGCTGAAAGAAGTATAATTTTCACAAGATAGCATCAAGCAGATACTGCACTATATTTTTCCTGTAAGAACGTTTTAACAGCTATATTCTATTTTTTAATTTTTACTGGCTCTTTCACCCTTCGCTTAAATATCAGAACTCAGAAGAAAGTCAGCAAAAGTACTGGGGTTGGGATTGAAAGGATCTAGCACATGGACTAGAATCTTGCTCAGTATCTTGTTGTATCTGCAGCTTCTTGTGCTATAGCAGAAACTACTCCTCCAAAGAGTTGCCTTACTTTGTGGCATGGCATGGCATGGAGGGAAGAATGAAATACGTCTAAAAACCATGGTGGACATGCTTCTTCAAAGTAGTCCTAGAGACTCTGCCAGGATCTGAAAAGTAGAAACTCTTAAGTGGAAAGAAAATGTATTGCATGTTTGCCTTCCCAGACTCTGCATGAGCAGTCACTTTTATTAAATGTTGTTCTGGAAGTACAGTATACAGTTTTCAAAACGGTCTTAAAAGACTTACAAAAACATTTACTTTCACAACATAACCACTCTAATTTTTCTAACATTTCATTATTTTAATAGTCATTGTGTAAGCTGTGTGCCAGCTAAGGGAACTAAAAACTGCTAATCTATTTCTTGATGTTAATAAAGAGATTCTGAAAAGCTGGAATATGCTTTTGAGGACTGCAGCCCACCATGAGAAACAGTCATGAAAGTTTGTACCAAATAAAATCTGCCTTTTTTTAGGTGCCTGAAGGCTCATTATTTTTGCTGCACCACACATAGTTACGATTCAGAAATCTGAGAACTCGTAACACCATGGAGACATGTTGCCTATCAACACCTACCCTCCTGTTATTTTACCTAATGTGCACTTTATATTCCATTAAAAAATATAATCAGCTGTGATTTTTCCACTATTCCTTCAGAAAAAATTAAGAACACAAAAGTCACATTTTCTCCCAAATATCACCACACTTCTTCATTCAATTATATAAGAGACAAAATGTGAAAGCTAATCCTGTGGCTTCACTATATGCTACTCATGAACAGAACTAACAGCTTACCTTTTACAAAACTGACAGGTGTAGGACCAGGTGAAGAAGGAAAACCTTCGTGTTCGGCAACAAAAACAGAGCTATAAAAATCAAAAAAGCACAATATTAGGATGTCTTCTGGAAATCAATTTATACACATCTATAGTAAAACATAAATAAATATAAACTGCCTTATGTGGAAATTTAATCAATGCAATTAACTTTGTTTTAAAAAAAGGAGGCACAACTGAACTCTAATTAGACTAATAATTGTTCCAAAAATTGTCACCCCTCCCCTCTTAAATGCTCTGAAAATCTGTTCCTGACAGTAGGGTGACATTCTGGATCACATTTGGAGGCAGGTGTAAACTGCCTTACGTGGAAATTTAATCAATGCAATTAACTTTGTTTTAAAAAAAAGAAGGCACAACTGAACTCTAATTAGACTAATAATTGTTCCAAAAATTGTCACCCCTCCCCTCTTAAATGCTCTGAAAATCTGTTCCTGACAGTAGGGTGACATTCTGGATCACATTTGGAGGCAGGTGTACAGGGACGGAAAAGTAAGTATCTCTTGGATTTTAGCCATTGCATTTTAATAGTACCAACACAGAGTTATGCTTATTCAGAAATAAGTTCCTGGGTTGGATCGAGACTTATGCTTAGCAGAGTTATATCTGCACTGACAAAAAGGATTTGTTGTTTCCTGTAATCTCTCATTCCTATTGTAGTCCTTTGTCCCTTCAAAAAGCTGTACCCGTGGGATGAGGGAAGTGATGCTGTGGGCTGCAGGAGTGGAATGTATAATACAAAAAAACTGCACTATACTCCTTTCCTAGGGATGCCAATTTTCTCTGAAAAATTTAAAGAACCCTTCTGTTTGCAGAGAAATTGCTGGACTCATCCCAGTAAGTCTTTCTTACTTGTGCATATATTTGTTTCCTGAACCACCATAATCAATCCCAGTAGATAAATTCCATACAATGCTTCCTCAGGAGACAAAACTTATTTTTTCAGTTTTCATCACCTCTTTATAAATGGAAAGAAACAGTTCAAGCACATGAAAGTAATAACTCTTTAGTTTAATTAAACAATGAATTAGGATTATTTTAAGAATTTGGGGGCAACTTTACTATTTTATGACTTCTAATAACGTTAATTGAAATCTTCATACTTTAGTATTAATTTTCCAGAAGAAACACTGGAATCAGTCATACCTTTCCCTTCTTAAGGGCAGTATAGACATCTTTATACTGCTGGTACTTTTCCAGTTCTGCCTTCACCAGCACTTGGCGGATATGCATTACTTCCTCCACTGTGAGAGCCAGGCATTCCACTGGGTAACAAAACTCCTCCTGAAAGCCAAAAAATTCACCATTAATATATACCTCACAGTATTGCCCTGTCAGTACCTCAGAGAGCCAGCCACCTGGTTAGTCAAAGATTTTTCCCATCCAAACTGGAAGAGCATTTTCTGATCCACAGGCATCACAAGTGTCATGATGGTTAAGAATTAAGACGCACAACCAAAAGGTGTCCAATATCCACTAAAATCTTACTGCCATTTCTTAAGCCAATTACTATGTCATGAGTATCATGTAGCTATTACTTGAAAAGACAAGATGATTATTTTCACTGCAATTTCTGACACTCTGTGATGCCTAGAGCAGTTTAAGAAATGGTTAGTAATCCAAACCAAAATAAATTTTTATTCTGTGGTATTAGTATATGGGTGAGATAATTTTAATTACTTCAACAAGATAACAGAACAGAAACTCCCATATGTGATGACAGAATTATTTTCTGACATTATAACTCCCTAGTATATTAATGTCAATCTGAGTAGGACATCAATTCTGTTGGTACCACAGAATAAAAATACAAATTCCCAATTATCATTCATTTCTCAGATCTAGCTGAAAGACAGAAATACTTAGCCTACTCTTCCATGAACCATTCTGCAACCGAGCATTAAATGTATGCAATTCGGCATGTTTTACCTCCATCAGGCCATAGACAGGTTACATGGCTGAGGTTGAGAAAGTGGCTTGTATAAGGACAATCACTGATTCAGGGCTGAACTAGGACTTCAGGTCCAAGTCCAACCCTATCAGCTCTTGGCCAAGACAGTAGGGAGGGGAGCTCACTGTGAATGCAACCAGAATGCTGCAAAATCAAACTGACATCCCAAAATATACTGTTCTGATTAATGACACATTACTGTAGCTTACATGGTTTTAAGATTGTTCTGTCTTTTAGTTAGAAAGGAATGATCATTTTATGGTACAGACCCGATAAAATGAGGAAACAGGAGGCTCCATTTTTCAAAATACTACCATCTTACCTATCTAGATATGATACATACAGAGAAACTTCATCTTGCTTGAGGTGCCCCCAAAAGCTAACAGAGTTACATCAACAATTAACAAGCTCGCCTTCACTGAAGATGCCTTGTTGTCCACAGCCAAAATTAAATACATCTAGCTTTGAGGGATGAGCTGCTTTAAATCAAATACTTCTTGTTACTTATATATGTTAGAAAACAGTAAAACTTTGCAGTGACAGATGAAATCATTTGTATTTCCCCAGGCATTTTTACATTTGCTATTCTGTTTAATTTGTATGCTGCTTTCATAACACTGCTATTTTTAGTTTATTTTAATGCAAAAGTTATTTTGTAGTATTTTTTTACTACAAGCAACAGTAATGCTCAACTGAAACTCTTGGTGAAACATGGATCTGCTGCAGCCCTAAAGAATGGCTTCATCCACGTGAACCTATCATCTCACTCCTTGTTTTGCCCTGACGTAATCATCTGTCTCGTCGTCTGATTAAGCAAACTGTCACACTTAGTCTGGATGTTGTTTTAGAGCTAAGACACATTGAATTTGAAAATAATTTTTACTGCATTATCCAAGCTTTGATTCAAAGAATACAGTATAGTATATATTGTTCTTCCTCGAACAATATAATTATAACAATTGTATTGTTAATATCAGTTAGGTTGAAAAGGTGTGTCTTGACGAACCCCAAATAGTAAATTTCACAGTTAAATGGAGAGCTGAATCTGAGGATATGTGTAGATGGGAAATTATTGTGGCTTGGCTTGGACCAAATAAGGCTCAAAGGGTCACTTTCCTGAAACCAGACGAAAATGGAGCATTCCAACTTAAACAGAAAAACAACAGCCCCTATTGATAAGCCAAAAGGTATGATTTAATACTGAAAAGGGTTGGGCTCATTCACAATTAGCTTTATGACATGTGATCATGTAAAAATAGATCACACTTCACCATGCTGTCTGTGGACCGAAACAGGTTAAATTGCAACACAGCTGTCCTCCAAATCTAGCAATCTAACCATCACACCATGCTCACTGTAAACAAAATTACAGCTGTGTAGTAACAGTATTGTAACAATTAGAATATTTTCTTTATTTCTGTAAAAATACACCTTTTAAAAATGTATAGCCACAATTTTATTGTTTGAATGGAACAAGCTGATATTTAGAAATATGCATAGCATACAACTGCAGTTGAGACCCAAATTCTCCTGCAGTTCCTTGTCAAGTATGCAGCTGGTAGTAAACTCAGCTTTTCTCCCACTTAAAATGTGGAACTGCCTATAACATAACTCTTCAGATGACGTTTTTCATTTAAGATATCAGTTGAAATCCTGTTTCTTAGCAGAAGTTGCAACTAGAACAGACCCACTGGTGAGTCCACTCCTCTGTAAGTTGCATTGATTCTGTAAGCCTGCTTTAGTTGCACCTTACCATTATGCCAAGCATCAGGATTCCAGGGATATTTGCATACATTCCTCCCCCTGCTGTCGGTATTGTCAAACCAATAAATTAATATTTTATGATTCCCTACTTAGTACACTGGAGTTCTGAAACAATGACCTCTGTACAACTTGGCAGCAAAAATATGAAACATACTATGTTCTTTGGTTTTCTTTCTTGCACATCTTAGTTGGCCTAGCACTTTTCTCAGTTACAGCAGGTTGTAGAAAAATCATATAAATTTGTTCTTACTGATATAACAAATAATTTTCATTAAAACCAGCAAACATATATAAGCAAGAGCAGAAAAATGCGTAATTTTAGATGCTATTATTTTGATTTTTATGAAGCTAAACAAGGACAAACAAACTGTAATGCAACATTAAACAAAGAATCAATACTGAGTTTTTAGGAATAAAATCTGAGATGCTGAAATGAAATTCCATAGTAACTATTCCACTTTTTATTAAAACCAAATTACAGAACATCTTAATATATTCCATCCCACTGTCATGAAGTTCACACCTAATTGAGCATACAATACTACCTACAATCATTGTTTAAAGTAGTGAATTATAGCAAGTTCAGCACACTAGTGAAAATCCATTATTTTGGGCTAAACATGCACACTAGAGTTTAAAATGGAACTGAATTTATAGAGGTACAGGAGTTCATACACTGGGGTTCCTTTGTAGATAGCCACATTCAATGCACAAATGTCTGTGACGAGGCTAGGAATGTGGCTATGCTTCAACATGAGAATACTCTACATATAAATTGTACATGTAGGGTGTTTACATTCTCATGGAATCATTCCAAATATCCTGTTAATATTTGCTAGGATCCAAAAAAACAGAGATACCTTCCATGAACCAAAAGGCATAATTGCTTTCCCTTTTTTCAATAGCAGGTCCCTTTTCTTTGTGACACTGTTTTTTAAACTGAAAGTAGTTTCAGGATCCATTTGCAATATGGAATGGCAGTCAGCTACTCAAAGAACCCCCCAAAAAATATTACTTGAACTGGGCTTAAGAAGATCTATGGACCTTGGCAATTAATTTCCTATCATATACTGATTTTATTTAACATATGAAACTTAATTTCAATTTATTAGGATGTTTTTGAAATAGGTGACAAAATTAGAATGCAATTTACCTGTGATGTCTTTTCCACAGTCCCCAATAAAATTAATGGGCCTTGTGTAAGAGCACTATAATGCCAATTCATGCCATTTTTATTAATGTTCAGGAGGAATTCCTAGAAGGCTCTTTACCACTACTAGTTAGGATTAACATATATACCACAGCTAATTTTATATAAGATTTTTAAAACATTTCTTTCTTTACATCAAATGAATTAAAATTTTACAAAGTATCCTTAACAATTTGTTAGGGAATGATGAACACATCAAAGCTTTTAGTAAAAACTCCAGCTAGCAGCCCAGATTCATAATCGACCTCTGCCCCTACTTCCAACCAAGTCCTACTGAGTTTTAGTGAGAGCTGATCTAGAATTATGTTCTAGGAATACTGCAGCCCAGTGTCTTTTAAAATGAGGGTGCAGTGTCCATAGCATGAAAATGAGGCAGGCCTGAAACACTGAAGGATACATCAACTAATCCAAACTAGCAGCAGGGAAGCATTTCAAGTGAACATACCAGCAGTATGACTCACAGTGTCTTAAAAAAGCTCTACTACAACCAAAAATGAACTTAGCATTGTGTTGCCAGGTCTACATGTTCTATATCCAATGGGCTAAGGGACTTGCTGATTCAATTCAGATAGTTCCTCCTGTATTGGAGATAATTCAGCTAGCTGGAGTAATCTTCTAGTAGGACAAAACTCTGAAACACTACCACTACCAACATTATCATAATGTGAGTACTTGCTAATCTGGACTGAAAGTGTCTCAAAGGCGTCCTTATTCTTTCATACTACCACTTACTGAAAATTAATATATGGATAACATACTAAATAAAATATCGTACCTATGCACTAAATAGCTTCTGGAGAAAAGTATCTTAGAAAAATCTAGACATATGAAGTCCCTTAAACAGCTTTGATTTATAAATGCCTGTTTGCATCTGATGAAAAACTCAAAAATGGGTTTCAGATACAGCTAATTTTAAATTCATTTAACATTTTTACTAAACTGGCTTTCTCTCTCTCTCTTTAGGGTTCACAGACTTAAGATTCTAAAAGTGCCTTCTGAAATATCTCATGATGTTGCATTTTTAGTTTGCTGTCCTTTCAGCAGATTATTTCTATTACCCAGCAAACTGATTAAAGGATCTACACATGCATAGAAGAGTCATACAGATACTGAAATCAATAAGAACCCAGTGACAACCTAAGTTGTCAGTTTCCGGCACAGTTTAGGAAGTTCTATTTTCTTGATGGAGAAAAAGACCGAGATAGAAGTTTATAACACCAGCAGGAAGAGGCAAACCTTTGAAGGTTTCCACTTGTTGTTAAGGGCTCTCTCACACAGATAATACATAGTTTTCATCATCCCAAACAAGACTGCATCAAAAGGATGGGAGCTAAGGTGAGAGGCTGTATGTATTGTTGAAAAAAGTGTTTTGAGTGTTATCCTTGGAAAGAAACCTGTTATCCGAGGAACCTGAACAACAGACAGAAGTACAAGGTGAAATATTGATCATGAATAAAATATTGGTTTGTTACACTGGACTGCGTGATGTTAGCTTCAATTTTAATATCCCCAGAATATTAGGAACCCAGTTTAATTAACCTGTATGTGACAAAGGACAAATTCTCTGCTAATTTCGTCACAAAGCCAAACAACCTCCTGTTCACTGAAAATGAATAGTATTTAAATATGGGGTTTCTTTCACCTTGAGAATCAAGTGTCATCATGGGGTGAGAAGATAAGCAATGAAATGCCATCAATCTTGAGGAAAGGGATGAAGAAGTCTGCTGTTAAATTTAAAGTAAATAACATTTTGAGGGTATTGTGTATGTGTGTACCTTGGCCAGCTCAGTTATGAAAATGTACAGTTAAAGATATATTTTAGAAATATGAGGGGCAGTCTGAAACTGAAGTGAATGATACTGAAAGTTCAAATACAGTCTGGGTAATTTGTTTTAAAAACTTACAGCTTTAATGTAACTGTGAGCTGTTCATATGTCTTCACCCTAGGAGGCACTATTGTTCAACAGATATTTATTTATTTATTTATTTATTTATTTATTTATTTATTTATTTATTTATTTATGAACAAAACACCATGTTTCTCTCTCTCTTTCCTTTTCTCACAAGAGATCTTTGCAATTTTTATTCATGTACAAAAAGAGAATGTGTACTGTATCATATTGGAAGTATTAACACATAACCAAACAGCCAACCCTTCTAAGAAGTTGGATGTATCTCTTGTTTTAAGTGAAGAATTGAGCAGTTTGGTTAACTGTGTTCCCTTGACCACAGGGAGGAGCCTTTTCCCACCTGTCCCTATGAAACATGCTGCTGCAAATATTGCAGTAGAAGAACAACCAGTGTTGCTGAAACAATCACCTATGTGATAATTTGAGGTGTTCCCTCACAGCATGACTCTTAAGGACAGATGTCCACCAACCATTCTCACTTGGGGGGAGGGCTGTCCAGTGAGAATTCAGGTGAGCTCCCTGGTGAGCCATATCAGTTGCAGAAAGTGGCTTACAGAGCTCTCCAGAGACCCAGCTGCCCCTGAACTCCTTCTCCTGAGGGAATATTCATCAGGCTATGGCATTATGGACAAGATAGCTAGAAATAAGGCTGCTCTGCTTGTGGTGGCAGCATTGCTCACAGAGTCTCGGCTTAAGAAAGAATGTCTTAATGTTTGAATGGAAGCAGAAAAAATGAGATAGCATGCTGCAGCTACCACTGAAACTCAGTGGGCCTGATAGCAGCCATGAAAGAAGGAACAGTGGCCTTGCCCCTTCATCTCAAATGGTGTGACATCTCCTTTTTCTTCTGCAGAAATATGTTTGAGCCCCAAATATACACTGTTTTCTGATGCTTATTCTAAGGAAGTCCTATGACCTGCATCATGTCACATTATGAACATTCATTTATCCACTGTTATGAATCCCCACATTAAAAAGAAAACTGATTCAAAGGTATGTTTTCTTTAACAAAACCTGCAAAGCAGAGACATTAAGTCCAGACCCTTGTGAGAAGTTTTCAGCTGGGTATTTTTGGATTTTTATTCCTGTGTTTTCTCCTAGTTTCAGTGGTGAAGATTTTCAATTGAGTCTTGCTGTTTCTTCTTTTTGCTTATCTTGCTTTGGCTTTTTCTTGTCTAATTTTTTTCACGATCATTTGAATGATACATAACACCCACTTTGGGTTGTTTTAAAAGAAAGATGGGATGCATAAAATAAATAATATCAAATACTTACAAGAAAACTTCTCATTCTCATAAGGTCAAACAATAAGATAGTAAGAATGTGCTTTTTTTACCTTTCAATGGTACAAGATATAAAATAAGATTATAATTAATTCAGAAAAACTCATAGCTTTAAAGGTTTCTCCCACACCTCAATTTACCAGTTCACCATATCTGCTGTAACTTTTTCACTAGGTATTATATTCACAGTTCTTGCTTCATTTTTTACTTCAGTTTGATCTGAGTATGTGAAATAATAATACACTTCTCATGTGCCCAACAATTACTCTCCTAAGCTAATTCTTGAAAATAATTGCCTTTGCGTTGCACTTTCTGTATTGCACTGACAAATATGCTTATGGTTGCTGAAACGCCATGTACCTTAAATCATAAGCTGTACTCAAATTAGAATCATATGACAAAAACAATTTGATTTCCTCTTACAGAAAAGGCTGTGTACATTTTACTATGTATTCATACATAGTAAAATGTGTTATTTAGTACATTAACCTTTGAACCTTGAAGACTTGACATTAAAATGATAGCTTTTTTAACTGAAGAAGAAAAAAGAAGGATTTTCTGTGCAGCCAATCACTGCCACTCTATAGATCTGAAGAGTTGGCAAATACCCCTTCTGTCTCAAAACCTACATTCTTTCACCCTCTCTGAATTCTGAGGGGCCCTTCAGGGCCCTTTTGGCAGACAACAAGATGCTGAAAAGTGAACTTGGCATTTAAAGCACTATGCCTGTCCCACACAGGCATTTTGTTTCTCCGTTACAGAAACACGCTGTCGGAAAACTACTTTCAATGAAAGCCAACTGAATGGATGTACTTTCCTTTCCTTTCAAGAACAACATTTTTAAATTTTTCAGTAGTTTCAATGCTGTATTGTGATCACAGGCTGCTCTAGTATCCTTAAACAAATGTTAAACATATGTGAGGGAAGGGTGAACTAAACTTCAAAAATAGATTAAAATGTTGCAATACAAAATTTTCTTTTTATTCAGAACATGCCTGCTAGATTTGGAGACATTTTATTAGCATATTTAATAAGACTGTTACCAATGCTTAATCACAAGACACTCAAAACCTGAATTTGAAGTTCAGAGTTGGCTTATTCATGAACTACCAATGGGCTTGGGATACACAAAGCTGAAGTCTTGATTTAAATTTTCACATAGTTCAAGGTGACACTGCATCTGGGTTACTTTATTTTGTCCCACAGTGCTGTAGAGTTGCTTTAATTTGTACCCTTCAGCCAATGTGCCAGACTACTTACAAGTGATCTGGAGCTTTGTTTTGTGGGGGGCATGAACTGCCGTACATTGGTGGGTGTTTCCTTTTCAATGGAATGTCTTCTTTGAGGTTGCTGTCTCCTCTCTGGCTGCGGTGTGGATGATATTGGCAAGAATTTTGGAGGCACTATAAAATATTCAATCAGCATTAATTAGCTTGAGACCAACAGCTTACTTTGCTAATATAATGGATTTTAAAAGGACATCAAAGGAACAGGATGCAGGCCACTTAACATTATTATTCAGACACAACTGTCCTAATCTGTTCATAGGTTTACGGTAATATCGAAAGCAAAAAAATAAAATAAAAATCACCTGTTTTTATAGACAAATAAAATCCAAAGCCAAATTTCATGGAAAGCCTAGATTCTCAAAATTAAACGGAAAAGAAACAGCTAGAGGTTTCTCCACAATTCACACACTTTGACACATATGCCTCTTAAGAGTGAGAACAAAGCTATAACTTGAATCATTTCAGTAAATTGGCTGAAAGTAATCTATCCTCTTGTTCAATAAATCTCTGTGTTGCTCAAACTTTTACGTTGACACCTTAAACTGGGGATGAGTGTGGTACCAAATGCTAGGCACTATGGAGTGAGTCATCAGTTCATAGACAGAATAGGTCTATAATCCAATTAAAAGAAATACCCTATTGATCGATAACATGGTTTGTTTAAAAAAAGCCAGAGTTATAGGAAACGTATATGGGAAAGGAATAAGTAAAACAATGTCCCTTTGGTATTTCCTCAGTATCTAAGAAAGTACTTTGCCCTACAATCTCAGATGGTTTCTCTAATGGGCATACAGTGAAGAAACCTATGAGGTGTTTTCACCATGAGGTTATTTGAACTCTTCATTTCACAGAAAAACATAAGGTCTAAACTACACTAAACTAACTGCACTGTATTCTTCTCTGAAGCAAAATGCTTTCACTATTCTATACTGTACTTCCATTGCCACATTGTTCTGCCCAGTTTCCACAACTAGTTTTCACTTGGTATCTCAGATGAATTGCTGCATTTAAAATTCTCAGTGTTCTGAACTGCAGGCTCCAGATTTGTTCTATCTACAAGTTTCACTTATCCTAATTACAATACTGCCCCATACAAAACGATGGGAAAGGTATGCCCCTCTACATGCTGTTGGTCTCCAACTGCCAACAGCTCCAGCCAGTATAGCCAATGGAGCAGTATCGTAGATATTTTTTCCTCCAGTCCACTCTTCTCCTGAATCCCAAGCCATCAAACTCTTTCCTTGTCTGTGGACGTTGAGTATTCTTTGCTTCCAAAAGTTTTTATGGCACCAACTGGCACAATTTTCTTTCTGAGCAGTGGACTCTTACCCTTTTTCCCAGATGTGGTCTCAGGAAATATTTCTTCCATTTGGGATGAGGAGACACTAATTCTGCTGGCTAATCTGTGTGTACATTCCTCCTAGAAGATAAAAAATGGAAGTGTTTCTCATTAACAGATCATAGAGTCTTGTTTACAGCTTGTTACTGTAGCTCTCCTGTAACCCTGTAGGCGATGCAATTACAGGAGAACTATCTTTATAAACTGTAAACAAGGGCTGAGCGGCAATTTCCTCTTTTTGTTTCCTCCTGTTGTTCTCTATTTCTTTTCTTGGTGTCTAGGTGCCCTAGCACAACAAGGCTGGAACCAAGCTTTTTTATTTTTTATTTTTAAAGAAATTGCATTATTTCAAAGATTCAGTCCTCCAGAGCGGGACCTTTGCTCACCCCAAGATGCTGTGACATCATGCTAACCACAGCACTCATTTTCTGTACAAATTTATTCATTAGTTCGTTTGTTTGTTCATTAGTTCATTCATTCATTCCTTTATTCATTCATTCATTCATATCCTGCTCCCATTAGTGCCAAGGTATTACTCTGGGTGGTTACAACATAATAGAGAATTAAAAACATTAAAAGCAACAATAATCCTAAAACAGATGGCACTGACTAATCATATAAAACCAGAGTGGATAGAGGTAAAGGGATGGGAGAGATGGTTAGCTAGGGTCACTGTGGAAAGCCTCCCTGAAAAGCAATGTCTTTATTGCTTCCTAAATGCCAATAGGGAGGGGGCTAGATTGAGCTCCGCCAGAAACTGGTTCAATAAAGTTGGAGTCACTGTGAAGAAGGCCCTACCTCTTGTAGAGATGTTCTGGCCTTCCTCAGGGTGACCACTCAACTGGGATGATCTTGTGGGGCAGACAAATGATATTAAGGAAAGGCTCTCTGATAAGTAATATAGGCCCAAACTGTGGAGGGCTTCGTATGTGAGTGTCAAAACCTTGAACCTGATCCAGGATGCAATGGGCAACCAGTGGAAGTGAGGCAGAACTGGAGTGATGTGGTCAAATTTACTTGCACTCACTATCAGTCTGGCTGCTGCATTCTGGACCTGCTGAAGTTTTCAGGTTAGACTTAAGGAAAGCCCCACATAGACAGCATTGCAGTAGTCAATCCAGGGCCTGCACCAAAGTCCTGAGGGAGTTCTCGTCTAGGTAAGGGTAAAGTTGGGTGATTAGTCTAAGCTGGTTAAAACTGATCTGGACACAGCTGCAATCAGGGACTACCAAGAAAGAGGTGGGTCCAGAAGAATGCCCAAGTTATGCACTTGATCCCTAAACTGGAGGGAAATACCATCCAGCCTAGGGACCACCACCTCTAGCCTATTACAGGTCCCCCTCAGGAACAAAATCTCAGTTTTGTCTGGGTTCATTTTAAGCCTGTTAGCTCCGGTACATTCCAGTGTTCAGGCAACACTGAAGCATCTGAGGCATCCACCGCAGAGATGATAATGGAGAGATAGTGTTGTATATCATCAGCGTACAGCATTTTTAATTAGCCTAAGCTAATCAAATTTCCCATGCCATTTTTATAACTATTATCCACCTTTAAAAACCTTTCACGTGCATTCCAATAATCAGGTCCCAAGTTGCACTGGAACTTCCAGAAGGGAATAAGTTTTGCTAAAGTAACTTCACTCCTTCCCCTTCCCTTCTCCTCAGCTGAAACCAATTCTCACTAATTAGCTTGGTACCAAGAAAGAGAGCTGGCAGGAGTGTTTTATGACCTTGGAAACACCTTCTCATGCTGATAAGACACACCTCGCCAAACCTTCCAATTAACAGGTAATTTCTCCCTCTCTCTTCTGGCCTACCCATCCCAGCACAAGCTAAGAGGCTTCAGTTTCAAAGGCAGCTGAAACCATTATCCCCTCATTTTCCAGTATCTTGACAACACCCTACCTCTGAATCTGAGCTGTCCAGTTCAGCCAGAGTGGGAGCTTTCAACAGTCTCTTCCGTTGTACTGTCGTCACCTTAACAGTGCCAATGCCATTGATGTTTGCTTCTGACACTCTGCTGCCATTTGCTACACAGCTTTCTGACATTTTTTTGGAGGCCTCTGGTTTGGAGACATCTAGGAAAAAACCCAAATATTTTTGATTGTATGTTAGAAGAGATGAGACACACACAATATTTTTATTTTTTCTAACAGCACAATTAATGCATTTTACATATATAAGCTATTTTTTCCTATAAAGTACAGACATTGGTGTGTAAAACAGAAGAAATGTGACAGAAGAGCATTAGTGGAACCGAAGTGGAGAATACATGGCTTTCACAAATATACACTGCATTTTAATAAATTATTTCACTGTAATTATATATTAGTACTGCTAGCAGATAATCAAATAAATGAAATATTAAGATGCATGGATCACAGTTATCCAAACAAGCTGTTGTGTCCTTTAAAATCTATGGCTGAAAGCCCCTGCAGCTTTTATTCTGTCTTTCCACTAAAGTCTGCTAGATGCAAGACTTAATTAGAGACTTCAAAAAAATCTGCAATCATATGGAAAAGATTATATCGAATGATTGATCTGTGAAATATATAGTGTTTAATGGCTTTATCATATGATATTCTACTTATATATTATAAGTTAATGTGAGTTTCCTAAGTCATTAACAGAATGATGCTAAAAATAAAACCCAAATGGTGGTGTTTGGTAGGAGCCCCACTGGTAGAAAGGGCTTGTGGACTAAGTCAGATAGATCAAGCTCAGATTTTATTTGGACATTCTGTTCAACACAGATCTACCTTGGAAAAAATATCATATAGCAGTTGTAAAATTAGTAGGGGCTGAAGAAGCAGGTTGTAACCCATGTAAGCTCACAATTATATACTGTAAATTTGTTAGACTTCAAGATACCAAAATTATTGTTTTTGTTACTCCTGTAACAGACTAACACAGCCACCTCTCTGAAAAATCAGTGATAAGATTGTTCTGAAATTATAAGAAACAGAAAGCCAGGAATTTAATACTTTTCTTGTGTGGTCTGCCTAACAATCCTAAAAGCTAAGACCTCACAAAGTGTTTCTAGGAAGATGAAGCTACAAAGTAATGTGTTATCTAGTTCAAGATGCTAAGCTTAAGATATATATGATTTTTATTAGAGTTTTTTAGATTGATTGACAAATGCTTGGTTATTAAAAAGCTTTTTAAAAGTTTAAAAATATATTAATTTTCAGCCTATTAGAATATGGCAAAATTTTAGTTTTCTTGTGAAGTTGCTACTATAGAAGAACAACCATTGGACACAATTACATTTGTCAAGATCTAATTATTTTTAAATAAATGTTTTTGTAGAATTTTTTTTTGCTAAATTAATATTTTATTTATGTTATTCCTATGGCATGATTAGATGTTAAATAAAATAATATTTGAGATTAAGTACTTTGGTGGATAAAATTACCGTATTTTTCGCTCCATAAGACGCACCTTTCCATAAGACGCACCAATTTTTTAGGAGAAGAAAACAGGAAAATATAATCTGTTTTCTTCGCTCCATAAGACGCACAGACTTTCCACCCCCCTGTTTTCTGGGGGGAAAGTGCGTCTTATGGTGCGAAAAATACGGTAAATGGACTACATTAATAGAGGACATGGTGAACGATCTATTTTCTTGCAAATTTCACAAGAAGCCAAGGATCTTATTTGTAATCTTACAATAAGATTATACACTATTATGTTCAAACTTCAAAAAAAGAAACATAAAGATTCATCAAATCCCCACTGATTCATTGGCCTTACTCCAGATATTTACTATGGTAAACAACAGGATTTAACTCAGCATATGTTATCTCTTGCAGATCCATATGTATACAGTATTTAAAAGTTCTCTCAGGAGTGGCACCATTCTCTGGAATTCTTTGCCTAAGGTTCCCATTGCTGATGGCATTTTGAAACAGAGCCAAAAAATATCTGAACAAGGATGAGGATTGTTTGGGGGATTAAAACCTATAGCTGACAGGCTGATGCGACAGATCTGTGAAACTCTGTTAAACTCTAGTGAGCTTAACCTTGTTTTAGAATGAATTTCATTGTTGTTTTTAGCATCCTTGGGACAGGGTGGTCTGCCAGATTGAAAGGTCTGTTATACAAAAGCTGTCTGACACTACAATGGTTGCTCGAATTCTGCTCTGGCTAATCAAAATAGACAATGGATTTCAGCACCATCTCAGAAGAAACTGAGAGAGAAATGGCCGATCATCTCTGTCTATGCTCTGAGAATTTACAGAGGAAATGTTAGGCATCAAAATGATCACAACGGAAATTATTAATTATGTACTGTATATGTTAGGGACAAAGAGTTTTCACACTAAAACTAGCCAACTGGCCTTGTATACTAAACACTACAAATACACACGCACATGTTGGTTACTAGTTCTCTCCTCAATATGAGACTCTGTGTTTGTCTGGAATCAAATGTTCAGCTCCAAGCATGGCTAGCTCTCCCATTAGCCAAGTGAAGGAGGCATGCCTGCCAATTAGTGTCTTATTCTGTTCTTGCTAATATTACTGTTCTGTCTCAGGCAGCAACATGTATTGGGTTGTAGTACTGAGCAATACAAAATATAATCACTTTAATAAGAAACACAATATGCTAAGCCTCCATCTAGGGGGTGAGGAAGTTTAAAACACAGTAAAATTTAATGAACTTCTATTTTTGTTGAGAATGGAATTTGCACAAAATGTGGCTACTAAAGCAACGAGGCTTTGAACTGAAGTGGCAGAAGTGTACCAGTTGCTGTATGCAGTTCTTTAAGCTAGAGGAAGTGAGGCTGAGGTGACATTGTAGGAAAGATGAGCAATCCAAGAAAGGCTAGTTTATTAGAATAAATTTTGGGTCATGTGTTTGTAAAGATTTTGACTTACATACATTTGTAAAAAAATGCCTCTTGCACTATTACATATATCTTTTACTGCTTTTCAGGTTTAAGTCAAGTCTAAGAACTAAGAGCACAATATCTTTAGATAAATAAAAGCAATACTGAAAAACTGAACAAATTCAAAAAGGTACTCTGTCATGCCTTGCATACAAAATACTGGATGAAAAATGATTAATTATGGGAAAAAGGAGAATTGGGTCACAGCCCCTTTTACAATAAAAGGTATATTTCTTTGATTTACTGCATATAGCACAACAGCATATAGCACAACAGTCTATCACCATCATTACCATCTTAGAACTACAGAGCTGGAAGGGACCCTTATGAATCATCAAGTCCAGGCTCTATCAAGGAAGAATAGTGGGAAACTGAACTCTCAGCCACTGTTTCTGCAGCCAGATACCTAAACCACTGAACTATCCTGCAGTTCTTAAATTACTGACCTAAAATTACTGTAAATGCAAAGTTCTTTTTCACTGGAATCTGAAACAGTAATTACTTCATTTGATATAAACTACATTTGATCAGACAAAGCAGCAATTGTCACTTCCACTGTCAGTAGTTTCAAGAGAAACAGCAATTTTGGCTGTAGAACACACATATCTCATGATGGCAAGATTTTAAAAAGCTATCATATTCTATCAGAATCTTTAGAGAAAAAAGCCAAGTTTAATACTGTGCAAGCTGACAAATGTCTATTCATCTACAATCTACATTGTTTTGAATGGCCAAAATACTACTGGATAGTTACACACTTGCAAGAGGAACTGTAGAAGTTCCACAGCCACTTGTGGCTAATGAAGGTGTGTCATCAGGTATACATCAATCAATAATGGCCATGATTCTCTTTGTATATGCATAGACCTCCACTAGGATTCTGGCTATAGAGACTTACTTACTTAGAGTAAGTATACAGAATTACAGGCTTACAGCACACATCTATGAATGTATATTTAGAAGCTAAATTCCACCAAGTTTAGTGGGATTGTTCCTAGGTAGGTAGGTAGGTATGTAGGTAGGTGTGATGTTTACCACGTGGCCCCTGCTTGTTTCACCAAACAAAGCCTCACACCACATTCCCTTCTGCTGCCACCAGTTGACCTCTGTTAACACCCTTTAATTAGAAAGATTGAGGTCCAAACTGAGTATAAAGTTGAACAGCACAGGTTTATTGATTACAGTTCACTTATACAGGTTCTTCTCAGACTTGAATGTATTCATTAGATTAGTAATAACTTGTTTCACTCTTAACTTTCTTAGCTCTCTGTAAGTTCCATGCTCTTAACTCCTAACTCTGCCACTCTCTACCACACCACAGACTAACTTCTACTTCAGACTCTCATCTCTGACTCTCACTGACTGAACTCCTCTAGACTCTGACTCACCCCTCCCTTCTAGTTTATCTGGCTCCGCCTCCCAACAGCTCCCATTGGTACATGCAAATAATGTACTATATGAACCAATGCAGGGTGATTGCCACTGCAGGTAGGTAGGTATAGGATTACAGCCTTATTCTCTTAACAAACGGTAGGCTGGGACATTTTGGTACCAGTGAGTACCACTGATAGATAAAGCAAGATAATACAAAATCAAAATAAAATTCACCTTTCCCCCCAGTTTCAGTTATTTCACTAAACAAACTAACAAAGAATGTACATAATATCTGAATACTGTATAAGGAAGCTTATAACTCATATGGTGTTTGCACTCATGATGAGCTTTCAGGGACATGCAACAGAAGCCATTGTATAGTATACATTGTAATACACACTGAATAATATACATTGTTTGTCTAGAGGTGCAGAAAATTTGTAAAGGACAGAGCCAAAGGAAAAGGAAGAAGAAAGCTTCTCAGAATTAGTACAGATTTCTCCTTTACATTAAAAACATTAGAAAAATGTGAAATGTGTTTTCAGATTGAGTACGTTTTGTAGCTAGTCCCGACCTTAAAAAATTAGAAATTAGTTACTGGGATAAGCCATGTGTATGCCTTTGTTTAGAAAGTGTCTTGGATTAAACATATTCATGTTATAAATGTCAAGTATATTTGCATTTAGACTGCATTTATGAAGGATAAAGTCCTACTAAACTCTATGGAGCTCATTTCTTAATTGAAATACTGTATATAGGATCACATTGTTATTCCCATCACAATTCCTTTGTCCTAGTTTGAAATATAGCTGTTCCTGTTTCCTAATAATAAATTCCATGACTGTCAGAGAAATTAAGTAACCTTATATTTCAGATGATAAATAGGCATGGTGAGCATGGCAAGCCAATTCTGGAGTAGGTACTGTATTACAATACTGGAGAAAACATATCTTTTAAATTAACTTTATCCCCTGGCACTTGGTTCAAATTCACTTTCCTAGGGCTGGACTCTAGATATCAAGTCCCCTAATTTGTTTTTGTTCCAACATGAGACTACAGTAGTGGTATATTAGTGGTCATTTGGTCTTCGTTCAAGTACTTATTTATAGTTAAAATCTCTTTTTTGGCTAAGTAGCTTAATACTAGGAATTGTGAACTAGTATCACAAAATATTTGCTTAATCTTTTCAATTTCCACAAACAGCGTCCTCACTCATTTGTTGGGATACAAAGACTCATTACCATCTCCTACGGAATAAGAGTTCCATAGTGATGAATCTTTTAAATTATTAATGACTGAATCTTTCTGTTACAGCTGGTCACATCAAGAAGATGAATGTAGTCTATCTGAACCATTTGAAGATCAATTGACTAACTTCCTGTAGGTTACATCTAGGCAATAATGACTTTGTTAGGGGAGCAATCCATTTCCTCCACTTCTTGTAACCTTCTGCATCCTTGTTAGAATCATAATTAAAGCTAAAATAAAAGGACTTGTAACATTTATTACTAAACAGGCAGCAAGTAGTACATTATATCATGATATATAATGAATATTAAAATACTGTTGTAATCTTCTTTTATATAAATCCACTCAAAAATAAGAAAACACTTTTCAGGTAGCAATACACTAAATATTCCCTATGTTAAACTCCAGGGACACCCGCATATGTGCTGAAGTGATATGTGCCAAGCACTCAGTGGCTGTTGGTGCAACTGGAACTCAGGTCTTCTGGAAGTAAACAATTACAGCAGCTAAGGCTTTGGAATTCATGCTGTTGGTAGCCCAATACAGGGAGGCTGGTTTGCAGGGTGGCAGGCAATGTGAAGTGGAAGGAAGAGGCTTAGAAAGTCTGTACTAATGTATGTCACACTGATTCAAGGGATCTACTCTAGATGGAACTAATAATAGGATTTAGACCTTGGTGTATCTTCTAATCCCTTATTCCCCATTCTTACTAACCTACTGTAAATGAAACTGTTGTGGCTTTGAGTGATTTCTAAGTTATGGCAATCTTCATAGGGTTTTTGAGATATGCAAGATGTTTAAAGAATTATTTACCATTGGTGTTTTCCCAGTGAATCTCCATAGCCCAACAGAGATTTAAATCCAGGTCTCCGGAGTCCAAGTTGGACACCCTATCCACTGTGCCACACTGGCTCTCAAAAGCCAGTGTAGCATAAAGGAAAATATAGTAATAGAATGCCTGTAAACCGTTTTCTCAGAAAAAGTGGGCCTTTTCTCTCTATCATGGTGGACAGACAGATTCTCTTGGTCTTCCAACTGTCATTCTGATGGTTAACATAGGAGTCACTCATTTCAGCTGTTGGCCTTCTAGCATCTGAAAGAATGTGATTGGGCAGAACAGCTGTAACTTTTCTTTTTCATCCTTTTGAGAAATGATGCCCACATTTGCTAGCAGTTTCTTACTGCACAACTATCACAAACTGCAGAAAAAAATATTCACTGTGTTCAAACCATATCAAACTCCTTCCATGCCCTAAAGGAACTTTTTTATATACTTTCATATTCTGCAGACTATACCTGTATCTTTACAGCTCTTTGTAATCTTGCCCCAGTCTCAGTCTTTATTTATTATTATATCATTCTTCATGATCTTCACTGCTTTAATCTCAACCAGTTTCAGTGTACTAAAGAACTTTTGTACTTAATCATAATTTCTGCATCATAAACTTGGAAGCTCCTCCCCAAACATGCTATGGGGTGCTGTGTTTCTTCTTCCTATTTTCCGCTGAAATTCAATATTTTCCATGAGGTTCTCCACTTAATTTGTTAATCCTTGTCTCAACACAATTTTTTTAAAAAAACGCAATTTGTTTTTCTACATCCAAATTTGTAATTCAGGCTTGTGGTGATAATATGCTATGCCATGTCTTCCCACAAACATATTGAATTGAGCCCATCAATATGCTTCTCAAAAGGTCAATTGAGCTGAAGAGCCAGACAATGAAGAACCATCATGTTTCTGTGTGAACCACATGCATGTTATAGTACTAAACTTTTAAAAACAAGAAAAATAAAATAAATACTGTAAGGGATCAAGCAAAACCATCACAGAGTTTAAATCTGTAATTTGTTATAATAATGTGGTGTAAAGGATACAGTATGTAACGAATTACATTACTAGAAAGCAGGAAATTTCTGCTGAAATGACTGCATAAAATCATATCATGAAAATTCTCCCTCCCATTCCTTTCTACATGAGAAATCTCTTTTGCTGTTACATTTTGAAAATGTAAATCCACAGTTCTAAAACTGTTCTAATGATGGCCATAAACTGTGGTTTGATTTGGTTTGGTGCAAACTATAGCTGGACAAAAATCAAGGGCAGATATATAGTTACCCTGGTTAATTCTGTACATGGAAGAAAGAGGGAATTCAGATGCAAAAGAGAGAGAGGAATTCATAATCCTGAGTCACAATTAGTAGATCCAGGCAGCATCATGCTTACAGTCAGTTGAAGTATTGTTCAGTGTCGTGGGCAAACTCGATTGTGGTTGAGTTGGTATGGTGTAGTGATGGAAGTACTGGTAGTGATGGAAGCATGCCATCAGGACCCTGATGGAAGCAGACCTGTATAAATGCTTTGTGAGTCTATTCTGAAAACTTTAAGACATAGGTATTCACTACAATGTTGTGCCTGTTATGCTCTTATCTATTTGAACATGTTTCTTTCTTTCTGTTTTTTACTTCCCAGATGGTGTTTAAATGGATCTTAAGCTCTAAGAATTGGAAAGTGACTGTCAGATTTCTTCCTTACATGACATGTCAACAAACAAATGAAATGGAATACATTTTACATTCATCACAAGAATCACGTCAGGTGCTGTAGCACTTTTACCTGACAAGTCAAAACTGTAAGACATGCTAAGAGGCCGGATTGCTGGAAAAAAAAGAAAGGAAAAAGAAATAAAAATGACAAAAGAAAAACAATACTGTTGTTAAGGCAATAAAAGAAACAGATGGTTAATTTTAGGAGAGGCATTAGACTGTTTTATATAGGCTAATCTAAATGTAAAATGGGTCAAACACTTCTTTACAGAATTGAAGGTGTAAAAGTGAACACTGCAACAGCATTACTGGAGGATAAAAATAACATGGATCCAGATCTGCACAGAGCTTGGCAAAATTGACTTTTCGGACTATAACTCACAGCATGGTCTGGTAATTATGCTGCCTGGTAGATTCTGAGACCTGTAGTCCAAAACAGGGACTTCTGCAAGCTCTAGACCCTGTTGTTCCTCATACAGAAAGGCTCCTTTATAGAAGTCGCTTAGAGACCACTAGGAAATGGACAAAATTATGTCTGTCCATTTCCCTTACCCTACTACAGCTCTATTGCCACCTAGAGGTACAGGGAGACGTGAAGAGGAAACAGGCAAAGTTCACCTTCCCACTTCCCACTGTGGGAGTATCCAGTTGGTTTGAGTTGCATTCTTCTGAATCCAGATTAATAAACATCTGAATCCTAATGTACATTTCTGTAAATAAAGCCCAGTTTATTCACTCTCCATTCAAACCAAGGAATTCCCCACTCTTGTGGTATTTCAGGAACATGAATGTTTTTAAAAAATCCTTAAAGCCTGTAGAGTCCTCATATACTGTTTGTGTCATATTCTTGCCAATGCTGCATATCAGGGATGCTGGTGTGCAGATGCCTGGCACACTGGAGCTATACATGAGATAGCCTTTTTTTAAAGTTAAACTGCTGCACACGTGCTCTAACATAAATAGGAGCATTCTTGCAGGCCTTGCAGACAAAGACAAACACCTTCTGTATTGTTCCGAAGTGACAAAGAGTTTAGTAAATTTGTTTATCATGGTTATATGAAACTGCATATACATATTTAAGGATGCATTAATACATGTTTCTGTTACATCATTTGTGCACAAAGCGATGAACAGATCTGTACATTTATATGCCTTGATTGTGTACAATCCTATTTTCCATAAGAAAATTATATTACTGTAGGAAATGTGTCATTTGAACTGACTCTGTAAGTACTTAGGATCATTGATAAAAGTAAAACAAAACATAAACTGCGAAACACTGAGAACTTCTACTGTAATAAAAGAACAAGCAGTGGGAAGAAAAACTATATCATTACATTTCTGCAAGCTGAAATACTCATATAATTTTAAAAATTAATCTCCTATTGTCTATGATTTAAGAAAGAACTGCATACAAATCAGTTTTAGCCATTTAACGGCTTAATAAAGACTGCATTTTGCTGGTTGTTAAAAGGCTATAATTTTAATTTTACCTGAATATAAAATGCAATAGTGATAAATATTTAAATTAAATTCAAAGGCAATATATAAGTCACATGGGTGCTAGATAAGTCATCCTATATAAATGTTACAAAATATATAACAGTTTAGATTTATTATTTTTCTCCTCATGCAATAAAATCTTTGAAAGCAGATGTAGTAGGCATACATAATATCTGCACTCAAAAGGGTCTGGTTGATTTGCCTCTGTACGGATATATGTAGTACCCCAGCTCTAATTCTAATTCTAAATTACTAAATATTAAAGAAGACTTTTCTTTCTTTCTTTCTTTCTTTCTTTCTTTCTTTCTTTAACTTATATGCCACCCACTCTACCTAAAGGTCTCTGGGCGGCTTACAATTAAAATTCAATTAAAATACAGTAGAGAGATTAAATGATTAAAATACAATTAAAATTGCCATCAGGACCCACAGTTGATGTTACTTCAATTAAAAGCCTTCTGGAACAGGACGGTTTTGACCTGGCACCGAAATTTCATCAACGTCAGTGACAGACAAATTTCAGACGGGAGAGCATTCCATAGTCTGGGGGCAGCTGCCGAAAAGGCCCTTTGTCTACAAGCCATCCCTCTTACCTCCTTGAGGGACGGCTCTTTCAAAAGGGCCCCCTGGCTAGATCGTAACTGCTGGGTAGGCTCATATGGAAGGAGGCGGTCCTTCAAGTATCCAGGGCCCAAGCCTTCAAAACCATCCAACTATCCCTCTTTGTAACAGAATGATCTGGCTGAAAAACAATTTACCATTTTCCCCTAAGGGGAATTAATTTCTATAAGGGGGCCACATGAAAAATCTGAACTGTGTTCGGGTGCCGAACCAACTTTACTTAAAAATAAAATAAAACAGCGATGTTATGGTTGTTTTTATTTTAAACTTGTTAATCTTCACAAATACTAAAGAGGTTTTTTGCAGTATGTTAAAGATAAGCAACTGATCAACTTTAGACAAAAAGTTATAAATGGTTTTGATGTTCAAAACTGTCCACAGGCCGGACAGGAGCGGCTTGTGGGCCGTATGTGGCCCTTGGGCCGCACTTTGCCTAGGTCTGCCCTAAGGGCTTCCTCAACATGCATCTTTCAAGGGCTTAAAATTCATTCATTTTTCCAGCACAGAAATATAAACTCAATAGTTATATTATGATGGTAACTTAATGGGGAATAATTTCAGATCTTTAGGTGTTCTTAAGAAGTACTTGTAGTTATATTATGATGGTAACTTAGTGGGGAATAATTTCAGTCCTTTTGCTCTGTCTTTGAATTTTTACAGTTTTTGGAGTATGGACTCACAAATTATGAAGAAGGAATACTACATGACTCAAGTGGTGGCTTATATGCATCTTCTACATCTGCCACCTCTCACTTTGTTGTAGATTTTTTAAAACAGATCTTTAGGTGTTCTTAAGAAGTACTTAAAATCCAAATTCAAGCTTTTGCGAGCCATGAAAGTAAATGTGATTTTAAGAAGTTCTAATTGTGATGGCTTTCTTAAATTAGAACCAAAACTAATTACTTTTAAAAGAAACGTCCTAATGTCTCTTATAACAATTCCCGAAGATGACCACAGAACTACAGGAGGAATGACTGAATGGTTTGAGTAAAGCTATCAAGTAAGTTCATCTGAAACAGCAATTTTCTGGCTTTCAAGTCATAATCTTCACCAGAGAAATCAGCCTATAGTAAGATTTAGTTGCAGAACCTATATACTACTAGGTCTAAAGCAGTGGTGCCCAACCTTGGGCCTCCAGATGCTCTTGGACTACAACTCCCAGAAGCCTTCACCACCATCTCTGCTGGCCAGGATTTCTGGGAGTTGAAGTCCAAGAACATCTGGAGGCCCAAGGTTGGGGACCACTGGTCTAAAGTATGGGCATTCTATATTGTCATCCGTACAGTTCTAAACAATGTTGCAAAATTTCAGGCACCTGCAATGTACAGGACAGTTTAATGGACAAAAAAGGAGCTGAGACAATTGGAATTTTCAGTGGTTTCTAGAAATATAAGATGCATACAATTAACCCTAACCTTAACCTTACTGCTAACTTTCAATACACTAGAATTCTCATGGGATCAGAAAACACACTCACTCAGAGTATGGCTTTTTATTCTGATGGATGAGAGTTGAAAGCACTCAGATAGCTTATCATTTCTTTTAGACAATGGTAGTCTCTGAAAAAGCAAAGAATCTGGACCAGCTGATCTTTTTATTAGGCTGAAAATATTTGTGCAATGAATCAAAGAAACAGAATCTAAAAAGTCATGTTATGTGGGTGAGGGACATAGCTTCTCCCACAGCTGTTCTGTTCTGAGACCTTTTTAAAAAAAAGTGTTATGCTCAGAATTTGTGTAATCCATATTTGGAGTACTTATACAGTGTTTTTTCCCATGAAGTATCAAACATCAACAGAGAAATCCTTTCCTTTATGTCAATGTTCCATTATTTCCAAAACATTTTTTCCATTTAGTTGTTGGGATAATATGTGTTATCCTGTCTACTGCAGCAGCATGCACATACCCTGAATTTTCTTATAGGCCAGAAAACAGAATAGAAAAGAACACACTTCCTTTTCTTCATCCCTTCACACATGGATTTCATATCACAATTCAAATTGTCTTTGAATGGAAACTTGAAGGACCACTGAGCTAACACTACAGGGAAGCTGGAGCATGCTTCATTTATTGTCTGATAAGCCCCAAATGTTGATTAGAAATTATAGAAACATACAATTAACAACACGATACACAAAAACAATTTTCTGTGCTTATACTGGCGCTTTCATATCTATAAGGGACAGAAAATTCAAGTGTACTCATCACGTCCTAAAATTAAGTTTTATTTTGGTTTTATTCAGTATCAGATTAGGAGGATATTTTTTGTTTCTAGAAAATCACTTCTTGTATATGTGGCAAAAGTCTGCTACGTGAGAAAGTAACACTGAAAGATTAATGCAAAGATGAGAAAAGTGGGATACATCTGTTAATATACTGTTTTTGTCAACTAATATCAAAATCAAAATACTTACCTAGCCTGCTACGTCTGATTTCATTGGGAGAAACGGGTCTCAGCTTTCTTTCAGACTTGATTTCCTCCAGTATTCTCTCATGCAGGCTACGTGGTCGTGGTGGGGTTGGTTTCAGTTTCCTTGCAGACACCTAGGGAATATTAAAGTACTGTGTGAGATTTACACCACTAGTGATGCTTATCAATAGATTACCATTACTGTTACATAAGCTGGATAGCTAGATTAGTATGTTTCCTATAACTCCTATGTTAACCATCAATCATAAAAACTTCAGTCTCATAGAGTACGGCAAATAGAATTTTTAATATGCTTCTGTTAACTGTGTATTAGCAATTTTCTACATATAAACAGCTTATTATAATTCACTGTTTTATACCTTGGGCTGAGGACTAAAAAGATCTGTATGCAAAATATTTGACTAGGCAGATCTTCTTTTTCAGTGGCAAGCCTAACATCTCATGGTATGCTACTTGGAGAAACTATAATTTTTGAGGTTTTTCTGGAGAGCTGCCAGGCAGAATGAAAGGCCACATATTCTGTGCTTTGTATGTCAGACTTACCTTACACAAACTTAGTATGCAAGAGATAAAGCCAACAGAGATTTCTCACTTTATGACAATTGGCCCCGCTAAAATTATGCCCTTTTGAGTGACAATACAACAGTATTTCAGCCAGTAAGTGAATTAACCATGTACTGTTCACTAATTAGGAAAAAGCAGTATTCAGAAGCATATGAAGCTCCAGTCTGAAGGCACCTAGAACTGAGTGCATTAGTAGCATTAATTCATTGTGTAAAGGGAAATATTCTGTCATTCAAAGTGAATACATTTCTGTTACAGAATTGCTAAAAGACAAAGTCCAGAGCAGAAATAATAAAATTTATGTTCATACAAAAGAAAAACAGCAATAACTATGAACTACTTAAAAGAAAATAAAGACCAAGATTTAGTAAGGTACACCTGCTGACAGAATTGCTTCTGTTAGTGGAACTGAGAAGAGCGAACTCTCCTTCCCACCAAAAGCCTTTTATGCTCTCCAAGAAATGGCTCTGCAAGGCTTGGATCCAGTTTCTGAAAGGTGTTGACTCTGCTGAGGACTATAACAAAGGGAAGGGGATGGGGGGAAAGTTCTTCCACAGGGCCAATGCATTTAGGCTGCATGAAGGTCACAATAAAATTGTCTCTATACAACTGAAGGCTAAAAGATGGATATAACACAATAAAATTCATTGAACCTGAACTAGATCTATTTTAACAATCTGATTTTACATAACCTAATCCCGTGCCTCGCCTACTCTCCTTGAAATGGTCAATACAAATGTGTTCACATTGTGGTAGAAATTGTGCATTCTTAATGTGGAAGATAAACTATTACTTGGCCTTCACATCTGAGATTAAAAAGTTGTGTGTTGAAAACTCAGTATGAAATTACACTTTCAAAGGGCAAAACAGGAGATTATGGATGAAATCATTTATTTCCTTTTATCTATAGATAAATAGGTGCCAAAGATAGTATTAAAGCGTTACAGAATGCGGACACATAGTCTGGCAGGAATGAAAACCTCCCAGTTAGCTAGAAATAGACTTAGTCCAAACAGTTTTGTAAGGAAGTTCTTCTATTAAGTCCAGAGGGAGTTTTCTTATTGCATACAAGAGAAACAAATCAAAAGTGCAATTGCTGGTGTCACTGCACAGTCAGGGTGTGAGAAAATACGACACTGTCTGGGTAGGACTTGGTCATCGAAGAGAAAGGAAGGGTATAAAATCCAGCATAGGAAGACTTACAGAGAACAATATAGGAATCAGATCAGAAAGTAATCTGTGGAGTTTATTTTAAAAGAATTCCTAGAATTGTTTTTCATTTTAACTATGCATCTTAAGGAGGAAGGGGTAGATGCTGTGGTTATGGTTACAATCTAAGCGTACTGAAAGCAGGAGGACTGAAATGTATGTAATGAAAGCAAAGTGCATAAAAAACTGTCTTTACTAAAAAAAAATTGAAGTACATACTGGATTTAATGGTGGTCGAGACCGAATAAAGTCCAAGATAATTTCATGGGCACTCTTTTTTAATCGTGGAGGAATGTCTCCATTGACCTGTAAAGTAAAGAAAGCTCTTTTTTCCCTTTTTCTTGGCAAATCCACATTATATAACAACTAACAATCCAAGCAAGGCAGTCTTAACCTAACATGATTGCAGAAATGACTTAACAGTTTTCAGTAAGTTAAGAAATGTCATAGAGAAGATCATTACATTTGAACTTAAGAACTTCCTTGCTCAGCACTCCATCCACTACAATTGCCAATAGAAAGAAAGCACAGTAGGAACAGCTTTGGTTATTACAACTGCTGATGGTGCTCCCCCTTTAATTTCTTTTGCAGCTGACCTTGCTTGTGCAGAACAGGCTTTTCATAGAATCACAGAATTAGAATGTTTGGTGCGGAAAAAGGAGAGGGCCTTTTCTGTTGCTGTTCCCAGATTTTGGAACTCCCTCCCACTGGAGGCCAAGCTGGCCCCATCTTTGCTGTAATTTTGTAAGCAGGCAGATTTTTCTCTTTAGGCAATCTTTCCTTCAGTGACTGGCTGCCTGAGTGGGGTTTTAAATGGAATGCTGTGCTTTACTGCTTTAAATATATTTTTGGTGCAGCTTTTGTTACCATTTACATATCTACATTATAAACTCACACCTCCAAAGATACCCATGGTACAGAAATTTTGAACACATGGCTTCATTTTTGTCTAAATATATACAGTATAATATAACCATCCCTGAGAATAAGAGGCAAAGAGACAATAGAGACAACAGACAGGCAGCAGATCTCTGTGCCACGTGATATCTACTTTACAAACAGAGGTAATCTTAAAGGCAGTTTTAGTGGGGGGGAAAGTAAGAAAAGCCACAGGGACTGATCTACAGAATTATGAGATTAAAGTGGCTCTTTAGTTATCAGACCTAGTTCTATGGCTATCGGTGCAGAATCACATATCTGAAACACAGTGGAAGATGACATTTTCTTTTTATCTTATGCTGCCACAGCTTACCATAACCTTCCTTAATGTATATCGTTTGGATCGAATATCATCCATCAGCATCTCATATGGAGTGAGTTGATACTCTATGGGAAGAGGGTTATACTGACGTTCTTGAACCTTCTTTAGTTTCACACCATTTCGCAAGTCTCGCATGACCTGCACCCAGAATTGGGCCTGAAGAATCAAGAAAAAGAATACATCTTAGAATCCTTATTCAAATACTTGCCTATTCAGAACTGTGATGAGCTACATTAAATCAAAACAAGGACCAAAATTCTCTTAGTTACGTCGGCCAGCATACAGCAATAAAGGTAAACTCAGTAATGAATTGCCATATATTAAAAACTCAGCATTGGCATTTGCTGTTGTGCACTGGTTTGTGTGACTCTGTATGCAATAGCAAATGCCTATGCTAACTTCTTAATTTGTGGCAATTCACTGCTGAACTTTATGATGATTGCATTACACTAGTGAAAAAACTAATATGTATTCGCGAAGGCTTTCATGGCCGGGATCTAATGGTTGTTGTGGGTTTTTCGGGCTTCTTGGCCGTGTTCTGAAAGTGGTTCTCTCACAAACTAGCCTTCTCACAGCCATAAATACTCCACCCACTCTCAAGCCTACCCAGAGCACAGTTTGCTGTCCTCTGAAGATGCCGGCCACAGAGACTGGAGAAACGTTAGGAAGAACCACTTTCAGAACACGGCCAAGAAGCCCGAAAAAACCCACAACAAAACTAATATGATTCTGTACAGTATTTTCTAATCTAAATAAATATAATGTATTTTTATTTTCTGCTTTTCTTTCCAAATTACAAAATTTTTAATTTTTAAATATAAGTTTAAAAATACAATTTAAAAAAATTATAAAATTTTGTGGAAGCTTTGTAAACTTCTATAAATATCTATGGACATATATAGCAAAGTATGCACAGATATTATATGATACTTTAGTGCACATACCTGTTTTTCTTGAGAACTCATTGTTACATATACAGCACTGATGTTACCTAGCACATACCTGTTTTTCTTGAGAACTCATATCTATTCCTAAGTTTTTTTTACATAACTAAGCATTTAGTTCTATCACCATTCATTGCTATATTAAGAACTTTCAACAAACAGAAAATGGCAAAATCCTGTTGTTTAATATAATGCATCAAATTAGAGTAGGCACACTGAATCACTGGAGTTTTGGTGAGTCAATTCTTCCATAAGTTCCAGTGATTCAAATGGGCCTAGTTTAGTTGTGACTTACTACATTAAGCAACAAGATTCCATTCAATATTTTGAACCTCATATTGAGTCTGGAGATGATATCGGAGGACTAGATTGAATGAGTTGAATCATGTCAGGAACACTGCAAAGTCCAGCTCTGCCTAGAAATTTTGAAACAACACAACACTGCTCTTTTTTTTTACTCTGTTGATCATTTGCCCTGTGCGTGTTAAACTAATCAATGTCACTTTTCATCCCTACCAAAGGATGAAGATAGTAGCAAAATGATGGTAAACTACATGTATAAGAAAAATTAGAAAAACATTATGTACCAAAGTTTATCATCATTGTTTATGTTTTCATTATCAGCTGTAATAGAACTTTCACCCTTGAGTGAACTGTTTACATCACACATACTGTATATTTAAAAAGTAGGGCAATACTTTTGTTTTTACAAAATGAACTACTCTAGTAGATACTGGAATAAGTATTTCTATTCTAAAAGTTATTTACTTATTCATGCCATTAACTCCTTTTATTTTCCAGTCAGTTAAAAAAAAAACTAGTCATGACAAATAGTTCTTTACAAGTCTACACAGGGGAAAGATAAAGCAATACTGTGATGTTTTAACTCATCTACTGGTATCATTTAGATGTGTTCAATGCCACTACCACAGAAGCAAGTTTCCTATTAATCCGTCATCATCCTCAATTACAAGTCTCTATTTCTTTAATTACTTTTAAACACAGTATGAAAAGTTATCAAAGCTTGTCTTAGCTTAGTCATCATTAATACTGCAATCTTCAGTATATTTACACAAACACAAAAATCCTACGGTATTCAATGAAACCTACTCCCTAGCAGCAAATAAGATGCTCAAAATGACATTCTTTGGAGTGAAGAAGCAAAATATTTCAGTGTTTGTTAGTTAAAAGTTTGTCTATTCAAAGTTGTGTTTATGGCAATATTTTATCACATCAGATTCTGTTCAACATTTCCCAACATAAAAAAACACACACAAAAAAAGCTAACACTGGAATGGGATTCAGTGCAGTACAGGGGGCTATAGACGGATGGGAAATGAGCAAAGCATAACCTTTACAGATGAAAGGAACCACCTCCTATACAATTTACTATATAAAATATGCATATAAAATCCAGTTTTGACACACTCTGGAAGTCCAATGCATTTCACTTTAATATTTCTAAACTAAAATTATGCACATCTCTGCCTTCTTTCAGGCAATTATATGCATGTACAGTATATCATAAAGAAATAATACATGAATAGTAAATGTTTCTCCTTCAAATCAATACAGAATATTTGCCATTATTCTCTTAACAACATTTACTACATTACTGAAAGGCATTCTTACCCAATCAGCATTTTTTAACTCATCAAGATCTGTGCTAGATTCATCATTTCCTCCCTGGTCCATTTCCTGCATCTTCTTCAAATTCTGTCAAGTAAAAAAAGTTCAGTGTAAAAATCACCACTTATATTGCCCAAAGCTTCTAGGGCAGTGGCTCCCAGTCTTGGGTCCCCTGGTAGTCTTGGAGTACAACTCCCAGGAATTCTGGCCAGTACAGCTAGTAGTGAACTCCTTTTGGGAGTTTTAGTCCAAGAACTTTGGAGAACCCAAGGTTGGAACCACTGCAACTTCAATACATTACTTAGATTTTGTATAGCACTTTCAAATATTCAAAGCATTTCACATGCACTATCCAGCAGCAAGCTTTGTAGTAACCTTTAAAACATGCCATCTATATAAATATATTTTATAGTCAATTTTATAAACATCATCATGTGCTATCAAGCCAATTCTGACTTCTGGTGACCCCTTTCAGGATTTTCCTGGTTCAAGATACTCAGAGATAGTTTACCATACCTTTCTCATGGGAGCGTCCTGGGACTGTGCGGCTTGCTGGAGGCCACACAGACACCTAAACCACTGAGCTGTCCAAATTAAACCACAAATTGCTGGGTCAGATCTTTTTAAAAATAGAATTGTACAGGGTACCCCAATGGCAAAGTACCAACATTTCCTCTCATTTTATGCCATGGCTGGGTGGGGACTCTGCCCTGTACACACAGGCTTCCAGCCATGACCAGAATCATTTGGGTGGCAACAGTGGCTGCAGGTGCATGGCGCCAATGCAGCACTGCATGTGAGTGCTATGCAATGTTCTGTCTAAGGATGGGAGAATCAAATCTAGCATTTTTATAGCTATCCTTTGAACCATTGGATCATCTAGGACAAACTGGTTTTTGGGTTATAGGGAGTCCTCCCTACATATTTGTAAAGATTCGTAAACATTTCCTCCCTTCAGAGGAACATTTCGTCCCACAACATTTTTCTACGCTCAACAATAAACCACCCTCATGCTAAAACCAGTCAACCTGTGAACTCAGGAGACTATAAGGGAGCGCTCTGCCATTGCTGCTGCACAAAATTTTGCTGCAGAGCATGTAATAAGAGAGTCTTTATCAGAAAGAAGTAGCTTGATGTAAAATTCATCAGGTTTCCCTGGATATCTGAGAATAATTGGGCGCAGGAGGTCAGTGCACATACCTCTATAGAAAAGACAGCACAGTAAGACATTTTACTTACTTATTTACTTATTGAGCTTATATGCCGCCCATTTAGACATAGTCTACTCTGGGCGGCTCACAAAACACGTAATAAAAACAATTAATATGAAATATCAGTTTCCAACGTTAACACAAAACAAAATAGATAAAGATAAAGAGAGAGAATTACGTAGTGTCCGGAGGGAAGGCCTGTCTATATAACCAGGTCTTGAGTTGGTTTTTGGTTTTGAGTTGACCTACAATTTCTACTTGGCCATTGTTACATGGACACAGGCAATCTGAAATAGGTATATATTGAAATTTTCCCTCCATGAGCTTAGTGGGTGAAACATAAAGTCTTGCTAATGTGAAGGCTCTTCTAGTGTTTGTTGCCATTGTGCTTGTCAAATATGAAGATATTGTAAAGGCATTATTAGTAACAACACTGTATTTGCCTGACCGGCTCATATGCTCTTGAAGTTCTATGTCCCAGGTTCTTTGTTTGAGTGCTGCTTTAGCATCGACATGCCCCATCGCCAAAAGAATGTTGGTGGAAAAACCTATTTGCCTTATTTCTTTTGTGAGTTGTAGTTTCCAGTCTGATTGAAAAGAGTCAAAAAGTGACATCTGTGCTAAGCCTTCTGAAGAGAAGCTTTAGCCAGTAATTAAACATATGGGCTTTGGCACATGCTCTTATGGCGATTAGGCCAGCCTCCCAATGAAGGGCTACATTAGGTGTACGGGGGGGGGGGGACAGTCAGAATAGATCTCAAAAATTTGGTTTGAACCACCTCAAGAGGACATACGTCAGATAAAGCAAACAAATGACAGCCGAAGAGCATTTGAGCAACAACTTTAGCCTTGAAAACCTGAATGGCTGAGGGGATATGGTGACCCCCTTGGGTGTGAAAAAATCTTGTTAATGCCGCTGCACTTTTATGAGCATTCAGTGCTGCATACTTTATGTGGGGGCCCCAGGAACCTGAGACGTGAAAGATTATGCCCAAATATTTGTAGCTGGAAACCTGCTCTATGGGATAACCATTGATAACCCAATTGTGCTTCACTGTTCTTCTACTGACGACGAGAACTTTGGTCTTTTGGTAATTAATTACAGTAATAACTGCTCTTGATTAAAGTGGGAAGAAAGAACTCTCAAGAGTCTTCTCAGTCCCACATGTTAATGAGAGTAGAACCATATCATCTGCACAAAGCAGGACTGATACATGATGTGAGTGCAGTTTGGGGGGATGATATTCAGGCTTAGATAAATCTTCAACTATATTATTAATACAGAAGTTAAACAAGGTGGGAGCCAATATACATCCCTGTCTGACCCCATTGAAAACTGGGACTGGATTGGATAGAACTTCAGCTGGATTACAGAGGACTCTCAGATGGGTATTTCCGTACAGTCATCTCACTAGCAGAAGCAGCGGTCTGTCTATGTTCGTAGATTCAAATTTGGACCAAAGTTTATTTCTTGGGATAAGTTCAAAGGCAGACTTAAAATCAATAAAGGCTGCATACAAGGTGCCTCCTTAGGGGGAGGAGAATTTATGAGCAAGATGTTGTAAGATAAAGCTCTGATCCAAGGTAGACTTTCCTGGCCTAAATCCTGCCTGCACATCGGTCAATGTGTTTTCTGCTTGAAGCCAGTCCGAAAGCCTGCCCAGTAGATACCTTGCATACAACTTACTGATTGTACTAAGTAGGCTTATTGGACGGTAATTAGCTGGGTCTCCTCTATTGCCTCGTTTAAATATTGGTATTATAATGGCTAATCCCCAGTCCTCCAGAATACACACTGTATAATTAATACAGGAGAATAGGGAGGCCAGGCCTGGGGCCCACCAGTCCAAGTTGGCCTTCAATAAGTCTACTGGGATATAATCAACACCAGAGGCTTTATCTGATTTTGTCTGGCAAATTAATGAGGAGATTTCACCTGGAGTAAATTTTCGTAAGGTGTAAACAAATCTGAAGCACTCTCTGGATGCATATCATAAATGCTCTGGAAATACTGTTCCCAGACCATGGGGAGGATGCAACAGTCGGGTTTGGGAGAGTAGTCCCACATACTACCCTCCCTCCGCCACAATCCTCCAGAAGGAGGCTGAGTCCTTAAGTTTGGATGCTAATATCAGTCATCCCCATGTCCCTCTCTGAGCTTGATACTTTTCCCTCCTAAACAAGGCTTTGTAATTTTTCTTGAGTATAATCCAGTCTGGAGGAATCTTAGCTAGCTTCTATGTTTTGTGCCACATATATAGGGCTATTAGATCATGCTTTGCTGTTTTACATTCTGCATCGAACCACGATTTAGAGTGGACAGCTTGGGAGGGTGTAGGCTGTCACTTTCTGTATGTCCGATAAGGTTCCAGATGATTTATCAGCCCTTTATAGGCCTCTAGGGCAGCCAAGATTGAGTCGGCTGATACTACAGCATTATCTAAAGAGGAAAGGGGCTCACTTAATAGTAACTGTTATATAGAACATTGCATAGCACTGACATTTTTTTGTCAGGTACTATGCAAGTTTCTTACTTGTACTTCTGGGTTTTAACTGTTATCCTGCATTCATACCTACCTTTTTAAAAGCACGATAATGACTATATCTTGTTCTATTTAGTGATAGAAATCCCAACACCATTACCATATTAAATACCTTGACAGTTTCTATCAGTATTTACCTAAAACTGGAATTTTATACATTTCCATTTCAAATAAAAAAGAACCTTTTCTATCTAATATTCACCACTAATAAGATGTCATAAGTTGTTTTTTAAAAAATTAATGATCCCAGAAAGAGTTAACATCTGTTGGAGAAGATGATACAGGGAAGTCGCTCCAGGGAGATCATTTAAAAGCTTTTGCCACTAACATTGTTCCTCTTTCTTTCTTTCTTTGTTCTAGTTCTACTGCCTTCTTACTTCATGAAAAATGCTTACAAAGGGGAGAAAAGCAGGTCAGGGCAGGGAATAGAGATTTGTCAAGCAAAGTCTACTGATTTATTTTTGTATTTCAGTGTTGGAGACCAAATTCATCCTGCAGAAAGATAAGTGTTATCTCCTGGTAGGCAAGATAAAATGTACCCACATCAGGTACTAATGGAAATTAACTTCAGTACACTACATTTCATTGCAAGTATTCTGCCAACATGAATCAAAATCAATGGTAGGAAATCTCCAAAGCTCCAGAGGCTTTATACCCACAACCCCTGGAACTCAGATCCTTGTGCCTGTTTCTATTACCCCTCCCCCAACATATTTTTCCTATACTTTTGGGTTTGTTTTGTGGTTTTTTTTCTTTTACTGAAAATGCCCCCTCACATCCTCCAGTGGCCAGATTGTAAAAAGTAATACTTTTGGAGATAGGTGTATGGAAAACTTGGCCCCATAGCCCCTAGAGGGCACAAGGAGATTTTTGAGAAAAACTTGTTTGTTTTTTTAGATGTGGTAAAGGGATGCTGGGCGCTACACTTGGACCTGTAGGGGTGCATGCAGCCCTGAATCCATCTTACAGCCCTGAATCCATCTATGGAACCTACATTAAAATTTAACCACATATAATGTACAAACCACTGAAACTGTCATTTTCAAGTTGCACTTAAATGAAAGTTGTTGTTGTTACATGACATCAGAAATGGCTTATAGCAACCCCACTTAAATGAAAGTTGTTGCTGTTACATGACATGACATCAGAAATGGCTTATAGCAACCCTAAAAGGGCCTGCAAGATAAGTGAGATATTTAAGGAGTGGTATACCAGTTCTACTTCCTCAGCGAGTTTCCAAGGCTAAGTGGGGAGTTGAACCCACGTATCCTGAGATCTAGTCTGTCGATCTATCCACTATACCACAGAGTATCCTCCTGCTTATTCTGATTTATCATGGGTAAATTAATTCATGGTGCCCAGCTGCAAATGCAGCAAGCAGAAGCAGATGAACAAGCCATGCACCTTCCATCCACAGTTTGTTTATTGTAGCCTCTGAATCTTATACTTTGTCTTGTCTCTCCCCAGACAGGCCAAGAGCCATAAGCTTAGTGGTTCATATGACTGCGTTTATATGAATATAGGAGATCTGTAAGATCTGAGAATAGCCCCATGCAATGTAGCACAGATGACTAAACAGGTGGTGCCAATCTCGTAATTATAGAGTCTAGGAAAGTCCATTCATGTATGCAGAGCAACAGAAAAATATAACTCTAAATAGGGGCCATGCATCAGGACATAAGCGTGAATTGATATACTCAGCTGAAGGTGATATACTGATTCCTTTAGGGTAGGTTTGAGCAGACTCCCCAATTGTCCTGTTTTCTTCTTTTATCACTGTGTGATCCAGTATAAAGATTTGCTTCCACCCTCCTTCTACTCTCACAAAACTGCCTATGACCCACTTTTTCTCTCCTAGAAGACTCAGAAATCCAAATTTGCCTAAACACGACCTATATGACTTCCTCAAACAGAAATGGAACCCACAATAGTTTACATGGGTCCCACAATTTTCACCTTGTTTCTATAAACCTGTGTCTGTTCTTGCAGTGAGTATGCTTTTTGAGTTAGTATTCCCAGTCTTTAGCAGAGCCTGGTCATGGAATTGTATCGCATTTACCTAGTTACTTGTTTTATTTACCTAGAGTGTGTCAGACTGTTTTTCCCTTGGGAGATAGTTGATTCCTTATTAAAATCCGCATAGTAAAATTTTCCCTCCTTGGACAAAACTGCTGTATACTTTTAATTCATGTATGTTCAGAACAGAGTGCCCTGTAGAAATTTACCTTGGGTTTTTGGGTATATCTAAAGGATATTCAGGAATTGATTATGTCTAAAGTATATTCCTAAGGCTACAGACAGCTCTACATAAAATCTTCATACTAGACATTTTAAGCATGTTGAGTAAAACCTTGTCTGAAAAGCCATTTCTCTCATTTCAGAATATAAAATATTTCATAAGATTGTTTTTACTATTCCCCAAACTACTACTTTTTCTTCTGGAACTACTGAAAAAAAGGCCATGAGAAGAAGAGGATCCTCTAGATCCTGTCTAAACAGAAGGAGGAGGAGGAGGAGGAGGAGAACAACAACAACAACAACAACAATTATTTCAAATGATGCAGCAGAATGATCTGTTGAAGTAAAAGAAAACATCTAATTCATTATTGCCCCCAAAGTATGCTCTAGCACTGAATTAGCTCACACGGTCTAAGCCACTCTAGTAAACAGCTACAGTGGTGCCTCGCATAGCGAGGTTAATCCATTCCGGATTAACCTTCGCTATAGCGAAACATCGCTGAACGGGGCAGGAAAAGCCATTGGAACACATTAAACAGTGTTTAATACGTTCCAATCGGCGCCTTTACTCACCGTTCAGCGATGTTCCGGGATGGCCGGCAGCCATTTTCGCGCCCTCCCCTTGCTTAACGAGGGCGCGAAAACACTGCGCGTGGCCATTTTGGGGCTTCCGGCGGCCATTTTGGGCCATTTCGGGGCTTCCGGCAGCCATTTTGGCCGCCGAACAGCTGGTCGTCGGGGCTTCATTTTGCTTACCGATCTTCGCAAAGCGAATTTCGCCCTATCTAAAAGTCGTTGAGCGATTGCATTAGCAATCCCAAAAAAGGGATCGCTATGCAAGCAATCCCAAAAAAGGTGCGCTCGTTAAGCGAGGCACCACTGTATTTTGGTCCCAATACGACAAAGTCTACTGAATGAATATTTGGTTACATGTGCAGCTCACAAGCTTTTGCTTTGACCAATACGACAAAGTCTACTGAATGAACATTTGGTTACATGTGCAGCTCACAAGCTTTTGCTTTGAATTTTGATTAATCTAGCTTGTAAATTTGTCCTAACCCAACAAATTAGTGAGAATTCTGTACAGTTTTTGGATAATGTCCCCTTCAAAACAAGGGTTATAATGCTGGCTTGTTTCAACATAATACAGATAAGATGAAACACACATTTTAGGTACAATGTTAAACTGTGGTTAATCCACAATCAAAAAATAACACAGAAAGCCTCTGATATTTTCCTCAAAACTGTACCACAGAAAGAAAGAGGAGGTGAAGAATGAATGAGCCTAAGTGTCAATAAAGTGGGTTCCCATCATCATCAATGATGGTTTGTTACTAGGGCCATCCTAGCCATTAGCCAAAGTGAGATGGTCACCTCATGTGTAAGAGTGCTGTGGATGGCATTAGGTTGCCACTCACTCTGCACTGCTGGCTGTCACAATTAGCTCTCTAGGTCTCAGCTATTTGAACTATGTCCTATGACAGTCCTTGGGGCAAAAACAACAAAAGACATACCTATGCATAGGTGATATTTTGATCACAAGGTCTAAAGCATTTCTCACATAGCTAGCCAGGGTATGCACATGGGTGATCTTAATGAAAAGGCATTGCCACTTTTCCTCTTCCTTCCCTCCAGTAAATGCTGGAGGTAGGGGAGATGGCAGCAGCACTTCTCTTTCTGTTTTAGGTAGCAAACTGAGCTTGAACTGGCCATGTTTTTCATGACATTTGCTGATGTAAACCTGCTTTTTAAATGGTAAAGACACTCATTTGTATATTATCAAACAACATTTTGAAACTCAGTGGCTGAAATCATCCACCAGCAGGCAGAGAATTTCCATAATTAAAGATTTCCCCCTTCTCTCCCTCAGCTTTTCCAATTTACGAATAATCAGATTCACGGTATGGAAGTTGTGTAAGCTGTAAGACAGAAGGAAAAAGTCTTTCATTACAAAAAAAAATTCACACCAGTAACATAATCTGGAGGCGATGATTTTTGGTAAAGAAAGCTTTCTTCTTCTATCTCATAGGCCCTGCAGTTTCCTAAGTCTTTCACTACCTAAAGGTTTGCTCTGCTGGTGATATCACTGTTCTTCTGCAGGAGCAGTTGTGGCAACAGGATTTTAGCCAGTGTGTAAAATCATACTAATGTAGAGAAGTAAAAAACAACTCTCAGAAATATGTAAACTCAAGTAACTCATCCTACTTACCTCTCTTGCACTTTTAATTCTCGCCAAGAATGTGTATAACTCCATTGTTTCAGCAAAGAGTGCTCGGCATACTGCTTGATAATGATTTGGTGCATCAGATCGAGTTGGTAGATGGGCAGCACAGAGCTGGAGAAAAAAATAATAATGATGAAAGTGTTCATGTTCTAGAGTAAAAATAAATAAATAAAATACCTGTTTTTGGAATATATCAGAAAAAAATATATAATCCACATACATATACTCCATTTGTAGAAACAATGTGCATGACAACATAGGTTTATTACTCATTTATACTGTCACTATTGTATCATTAAGAAAACTGGAGGAATGGCCAGAATTCCCGAGTCTTGATTGGCTCTATCATTCTGCTCAAGAATGAGATATACTGTATGTTAATACACAGAAAAATGTTCCTTGTCTAAGGTTTGACTCATCTTCAATCAGGGAGCTGTGTTTGTACAAGTATGATACAAGTAGGCCTAGTGTGGACTGAACCAGTGGTACTACCATTTTGTTTTTGCTGTTCTTTTGCAGAGTTACAATGAAACAATGGGGGAGTACACAGGTTAGGAGTATTACAAACAGAATTAGAAATAGGTACATGCTATTGGCTAATAAAAGGAAGGAAATAAAGATTTTTATTGACAGACCAAGGAGAACAATATTCTTTTTAAGCTGACTTTAGATAAAGGTAAAACAACATGAAAACAGAAAACATCCATTTTTAAAATTAAATCTGGCAGATACAAGTGAAATATTTTGATCCTAAATTCTTGCATCGTGCAAAAACAAATTAGCACAGGTCAGCAGATCACTAATTTCAACAATTTCACTTCACTTGTTAAACAGCACACAACAAAGAGCAGACAAATCAAAAAGTTATAATTGTTAAGTAGTTACTGTTGGCTGGTAATTTTTTTTTGTTTTTGTTACTGCAGCTCTGCCCAAACCAGTCCTGAATGGAAAGAATACACAGAGTAACATTTTGTTTACTGTACGTATCACTGCTGCTTCTGCCAAGAAATGTATGAGATGTATATGTTTCAAAAAGGAAAAGGAAAATGCTATAGGGATAGCAGGAACTAAGTACGTATGCAAGTAAAACGGGTGCATAACTAAATTTCTGTGCAAAGCTTTATTTTCAAGGTTGTTGCTGGGCTGTCTAGAAACTGGGTTGCAGTATTCAGTTTTTGCTTAGATCACTAAGAAGATTAGAACATTTTCATCTACATTTAGAGGTCATGGAGGAAAAAACCATTATGCAAACAGGAGAGTCTTGCCAATTCCTCTCTCCGTGTGTTCATTCTCATTAGTCTAGCTCACCAGGCAGCCTAGTGTTAACAGAAATCACAACTATCAGAAAAGATCAAACAAAACCTCTGGCTCCATTTGAATGCATTTCATCAAGAGTGAAACCACGTTATAACAAAATATTCACAACAGACTAAATTGTCTGGGCTCACTTGGCTTTCATATAAATGTTTTCAAATAAAGACTTGAAATGTGTACCACAACAACTCAACCTGACTAGGTCAGAGTTCAAAAGATGCACTTTTTTTCATATCCTAGTCATTCTCTAAAAGAGATCTATTACATTTACATTTTCTCTGGAAAGTAACAACCCCATGTTCTCATTGAACCTAAAATACCAACTAACTATCAGTGATTCTCAAGTAAACAGCAACACACACACATACACACAAAATACTGAATGCTTCCGATAATGTTAACAGCCTGGAAAGAAGATACAAACACACTTCGCTCAAATCCATACCTTCAATTGCAGGGGATGCAAATCTGCCATACATATGCTATGCTTTGTCCAATCAATATCTATTCATGGATTTTCCTCTACAGTAGTTATTAAAAGGTACCACACTCTGAACATTAAACAATAACAGAATGCAGCAAGTAGCTGTCATTTCCCTCAAGCTACTTTCCTCCTTACCCCCACCCACCCTGTGTAATGCGTCCTTCCTGTAAAGGGCCTAGGAATGCAGATCATGGGGATGTTACTATACAGACTTGGGGCCAAATAAGATTGCATGATAGATCATCCATCAGCAGATATCCCACAGTTAAAGGCAGCCATTCATTTAAATAAGGACCATGGTGCAATGGAGATTTTCACCCCCTCACTGAAGTATTCCTCAAAAACTGTCTTGCTTGAAGTTGTTATCTGTTCCATATGAGAAAACAAACAAGATACTTCCTGTTAATTGATAAAATATGTTTGGAATCTGTGAATACTCAAGATTATGACTAATTACTAGATCTTTAATTTTTAAGAAAATAATATCACATTCACATTTTAACCAAAACAGAGCTGCCAAAGAAAGAACAGCTGACCACTCTTAAAGCTGGGCAAAGGATCATGTGACTGATGTGTTATTTGTCCATGCAATAAACATGGAGAAGGTCACCTGACCAAACACTATCCACTAGGTTTAAAACTCAGTCCAGGACAAACACTGGCTCCAGGCCCAAATCCAACATTTAAGAATACTTGTTGCATATTTTATAGGATGCCAGTTTCTACATAATCACATAAACCAACATTGTTTCTTCTGTTAAAAACTTATCTTTATATCACTAAAGAAACAGATCTTGGAGACTAAGAATAAGGACTCATACAATTTTTCTAACTGCTCTAAAGCATGCAATATTACTGTAAATATTCATCCTAACAATTCTTCCCCTAAAAATGAAAATAGTAATATAATATTAAATGTAAGAAATATGGAGAAGAGTTTACATTGGGTTTATATACCCTTAATATAGAGACATTAAAATGCTTTTCAATATGAAGAACAAACTACTCTCACGTTTTGTCATTTGCTTAATTTCTCCATCAGCTAGAAGACAGATTCTTAACTGCATGACAAGATGCAAATCGTTATTTTCCTTTTATAAGACAGCAGAACAACAGAAACCTATTTATGTATGCATGGCATAACACTTCACTTGTCTACAGGGTTAATTTATTCACTCCAATTTTGTAAGTAGGTTCCCAGGGCAAAAATCTACATACCCAAGTTTTGTGAAGCAAAATTTATGTGTTTGAATTGTAACTATGAAACTTGCTTCCCATATTACAACAGTAATGAACATTGTGTTGTCATTTCTACATTATCTGTAAATGCCATTTAAAAATGTCAAACTTTCTTTGAGTTTCTAAGCATGCTTTGCAGGCTGAATAGTTTTAGCACCTCAGACAAAGTAGGTCCTGAAGAAAGGACAGAAAACAGTGGGCTCATATAACACACAATTTTCAGGCTGTAGTTCAGTTTGATCTTCACAGGAGTGATGCCTTCTTTGGGTAGTGGAAGGCGATTAACCACCTGGGAGATAGCAGATGGTATATGGACCCTCTTAATAGGATTGAAAGAAGACAGCTAAGCATTAGCCTAAAGATATAGCTGAGCAGAAACAGCACTGGTAGTATATGTCCAGTAACAATACTACAGTTCTGGGATGAGTTTATTATTTCTCCCTGAGGACCAATATGGACCCATTATGCTAAAGCCTCTGACTGTGTTTCTTGTACAGCTGAATGGTAGGTATGCTTGCCAAACTGCAATTTGTGGCTGCTGCTGCTGCTGGGAAGAAAGGGACATGGACTTGCCATATTCAGGGTCTCTAAGAGCTGTGCCAGCCCATCTCCACATACATTCTACAATTACATGCACACTGAGATTAATCCACATTGACCTTTCATAGAACATCTATTATTGAAATCATAAAGGCAGCATGGGGCAACTAGAAATACATAACGAAGTTTGAAAAGATTTGGAAAGGTATAAAAAAGACAACAGACAAAATCATATTGAATTTTTACTATGGCATAATTCAATCAGTATAAATCTTGGCAGCAAATTACCACATGGTTGTTGTGGGTTTTTCGGGCTCTTTGGCCGTGTTCTGAAGGTTGTTCTTCCTAACGTTTCGCCAGTCTCTGTGGCCGGCATCTTCAGAGGACAGCATAGGGAATTGAGAGAGGTGGAACACAGGAATACTGCTTGTGAGGAAGCTTGCTAAGCTCAGAACATAAAAAATCCCTATATGTTTAAAAATAACATAGAAGGCAACATTCTCCTAAATATGGCTTTTCTTACCACTGTAATGCTACAGCAAGGAAAACAGTGAAAATGCATGAAAGCCTGTAGGCATCTGTAAAGTACTTCTCTAGATCATGCATTTAGGCTACTTTGCCTCACCGTGCAATGAGCTGTTCAAGCTTGACAGAGAAACAACTATTACTGTATTCTGTACAGAAACTGAAAAGGTAATTCCATTATTACAAAGAAACTGGGCCATACCTAAAAGCCAATGAAGTCAAGATAACAACTTAGCCTTTACATTCTACATGAATACAGTATTAAAAAAAAATGACATCCCTTGTAGTGTGATACTTCACTCTATCTTCCTGGAATATTCCACACCTTTTGCCTTTACCTAAAGAAAAGCCGTTTTTGAAGTTTTTTTTCTTCCTTTGGTAGAAAATCCTGCATAAACACATGGAGTTGTTATGTGTATTTACATAAATGAGCATGTTAAATGCAAAAACATATGCAATGTCACATATGTTTGGTTCTATGCTTTGAAAACTAGCCACGGGATGTTGTTCTCTGAACTTAGCTTAGTAAGGATATTGGCAAGTCCTTCGGTCCGAGTCCGGATCCTTGGTACCTTGGTACCAAGTTCTGAGTCCCAAGTCCCAAGTCTGAGTCCTTGTTAACCCCTCCCTTTTTCCCCAGAAAAAAGGGAGGGGGCAGGTGGGTTTCAAGTCAGGAGTCAAGCCACTTAAAAAAAAAACATGAGTCAACTGAGTCAAGTGCAATTTAAGTCTGACTTGACAGCGAGTCCCGCAACTCGCATCCCCATCCCTGTGGTTTAGTACTTCAAGAAATCTTAATATTATGGAAGCTGTGTCACCCTCACTCCTCACTTCGCAATGTTTCAGAACATAAGGGATCCATTGTTTTCATATTTACTTAAGAAATAAGGACAACAACAGAAAAGCAGATATTTTTGGAAGTCTAACAAGTGGAATTTTCCATACTAGAAAAAAAACTTGTAACTTTAGGTTAGAGCTACGGTACTGAAATACACTACTGTATAGTTTG